CTCGCTATTGAACGAGGTACGCATTATATGCATCTAATAGTACTAGCAGCCGGATTAACTGCATTAGTGCTTTAATCGCTGTTACTATATATAGCGATATCGACTAGGGAGTTATTATAACTTCTCCTGTCTGTGTCCTTAGCTCTTGCCTTAATACGCACTATTAATATAGCAAGAGTATTAACATGCTTTAAGCCGTCGCAGAGTCCGGTAAGCCGCTTATCCTACGCGTACTTATTAATAATACGGGCTATAGCAATCTTATACTATAGGGTTAGAAACAATGAATTAATAGATTACTAAGTCCCGCTATCGTAATTAGGTCGCCTCGATAGGCTATTAGTAGGGTTGCTTACGCCTAGCCGATGTAATATATCAAAATTAAACCTAGCGAGGTAGACGGCCTATCTAGCCTGTCGACCTATAACTCTAGTAACCTTAGTAATGCTACGGAGGTTGTTATAGTCTATATAGACCTGTATCGTATGTTAGGCCCTATCGAGGTAATGCCTCTAGTACTTAAAGGCCTCGATAATAGCTAAGAGCTCTTGCTCGTAGGTCTCGTAGCGACGCTTAGCATCGATTATCTTCCTCGAGAAGAAGGCAATCGGGTGCTAGTAATAGTCATTATCTAATTGCTAGGACATAATAGCCGATATAGCGAACTATAAAGCGTTAGTCTCAATTCGGATCTGCTTGTTTAGTACGAAATAGTATAATAAGGGGACTTTAGTAAAGCGCTGCTTTAGACCGTTAAAAGCGGCTTATGCTCTATTAGTCTATTTAAACTCTCTAGTCGGGTTGGCCTTGGTTTTGGTGAGCTTAGTTAGGGGTATTACGTGTCGTAAATAGCTCTTAATAAAGCGACGATAGAAGTTAGTAAAACCTAGGAATAATTAAAGCTCCTTAATGCTAGTAGGCATTAGCTACTTAGTAATAGTCTTAATCCGGTCAGGATTAGCCTTAATACCCTTAGTTAATACGAGGAAGCTAAGGAAGGACACCTCCTTAGCAGCAAAGGTGCATTTAGAAGGCTTGCAATATAGTCTATAGGCTCGCAGGCGATCGAGCACCTTACGGACTGCAGCCTAGTACTCCGCAATGTTAGGTAAGTGTATATAAACTAGGATGTTATCTAGGTAAACTATACAGAGATAGTCTAATAGGCCCGAAAGGGCCCGATTAATGTAGGACTAGAACGTTGTAGGGGCATTAGCTAAGCCGAATAGTATAACTAAGTACTCGAAATGCCTATAACGAGTGCGAAAGGCTGTCTTCTATTTATCGCCCTTGCGGATACAGATGCGGTAATAGGCGTCCTTAATGTCTAATATAGTGTAGTAGTAAGCACTAGAAAGGCGATCGAGGGTCTTATTAATAAGAGGAAGTAGGCAGCGGTCTTTGATAGTAACAGCGTTAAGCCTACGATAATCAATATACAGACGTAGGCTACTATCCTTCTTTAGTACGAATAGGATAGGGGCGCTAGTAGGGCTGTTACTATACCGAATGCGACCGTTAGCTAGGTTTTCCTCTAGGTACTTACGCAATATAGTAAGCTCTCGTTTACTAAGGTTGTAGAGGGGGCTAAAAGGGACCTCCTTGCCCGCTATAATATTAATCTTATAATCCGTCTCTTTAAATATAGGCAATGTCGATGCCAAGTAGTGTTTAAACATATTAATGTAGGTTTCTCGAATAGGCTCCGGTATGCGAGCAAGCTAATTAGGATCTATGCTATTAGGGGGTATAGGCTTATCGCTATCGCCTAATAGGTCGACTATTAGGTTAGCTGCGGCAGGTGTTAGGTTGCCGATAAATAGAACCCTAATATCGTTAGGGCACTCGCTAACATCGATATGTTTAATGTCCTCTTTCCTAGCGATTCTAAATCGCTACTATTAACTGCCTAAGTCTATAACTATAGTATAGTACTTGAGAATAGGGTTACTAATAACAATCTTAGATAGGAGGCTGTCTATGTCTACCGCGTAGGTAGTAAAGTTTAGTAGGCGCTTATTGCCGAGGTCGTCCTTTAGGGCTATATAGACATAGTAGGCCCTATAGGTTAAGTGCCGAGCGTTATTAAACTAAGCAAGGGTTGGCAGGTTAGTCCTAGGCAGTTGTCGAAGGTCTAATTGCTTAGCTAGGCGATGGCTAATAAGGGCGCTAACTAAATTTCCTAGATCTAGTGTAACCTTAGTCTTATAGTTAGTATCGGGCCCGGATATAAGACAGGTACGAGTAATAGCTAGTATAATGTCGATAGTCTTACGCCGTACGAGGCTAACAGTTAGTGCGGCGCTTACTCTTTTTTCGAAGGTTGGCCTATAGGGGTAGCGTTAGCTACTAAGAGGTGCTTTCGGTGCTTAGCGGTAGCACGGTCGATTCGGGCCTAGTCCTTAGGTTTGTCGCATTAGCCTAGTAGATAGCTAGTGCTATTACAATTAAAGCACTTTAACCCGGTTAGTAGACTACCGTAGCTGTTATTACTGCTATTGTTAGTCGAGCGGTTAGCATTATAGGGATACGAGCCCCTTCTACGGCCCCTATCGCGGCCTCCTCTATATAGCCGCCGGCTACGGCCTCTTCTACGATCGTTACTGTTCCTATTGTTAGCATTGTTATCCTAGTAGGAACCTTAGTTTCCTCCGCGGCTACTACGGTTGCTACGGTTAGTACTAGCTAGTCGGATCCTTAATTCTAGTCGCTATTAGAGCTAAACAGCCCGTTCGGCTGTTTCCACTTCGACTATAAATTAAATACGCGTCAGATTAGTCTGTTCGAATATACGGCGACGGTCCAATTTAAGGACCAATTCCTATCGCAATTTAGGGCGTATTTCGGAAATCTAGATAGAGTCGGTCTTAGCTAGCAAATCGTCTTCGAGGGTCTTTAAATAGGCCTTAAATAAGCGAGCCGATTAATTAGTCTTTTGTTTAGCTCGAAGGTATTAGTCCTAAGCGTGTTGTTGCCTTAGTATAGGGTTTCTAAGGGTGTCTAGTATAATAGTCTTGTAGTTTTGCTACTAAACAGCGGTCTGATTAGTAAGGGAGTCAAAGTAGTTATCCTAGGTACGCTTTAGGTCTCTATTAATATATTGTATAGTATAGACGACTAGCGAATAGTCGTCTAGCAGGGCCCTTAGTACATTTCGTTAGTTAAGCTTATAGTTACGAATATAGTCGTTATATTGCTTTCGACTAGAGCTATTAAACACGGTACAGTCCTTAAGTTTAGCATCCTTCTTCTGGACTAGGACTGATAGTAAGGAAGGCCCTACTATCGGCTTAGTATTAGTTGTTAGGGCCTCCTAAAGGCGGCGAATTTCGAGGAGGTTATCCTTTAGCTGTTGTTCTTAACGTAGGGCAGTAAGCCTGTTTTGGGTAGCTTCTTAGAGTCTCCCTACTAGTTAGGGGCTAAAGGCTAGTTAGCTATATCGACGGTTAATAATATTGTTAAGAATGTCGTCGATAGGCAATTCTAGATTATTACCTAGAACTATAGGTTCTTCTTTAACAGGCTCTCCGGCAGGCTCTTTAGTAGGAGGCACTTTAGCAGGCACTATGCTACTAGCGTTGTCGTTGCTAGCGCTACTAGCGGCAGTACGGTTGTTGTTTCGTAATAAACTAGCTATTATAAGGGGCGACACTAATAATGTATTGTTAGCCCCTAAGATGCGGATGTAGCGGAATTAGTAGATATCGGCTTAGTGCGATTAACTCGGTATAATAGGCCGTATAGAAGGCCTTGCTTAATAATTGGTACGGTTGTTTCGATAGAATGGTACGTGTAGGTCCCGTTCTTCGGGCGCAATATAGTTAGATTAGTTATTATAGCTATACCGCTAAAAGCTTGAGATAAGGACTATCTAGCTGCTGCTCTTAAAGGGTAGATCGAATACTGTATAAGAAGGGTATATTAGCAGGTAGATAGGGTAGTAGTAGGTACGAGTAGTATTTAATAAGGATCTAGGAGAAGAGGGAGGGAAGTAGGAGAGTTAGCCTAACGCTAAGCGCTAAGCCCTGCCTAAGGCACTAAGACCCTAGCCTTACTCGGCCTAATTACATGCTAATTACGTGTAGCCTCTTTGGCTCTAACAGCAATTAAGGACCCCTATACCTATAATATAGCTTATACGCTAGATAATTAAACGGAATACTATCTAGAGTATTATCCCTAGCAAATTGCTACGACTATTGCTACTAAGGTAACTCCTAAGGCTTATAAAGAGGGCGTAGTAGTACTTTAGCGGCGGGCTACGTAGTAGTGTCTTCTACTACCCTATTATTAGGCTCTTCCTCGTCGTCTACCTTCCCTCTCTTCTTTAATAACTACTTTAGTATCGCTTCGAGATTATTATCCGGATAGTCTATTACGCGACTCGCCGTACCTTTATTCTTATAGAGGTCTAGTATTGCTATCTTCTTCGTAAAAGGAAGCTTTATAATACCCTTACAATTTATCGCGCGCCTTATAGCAGCTATTACAATCGTCTCTTGCGGCGCCTTTAAGACCTGCTAGCGGGCGGCGATAGAGGCTACTAAAGACCTTAGTAGCATCGAGAAGTCTTTAATAGTAGCAGTCGTCTCGTCCTTCCGGTAGACTCGATCCGTCTTACTCGAAGCCTCGCTCTTCCGCTTACGACTACTCGTAGCACTTAGTATATTTCTACCTTCGTTACTACTCGGAGGCTAATCTTTATTACCTATTAGTACCTCCTTATCCTTATTATTATCCGCCTCCTTTGCCTACGATCTCTAGCGTGCCTTTTTAGGCGTCTCTTAAGCTAGTATATTAGCCGGTTGTGCGTTCTTACTAGTAGCGAGGTTATTACTAAATAGGACCTCTAGTTAAGAGTAGAATTTAGGCAGAGCGTTACGCTATATTAAGTAGTCTAGATACGCCTTATAATAGGCCTCTTCTATAGCCTTGTCGTCCGGTTAAGGTAGATTGCCTAACTAACTACTAATCCTTCTAAGGTATGCTTTCTAGCGCTTCTAAGGCGCTCGGAAAGTGTCGTATTTGTTGCGTACCTACTTTATATTTAAGTTAAGCTTAAACCGAGTATTTAACTCCTTCGTTACTTCTAGTATTATAGTATTAGAATACCCTTAGTTATTATTCTGCGCCGCTATATAGTCCGTTAACAAACTGAATAGCTGTTCTAGCTATTCTTTAGTCTATAGATATAGCTACGTACACGTACGCTTCTTCGGCTTATTGTCCTTTACCTTTATATCCCTCTTCGGCTTATCGACCGCCTTCGCCTTCTTCGAGCCCTTCGGTAGTATAGTATATAGCAATTATAAGAGGTGGATTCTACGGCTTAAAGTCTAAAATAGCAAGGTTATAGGTTACGAGATAGTTACGAGATAAAAGATTATAATACCTAGTAATAAGACACGTTAAATACTTCAAAATAGATAAGACGCGCTATAATAAGATAGACTCGCGATAATAGTCGACTTATAGATAAGACAACCTCTTATGAAAAGACAAGACGAAGTATTCAGGGCCTTAAGCGAGTTGAGGTAGGCACGGCCGTTGGAATCATGCAAACCTGAGCTAGCGTCAGTCGTAGCCGGGCGAATCAACGCTCGGTAAGCCTGCTTCACCTGTCGCTGCTGATGATGGAGCCACCACTACAAGCTCAAGAGCGTGAAGAACCTGCTCGTGAATTTCAGTGCATCTAGAGTAGACATCGGCATCTTGCAAGCGGCGTCAATCTGAAAGAAGTCTGTGATGCGCATGCGACAGGAGAAATGCGAAGATTCATAGAACGATAGAAGCGCATTGGAAGAGTGAAAGTGCTCATTTGCAATTTGACTGCTCCAATTGTGTAGCAGGATTTCATTCATGGTTCATACGTGGGATCTAGAACTTTTCTCGTAATTTCGTGAGGCATTACAAAATTTCGCTCAAGACCATGTCAAGGTCCAGTCATTGGCCCAAGCACCTTCGGTGGTAGCGTCCTGCAGTCCAGTAATGCTCAGAGCCTTGCTGGTACTGTTGTAGTTGACTCCACTGACAGTCTTGCCATTGAAGGAGACCGAGGTTGGCTCGCTCTGCACACCGAGGACGGTAACGTTTGCGAGACTGTTGGTGTCCTCATACAGACCTCGGCTAGAAGCGTAGAGGCTGCCGTTGGTGGCCGTGAAGTCGACGATAAGTGTGGAGTTCTGTATCACACTCTCACCATCATCGACGTAGAGGATACCAGATGCAGCGCCGTTAGCGTCGAGTGCAGCGATCAGGCTCCACGAGCTGTTGCGAGATTCGCTCGTGGTGTAGAGTGCTTCCTGTTGTGGCAACACGTATCCACCACGAACGGCAACATTGATGTGAGATAACGGTGCGGCAAGAGTGATATTCTCGCCTGGCTGGGCCTCGATAGCAGTCTGCGTGTACCAGTCGTACCAGACTTCACCTTCCTTGACGCCTGGAAAGACACCTTGAACCTCAGTCATGCCTTGGCCAAGAACAGGTGTTACCAGGATGGCAGGACCAAGCATGAACTGAGTGTCAACGGCGGCGAGAGATGGATCGTTAGGGAACTCCCAGCTCAGGGCGCGCATGACAGTCGAGCCAGTAGAGTGAGCCAAATAGAACAGGGTGTACATGTATGGCAGCAGAGCATATCGGATGGCCATAGCTTTGCGAGATGCATCAGCCACAGATGCCCACACGTATGCCTCCTGCGAGTTTGCCGAGAGAGTATTGTGGTTGCGGTAGAACGGGAAGAAGGCAGATAGCTGCATCCATCGATTGCACAGCTCTTCATCCGAGTTTCCATTAAAGCCACAGGTGTCGACGCCGAACATGGGAACACCGAAGAGTGCAAAGTTGAGAGCCTGAGCAATGCTGAAGTACATGTAGGCCCACAAGCTGGTGTTGTCACCACCCCAGTGGCCAGCCCATTTTCCGCTACCAGCGTAGGTGCTTCGGCCAATGATGAATGGTCGCTTGCCTGGGAAGACGTCGAGAAGAGCCTGGTAGGTGGCATTGAGAATCTGGTGTCCAAAAAGGTTGTGCACGTCATATTCCTCAACACCATTGTGGTGAGTCGCATTCGGGCTAACGGCGTGGACAGCGAGGTCTCCGTTGACGTTGTTGATGACGTAGGGCGGCTGATTGACGTTGCGAACACCTGGTGTGACTGCTGGCGGGGTGAAATAGGCAGTAGTGCTAGTACCAGCCGGAGTGGCAGCAGCAACAGCAGAAGCCTGGGAGGCAGACAGGGAAGCAGCTGTAGCTGCCTCGGTCGCGTTGGTCAAGTTGAATCCTTCGGGATAGGTAAAGATCTTGCTACCCTCCTCTCCTGGCAGTCCGAAAGGCGGGTGAACTGGGTTCAAGGAAAGATTGCCGGTACCACAGCTGCCAATGCAGAAGGAGGAAACCTCTGACATGTCGATCCAGATGCCGTCCCACGGAATATTGTCATGATGTTCGTGCATACTATCAGTCCACCAAGCAACAGCCTCCTCTGATTGCCAGTCAGGGAAGACAGTATAGCCAGGCCATACAGCGCCAATGTATTGGCTGCCATCTGGGTTATTCAAGAATACATTGCGGTCGTTGCCATCAGTATAGACCGAATAGTTGTCGGAGGCGTTGTTGGGATTAGGGATGTAGATTGCTGAATCAACAATTGGCACATAGTGTTGACCGTTAGCGTGCAGGCGACTGAGCAGCTCCTGGCCTTCAGGGTACGGAAACGTGTTGGGGTCATTCTCGAAGTCGCGATACTGGAACATGTAGTCGATATCAGTCCAGACGGTCTCGAGGGGAATGTTGAACTTGCGGTAGTTGTCTACAACAGCTTCGACTTCGGACCAGTTTTTGTAACCCCAGCGGCATTGATGGAAACCAAAGCTCCAGTACTGTTGCATAGCTGGAAGGCCAATGGCACCAATCTGGTACTGCTTGGTGACCATGTCAGGAGTAGGTCCGTCAAAGATATAAAGATCAATGCTTCCACCAAGTGTGCGCCAGGTCAGATTGGTAGGGTTCATCAGTGCCTCCATTCCATGAGCGTTGCGGAGGAAAACACCATGGCTTATGCCAACATACTCCTCGTCAGACTTGGCGTTCAAGGTATTGGCGACAAGGGTATGCGCGCCAGTCTCGTTGTCTACTTGGAAATATCTGGTGTCGAGATAGAATGGGTGGGTGCCATAAATGTTTTGGTCAATTGGATCTCCTGCGTCTGCTGCGTAGAAGGTCGTAGTAAAGTTGTTGCCAAGTCTCAGGCCATGGATTCGCTCACCCATGCCATAGATGTTGTAGTTCTCAGGCATTTGAGAGACGAACTCAATGAACTGATTTTCATACACCAGCACGCTGCCAGTAGTGTCGAATAGAATGTCTCCGGTCGACTTGCGAACCACAGTGAAGCCAAAGGTAGGATCATTGGTCCAACGGAATTGTAAGTCAATGTCTTGTGTGTCAGCTGAAGCAAAGCCCTGTCGTGGTACAGGCACTAGATCTTCGCTGAGGATGTACTGGCTCGTGTTGGTGCTGTCGAGGTATGCCGGATGGATGTTGAGGCGTAGTCTATGCGCACTCTGAATATCTAGCTCGAGCGAAAGCGTTTCGATGTCGGTACCGTAGATGTTGCACTGGATATTGTCAGCTGCTGAGATATCTTGAGGATGGTCGCTGAACTCACAGCGTCGCCGGCTAAGCTGAGTGTTGCCGTAAAGCCATTGGCCGTGTGCATCACATTACTGGCCTGGTAACCGGGGCACAATTGCTGGGCTTGCTTTGCATTGGGGTCTTTGACATTTGGCAAAAGGTGTGGTCCAACGTCGGCAGCTGCTGGCATTGTGAACTGCACTGAGTACGTGCTTGTGGCGCCGCCGACAGTGGCAGTTCCCACTGAGCCTGTGCTTGTGGCATATGCTGAAGTCGTCAAGCCATCTGCGGGAGGAAGTGAAGACGAGTCCTGAGCACAGGCAATCGAAGACAGGGCAAGCACTGCTTGTGCCCAAGAATATCTCACCATCCTGTCTTGCGCGTACTTCCGGAGAGACTCCAGAAGTTGTGAAGGTACGGGAGGAACACAGAATGTCGGAAGAGGCATATACATCCTGGCGACCCACCTGCTTATAATGATGTCGTTCGGCGGATAGTCATTGCCGTACGCTGGGTCTAGTGGAGATGGAGATGCAGCGTCAGTGTAAGCGTGCAAGATCGGTGGTATAGTCCCGCGTTTCGTGCAATGTTTGCGTATAGATTCTGGCGAGCTGTCGACGTGAGTACATGTACTCAGGAACAGGTATAGCTTCGATGCAGCTAGGTGGGAGTTTCGCCGAGTCTGAGAGCCTCCACTGGAAGGAGCTCAACGAGGGCAGCTGTGGCGGTTGCGATTGGCTTGCAGCGCCGCAAATTCCGCCGGCCACAGGAGTGATCAGCAGTGAAGTCGTTGTCAGCGGTATACGCGCAAACGCGGCAAGATCTCTCCGTCATCATCGTGGAGAAAGCTTTCCTGCCATGCGCTGCGCAGATGCACCCCAAGCTTCGCCTCCGCCAAACGTGAATGCTTTGACGAGCTTGCATGTGATCCCCACGGGACGCCCACTGGTCGGTCCGATATTGCCAGCCTCACACTCCACTTTGAAGACTGTCTTTGGGTAAAGTTGCGTGTGAGGCGTGAGAAGGAATATTTTGAAGATGCGAAGTGGGGCACATCAAACTCAAAGACGGCCGTCCGTTGCCGGCAACAACAAACGCGTGAGACGAACCGCGTAAGTACTGTATTGAGTGAGCAGGCAGCACATTGCTCAATACATTTGCACCTCTATCAGAGCTCGAGGCACGTTTCCGTCCATGCCTGAAACCCCATGATTCTCGACCTCGTATGCCACAGCTCCCTTCTCGCGACAAGCCTCCTTGAGCCCATCGACGGAACCACCAACGCCGAAGTACATGCGTTTCGCCCCGATCATAGCTTTTGCCATCTTGACGCGTCGCAGCAGTATCGCAAGCAGGTCCACGAATGCGACAGTGGACTCCGGGCTGTAGATTGTTTCCGCTGCGAGAATGATCAATCCCATCTCTGGAGCTGACATTGGAATCAGCTCAGCTAATTCTGCGGACCATGGCCCTGAGATCAAGTTCAACGACACTCCGTTTGATCGCAAGTCCGCCTGGAAGCGCTCAGCCAGCTCAGGTGTCACTTCGAGGTCGCCTTCAATGCTACCTGTGTCGGAATGGTCGAGGAGATTTGCGACTCCAGCCCACGTCAGAAAGAGGTTGGGTAGCGTGATAAGCCGCAAAACCTCTTCATTGTAGTCGGCCAACGTGAATGTGAGTCCGGACACGGCATTGATGAGGGCATGTCTGAAGAGCACGAGACTGGGCAAGGCACTTCCTGCGCCCAACTCCACAATCTGATCGCATCTGATCAATTCATCGATATCTTTTCGAGGACCACGATCCAGCAACAAGCTTGCCAGATCCAGCGAGCACTCCCAGGTCTTGAAGCCGCCTTCGTACACGCCAGACCGGAGATCAGATTTCTCCAGCTGATCTATGACATGGTCATTCGACAGTTGGTCCTCTTGCAGCAACTGTGCTTTGACGTCGAACAATTCTCGCCGCGGAAGACTGACGACTTTGCCCAGAGGTGATTCGATCTTGACTGTGCTGTAACTGAGCCTTTCGGGCAATGCTGCCACCTGCGTGGCTGTCAGTAAGCAAGAAGATATGGAGTGATGATCTTGCGTAGGGCATGGGGTCGGATTTAAATCAAGAACTCTTTGCCATGCATGAGCTTGTCAGAACTCGAAGCACAAGATGGACAAATCTGCAACAGATGAGAGATGCATAAGGGACGTCAGAGTCTGCGTACCTACCAAATCCTCAAGCTTATGTGATTTCACAGGCATGCGTGCTGCGGGAGCGGCATTAGATACCGTATGCGTTTCCGGATCGGCCGCATCTTCCATGTCACTGCCTGCATCGTCCGCCGAAAAGCCAAATGAAAATGCCATCTGAGCTGAACGGAGCTGAACCTCCTGGTAAGAAATGGAGACGAGGACGGCTTTCGAAGTTAACTTTTGTTATCGCCGAGATCTGACCCACATCGTCACTGTTCGTCCAATCAAGCACTTGCATCATATTTCCATGCATAAGGTCGCTACCAGCTGTGGAAACCTCATCCGTTGCACGACCTCGCGTCTAATGAAGGCATCTACGAGTTGCGTGGGTTGTCGACATTGACCAGCATATAAGTACCATGAGATTGAATGGTACTGATTTCGTTGCTGTGGAAAGCTACTTCAAACCCAACTCACGCCTACAAGAAACAATTCTTAATCCATCCAATTCCTAAAATTCAAGCCGACCAAGATGCCTTCATTCGCGCCAGAGTCTCCATATCAGCCATATGCAGAGGAGCACAAGAACACTCAAGGTGCAGGTGATGCCCGACCTACCGCTCTCCAGATCATCAAAGATTGTAACGCCTCCGGCAAGCTCAAAGGAAAGACAATATTGATCACTGGCACAAGCTCCGGAATCGGCGTCGATACTGCGAAAGCACTTTACGAGACGGGTGCTCAGCTCTTTCTTTCCGCTCGAGACATTCCAAAGCTTGAGAAGGTCATCGATGACATCGTTTCCAATTCACCAAGCGAAGACAAGAACTATCCCCGACCAGAAGCGCTCGAAATCCATCTCGACTCCTTGGAAAGCGTCAGAAAGGGTGCCGAGGAGTTCCTGCAACGTAGCTCGCAGCTCAATATTCTGGTGAGTTCCAATTTCCTCCCATGTGAATTTTGCGCACCTCACTCATCAACATCAGATCAACAATGCAGGCGTCATGGCTTGCCCACAATCAACGACCAAGGATGGGTTTGAGATGCAAATCGGCACCAATCACTTTGCTCACTTCTTGCTATTTCAACTCCTGAAGCCTTCGCTCCTCTCTTCGAGCACTCCGTCATTCAACTCTCGCGTCATTAATGTCTCGTCCGCTGGTCACAGACGCGGCGGATTCATCTTTGAAGACTACAACTTTCTTAAGCCAGGCTCGTACGACAAGTGGCGAAGCTATGCCCAGTCCAAGTCCGCGAATATCTACATGGCTTCGTCTATTGAACGTCACTACGGCTCGAAGGGTCTCCACGGGCTGAGTTTGCATCCAGGTGGAATCCATACCGAGCTCGGACGACATCTGAGTGAGAACGACTATAAGGCCCTGGGTATTGACAAATTCGTGAACATGTGGAAGAGTTCCGAGCAGGGTGCGGCAACAACTGTGTGGGCTGCAGTGAGCGATCATTTTGAAGGCAAGGTGAGTACATCGAACGGAGCAAGACTTTCCTCATTCAGGCGATCTCGTCATGGTCGTGAGGTCAGATTCAGCTGTCTGGTCTCAGCCTTCCCCGATCGAGTTGCCCCTTTTCCTCTGGACATTTGCTGACTCTCATATTCATGGCCTTTAGAACGGTGGAAGATATCTCGCTGAGTGCGCAGAGTCCGGGCCTATGCCCGAGGACGCTGGAGTCGGCGCTCCTGGATATGCGGCGCACATCTACGATGAAGAGAGCGAGGAGAAGCTATGGAAGTTAAGCTATGAGGCTGTTGGGTTGCCTGTGGAAGACTGAGAATTCTCGGTGTAATGTGGACAGACCTCATCTCGTGCGCCGATAGATACAGATTAAGACCATTCTAGTATATTCATGACTTCATTCACTTTCGAGTCTTTGAGCTGGTTTGCGACGCCCACGCAAAGATGGCCGGCGCCAACCGAGTTTTCACTAGCGCCTCGTAGGCTTTTCTACGTCATTTCTAGACCCTTGCAAGTGAGTGACCACACTCACGCGCTTGATCCCGGCCAACAACCAGTCAACAACCACACACGATCCGCGCGCGTGGAGTACATCAGGTAGGTGGCTGGGCAGTAGTATCTTGATACTCCGTCTCCTATCACATCCCTTGATCAATACACTCTGCCCTTGCTCCCGAATATTATTGCATTGCCAGGCTCCTGCTTTCGAGACGCCAAGAACGGTGACATCAACTCGAGATCATCTCGAGTATGGCGCGCTCACGCCGACGCGAAGACCTCACAGAGTCATGGGACGATGTAGGCGATTCGTACGAGGAGGAGGAGGAAACTTTGTGGGACGAAGACGAAGAACGCGACGAGATGGGGAGCGAATATCGATCGAGCGCGAGGCAGACTCGAGCCACGAACGGCAGTACAAAGTCGATTGAGGAAGCGCCAGATCTTCCGCGCCGGAGAAATTTGAGGTCCTCTGTAGAGCCTGAGTTGGTCATGCCATCCTCGCCAGACGGCGGAGCAAAGGCAGCGACGTCTCGGAGACGAGATGCGACACCGAGATTCCGATTAAACGAGCGAAGCAACACAAGCGATGCGGGGCAGATTCGTAGAACTACGCGCGCCGCAACACCGAGGAGTAGAATGATCGAGAGGAGTATGACGAGCGATGCAGGCAGAATGCGAAAGAGCAGGCTGAAGGAATACGACGCGGCTGATTATGAGTCCGAGGATGAGCCAGCGACGGCAAGATATGCGGCCACGATATGGCAGCAGATCATCCGACCACTTCTGGTATACGCGACAGGTGTTACAGGATATGCGCTGAACAACCTCAAGCCGATCTTGGGATGGATACTGCTGATATACGTTCTGACTGCGTCGATGGTCTTCTTCTCGGGCTTTTTGACGAACAGCATAAATAATGCTCTCAGCCCAATATGCCGCCTACCATTTACCGGCAGTCTACCATTCTGTCCGGACCCAGAATTGCGCGAGCTACAAGGACCAGCAGAATTTGACAGGCTGGTCACTACGCAAGATGCCTTTCAGGAAGTACTCGCGAGCGCTTCCACCGGCGTCAATTTGCCATTGGACATGAAGCGCAGTGAGGCGAGCATTCGAGACCTCAAGCACGTGGTGCAGTACTCTCATCTGCCTTCGAAGAACCAACTCGTGTTCGAATTCGATGGTTTCATTGGGGTTGCGCGAGAGGCAAGCCAATCCTTGAGCAAATTCAACAGCCGCATCGGCCGAGCAGTCGATCACATCCTTTCCACGAACCGGTGGACGTTAAGTGTCATTGATGGAGTGGAGCAAAATGAGGCTGCTAAGGGCACATTGTCTAAATGGGTCACTAGCAATCTCAACATCTTTGCCCCATTTCAGCCTCTGAGCATGTCTCGCGACATTATTCTCGACCAATACCTTCGCCACACCGATGCTGTCGAAGAACAAATCATGAGCCTCATCGATGAGGCTCTGGTGCTTCAAGGAATGCTGAATGACATGGACAACCGCCTCGACGAAATCCAAGGTGTTGCCACTCGCGACGGAGTCCGCATTGGAGTCGATAAAGACGAGCTCTTTTCCACACTCTGGACTAAATTGGGCGGCAACAAGAACACAGTCCAAAAGCTCAACTCCCAAATCGACCTCCTCAATTCCGTCCAACACTATCGTCGCATGGCTTGGGGTCACGTCACCAGCACTTTACTGAAATTGCAAGAAATCCAAGCAAGCCTTGAAGATCTGAGAGAAAGAGTCGGTATGCCCGAAGTCGTGGGTACCCATAAGGTTCCTTTGGAAGTTCACATCAGTAATATCCAATTGGGAATTGAGAGGTTGGAGAAGCAGAGAGATGCGAATCGACAAATTGAGCAAGACAGTTTCAGGAAGGTTTTGGATCGTGGAGAGCAGGTTGATCGGAGAGGGATTGGGAGTAAGCAGGAGCTTTGAAGAAGATTGCAGCACAGAGCAGAGCAGTGATTGGTTGTGATGAGACATGATTTGTACGATGATACCCATACTTGTATGTAGAGGGACTAAGCAAGTATACCTGAGCTGGATTACACATGGACTGCATTGGAAGTGAAGCTCCGGTGAACATCTGTCTCGCCTGACATACCTACCCAGCTAGCTACATGAACTCCTGGGGCTTTTCTTTCCCAGAGATGGGCTGCCCTGCAATCTCAGCAGAAAGCCTTAATGACTGATCCTTGGTACGGAGAAGTCGTCGACTATCTCCTAACAGCTCAAGTCCCCGAAATTTGAGAGCAGTTGTCGTATCGGATCGCAACTCTCGCTGCCTCATCGAAGTCGACGGGACTATCTGTGGTGATGAAGTGCTTCTTCACCTCTTTGTTGCTTATGCCATCGAGCATTTTGTCGACCGCTAGTGGTCTCATCTCCATCGGCAACTTATCTCTCACCTGCCTGAGTCCGGTGATATAGGCATTGCTCGACTGTCTGAGTTCGTCGTGCTGCTCGTTCCATTCTATCTAGTTGATGCCACTCATTGCAAGGTTCTAGTGAAGAGACCAAGCAAATGTACCTGAGCAGCATTGCATATAAAGTACCGTATAGGCAGGTGCTGCCTGAGGGTTGCCGAGCGAAGCGAGACCCAAGCGGAATAATAGCTAGAAGTTGTTGCTGCTACACCGTTGTAAGAGTGAGTGTATCGCAAGAGCGTGTTACAACGTCGTTGTCGCTATAGCGTAGTTGTCGCAGCTCGTAAACAGATAACACCTTCGCATCCTCGTCGTAAGCTCCTCGAATGCTTCGGCTTATGCCTGTTTACTTCGCTTCGCTCGGATAAACTGCATTGGAAGTAGAAGCTTAGGTGAACAGGCGAACAGGTAAACACAGGCATTGAAGTCGTAAGCAGTCTATCTAGTCGATGCCACTCATTGCAAGGTTCTAGTGCAGGGACCAAGCAAATATATCTGAGCAGCATTACACATGAACTGCATAGGAAGTCAAGCTCAGGCGAACAAGTGAGCACAGGCAATGAAGTCGTAAGTGGTCTATCCAGTCGATACCACTCATGGCAAGGTTCCAGAGCATGGGCCAAGCACATGTACCTGAGCTGCATTATACATAAACTGCATTGGAAGGAGAAGCTTAGGCGAACACGCAAAGGCAATGAAGTCGTAAGCGGCGTATCTAAGTCGAAGATCGAAACTTCCGCCACTCATAGCAAGGTCCTAGTACAGGGACCAAGCAAATGTACCTGAGCTGCATTATACATGAACGGCATTGGAAGCAGAAGCCTTAGGTGAACACAGGTCGAAGATCACATCCCGCCACTCACAGCAAGGTCCCAGTGCAGGGACTAGGCAAATGTACCCCGGCTGCATTCCACATGAATTGTATTGGAAGTGAAGCTCAGGTGAACACAGGCATCGAATTCGTAAGCGGTTTATCTAGAATCCCTAGGTTCAGCCAAGGCTATCGCCGCAAGTAGTTGGGAGCCTGCATCTCGTGAGTGCCTGGTGGTAATCACTCCAGGTGAGATTCGATCGCTCTCGCCTCGGAATCCACGAGACTGGATGTCGCAATACTGTTTCGATCGTTGTCAGGCTCCGGAAGCCCATGCAGTCAAGCCTATGAATGAAGCGCTTTTCGATCGGCAGGAGTCCGAGCTATGGATCCAGTGCCTTCAATCTCGGAACGTGTTCTATTCCCGTCCCAAGTCCAAATGCGAGCGCCACAGCAGCCAAAGGCACAAATACGTCTCTCCTAGACACCTGATGTAGTCTCATGCCTCGTTCTCTCCAATCGTCTCGGCAGACATGCAAGTTTTCGGCAGCGACGTTGTCCACGCACTGGTCGCTCGCATACTTCGCCTCCGGTATCTGGTGCTGGCTCGAACCTTGGACACACGGCATGGCCTGCAGCACGGAGTTGATGCAGTTTCACTTCGTATGCCAATCTGGCAGCCATGATGCCATTGACGGCGGAGATACCACCACTGGGCCCAAGCTGTCCCAACGACAATGCGACTGCCAAGCTTTTCAGGAGGCGATATCGAAGCAGGCTTGCGCGTATTTCCTCGTGGATGGAACAAGAGTGGACAGATGCGGAAGGCCGAAGTGCGACGCCGTGAGTGAATACAGTCTTCGCCCCCGCCTTTGAATCTTCCAGACTGACATTCTCCTAGATGGATGGTTGTATGTAGAGGGTAAAGGGATGGAGGAATCCCCAGCTTGGCAAAGCAAGGTGGTCAGTCGACCAAAAAGGCGTTCAGCAGGGGCTGCGGAGGTTCACTCATAGGCGAAAGGTCGAGTACATGTAGGACTACAAATGTAGCCAATTTGATAGACAAGGATATTCTGAGAGCCACTGCAGCAGCTTGCTCATCAGGTCCAGCGAAGAATGCGAAACGTCGTATGGCTCTGAGCTGTTAAGGCACTTTGTCGCTAAGTGTGCAGCTATCGAGCCGCCGTAATGTCTGTCGCCGCCGTGATGTCTGTCGCAGGCGCGATGTCTTTCGCCGCTACATATACTGCCGTGGTTAGCATCGAGCACGTGATAGCGTTTTTTAATTTCTACTAACCACTGCAGAGGCCGAGCTGCATTTTGTGCGCCCTTTTGTATGAAAGAGCGAGCTTTAGCGAAGCTTGTCTACGCGAAGGGTCCGACTGGAAACTGAAAATAGCAGTCAGCCTGATTTCGAGCTTGCAGGGTAGTGCAAGTAGAATGCTTCAGTCTCAGAGGGGCGCGTGTCCGGTGAGGGGAGGGTGGGCCCGTATTTAATACCGCATGCACGGTCTTTTTACCCCCACGCTCGTTGCGAAGGGCAACCTACTGCAGAATACGGAGGTAGGAAGACAGAAATTAGACGAGAAATTGGACGAGAATTTAGACGAGTATAGACGACGATTTTTAATATACGTTTATTCGCAACGTTTTTAAAAAGAAAGATACTAATAGCCTCCGGCGGAAGAGGTAGTATCTCGCGTAGAATAGTACCCCTACGCCTCGAGTATACCTTATAGACGGGTCCCCCCTTCTTATAGTCGTAGGCTCCCTTCGGAGGGTCCCCGCCGTCCGACGGTCTCGGCTAGTAGGGGCCCCTACTATTCTTTACTCTAGGGCGGAGCGGGATCCTAAGGTAGAGGAAGGAGGGGGCGATAGCGAGGTCGAATTTCCGGCTAAAATGCCGGAAAGGGACCCCTACGCGAAATATATATACCGCGTCTACGCGATATATATCGTCCTATGCGTTAAAATTAGCGATAAACAGGGAGGGATAGTACTTACGGTAGCGATAGCGAGGTTAATATAAGAAAGAGGAAGAACGCGATAGGAAGATATATATATATATACCGAGAAGTAAACAAACATCCTATTTAGGAACGTAGAGGCATGCGGTATTACTAGGTTTTACGTTTTACTATAGAATGCTAAGCCTCTCGTAGAGCCGTATACCGCATTTTAAACCTATCTCTTAATAGACCGTATTGCCTTATTTTTAATAGTATAGCGACTGTTAAGGTATTGTTTTAACCGTAGAATATCGCTATATTCGCTTATAGGTCGTAAGAAGTAGGCGCCGCCCGGTAAGAAGGTAGAGGTACGTACTAGGGTTAGTACGAAGATGCCCGAGGAGACTATAAAGAAGGCAGAGTTATTATTCGAAGAGGGCAAGTCGATTAACGATATAATGCTAGCAACTGGTATTACGAGGTCGATATTATATAAATAGCGCGTTAATTATAATCTCTTCTAGTAGGCCTATTGTCTACTACGCCTACCGCTAGGTCGTAAGCGCGTACTTACTAAAGAAATGCGAGACTAGCTCGAAGAATATCTCTCTTATCGACTAGAGGCATACCTCGAAGAGATATATCTCGCGCTCTACGACGAGTTTAATGTCTAGTTATACCTCTCGAACGTATACCGCTACCTAGTCGATATAATAAAGTAGACTTAGAAAGCATCGCGGAAGATAGTAAAGGAGCGTAATCTATTAGTAAGAGCCGTTTAGAGTAAGAAGTGTAAGAGGTAGCCTATTCGGAAGTTAGTATTTATCGATAAGATAGCGACAAACTAGAAGACGGCTTACCGCAAGTATAGTTAGTCTCCGGAAGGCGTAGATTATATAGATTATTAGTACGTACAATAAGAAGAACGCACTTTAGTCTTGCCGGCGCTAACGATTAATAGATACCTACCCTATACTCTTTATGTCTAAGGCTCTATAGATTAAGTTACCTTTAACGACTAGCTCGAGAATTAAGTGCTACCGCTTATTGCTAGAAAGGAGATAATCTTTATAATAGACAACGCCTTAATCTACTATAGTATTAATATCGAAGAGATAATTACTCGCGCTAGATATACGCTCGAATATCTGCCTCCTTACTTACTAGATCTCAACCTAATTAAGCAAACCTTTAATATACTAAAGATATAGATAAAGAAGAATAAGGACTTAATTAATAACTTCGACTGCTTTATAGACTTCCTTATATAGGCGCTAGAATACGTAGTAGGAATAGACGTACGAGGGTTGTTTAGGTATGCTAGATATAACGTTAATAGCGGAGAGGAAGAAGCTAAGGATCAATTACTTCGCAACTTCGACTCGCTTTATATTTAGCTACAACTATATAACAAATATATAATATTATATACAGGATCTCGAGATTATATATATACGAAGCTCCGCTATTAATTTTATATACATTACTATAGTGTTATGCGTACAGTAAAATGCACAAGGTGTTAGTAGGTATTACTAAGCTTTATATATTTCCTCCGCCGAGAGCTCCGAGAGCTTCGCGAGGTACGGCCGGAAAGGCGCTTCGTAGCGATAGTAATAATATAGACACACGTAGCGGAGCAGTTAATAAGCTAGTAAATTCGTTTATTCTTAGTAATCGTCTAACAAATCTAAACTAATAAGAACAGCCGTTGCTCCGTTATAAATGTCGTTATTATTACTATTACTTCCGACTTCCCTCTGCTCTTTTAAACAACTTCTCCTTCTAAAAGCGCTTTAAGCACTCAAGTAGGCGACTATAATAGCCTTTAAAGAAGCCTAATTTATCCTTCTAATACTTCTTATCGGCTCGTGCTATACGATTACAGTCCTATTTCTTAGTAAGGAAGTGTAACTCTATCTTTAAGAAGTCGTCTTTCTCTTCCGGATTAGACTATTCGTATTACTTACCTGCCTATTAAAAGAACTATCTTATAAGGCTTAAGATAGGCGTACCAATTTACTTAGCAATACGTAGTAGAATAGGCGACTCTTGCTATACTTGTTATAGCTCCAATTAAGGTTGTTATTAAGCCGGAATAGCACGAGAGCCGCTAGGCTAAAGAATGCTAGTAACAGCTTAGAAAGCGGCCTCAATTACTCTCTTATAATTAACATAAGTAATAGGCGCAGACTTGCTACGGTTATATAGTATATATAGCACCTAAGCATATAGAGTCTCCTTTGCCCTTATCTGCTTTATCTTATCTCTCGCATTGTTAGTAAACTAAGCTATTTTAATAGCAATATTCTTAGGCGGCTTCCTTATTATAACGCTAGGTTTATTAGTAGCAAGGGCTATAAACTAGAGCCTAGCATTGTTACTACTAATCTAGAGATAGTTATTTTTAATATTAGGTAGATCGTCTAGTAGGTAGTAGTACTAATTATAGTTCTTATAAGATCCGTTGCTATACTAATTGTTAGCCTTAATCTTAGCGATATAATTGCTAACCTACCGTTACTTAGCAATATAGGCAATTCTATCGATAGTCTGCTAATCGTTTAGCTTTAACTTAGACACTTTAACGGCCGTAGGTCTAGCATCCTTTACCGCTATCTTAAACTCGAGATCTACTTTAATCTTGTCCTTTCTATTACGCTTAAACTCTAGTGCGGCAGCGAGTGCTATACGATAATCGTCCCCTTCGAGAGATTAGTATTCGTAATAAGGTAGGAGCGACAGATATAGCCGGAGCGACCTTACCTTCTTCTTCCGCAGTTATCGACTACTTAAACTAGTTACTCTTACTAATACCCTTCGTAGAAGCTATTATAAAGTAGTCGCCTATAAAGAGCTACTTCTTCTACGCCTTAGCGACTGCCTAATAGAAGGCTTCGTAGCAATATTAAGCGGACTAGCTAGTACGCTCGAAATTCTTTATAGCGACCTCTTAGTTGCTAGTAAGTAGGCGCTACGCTTGTTTATACTAGAAAGTGTTACGAGTATCGTAAGAAGCCGTCTTAATATCTTCTTTATTTATTTCTATTCTATTAATTACTCGCGGCGGCGCTAACTTATTAAATACAGACTTCGATAGCGAGGCGTCTACTATAGCTATTAAATCTACGACCTCTTTATCCTTACTAACTGCCGTCGAGGCGCTATTATTCTACTTAGTAAACTCCTTCTATACCTATACGTCGTTTACGCGAGCCTTACTAAACTTCTTTAGCGCCGCCGCTACCTTCGACTTTGTTATATTCTTCTAACCCTTTATAGGCGACTTGCGCTGCTTAGTAGCATTCTTATAGTCTAGTAGGTCCTTATCGACTAGTTTACGCGTTCTCGAAGTCTACGAAGTCGTCGCTCCGCCGCGATTAGGTATCTCGAAATACTACTATACGAGGTCGCTAGTAGCATAGATTGCGACCGTATACGCTAACTTAGGCAGTAGGTTAATAACTATCGCTATTTAGCGGTATAAGGATACGTTACAAGGTCTACGAGAACAGAAGAGGAGCACATTCCCTAGTAAACTATAAGGTTCCGTGCTGCTAAGCCGCTATTCTTGGCATTCTACGGTAAAACGCAAAACCTAGTAAATTCGCCTCCGGGAGGGTAGCATCATGCTACTCGCATGTAAGGTTTCCGTCTTAAAATAGAACCTTGCCACGAGTGGCGGAACTTTCTGATCTTCGATTTCGCTCGTACAGTATAGGGTATCCTTAAAAAAAACAATCCAACCAACCAACGAATGTCCCAACACGCTTCTTTACACATGCTCATAATTTTCAAGCTGTACGTATGCGCCTCGATCACCTTCTTCGCCTCTTCTCTTCCTCCTAATTCCCGGAAGGAGCTCTCTGAGTCCAGAGAGCCATGCCAAGATACTGGCATTGCGTGACGGCAAGCCGAGTTCTTCATCCAACATCCAATCCGGCCGGCTCCAGAACTTCAATAGAAGCGAGCTGACAACAACAGTGACGCTGGAACAAGCCATGGCCGCACCAGCAGCAAGTGGAGGCAACATGATGCCCCAGGGAAGCAAGAACCCCATGGCAATGGGGAGGCCGATAGCATTGTATACGCAGGAGAGTAGCAGGTTGACCTTGATCCTGCGGAAGATTGTTCGGCTGAGATGGAGTGATGCGGGAATGTCCATCAACTGATTGGGCTTCATGAGAACGATGTCCGCAGCGTCCATGGCAACGTCAGTTCCGCTTGCGAGAGAGATGCCAACATCGGCAGTAGCGAGTGCAGGAGAATCGTTGATGCCGTCTCCGACCATCGCTACGGTCTCGCCTTGGCTCTGAAAATCACTGATGATGGATTTCTTGCCCTCAGGTAGAACGCCAGCGAAGACGCTATCAGTAGGGATGCCGACAAGAGAGGCCACATGGTGGGCAGTATTTGCTTGGTCACCAGTGACCAGCGACGTTCGAATACCCATGCAGTTCAACGCTGCAACGGCTGCACGTGCTGATGGCTTCAATGTGTCCGAAAGACCGATGAAGCCAGCATATTCATTATCGATGGCCACGTGGATTGTCGTGATACCAGCAGATTGACCCGCTTTTGATGATGAAGGAGCTGACATTGATTGCCGTCGCTTGTTGGAAAGGTCGTCGTAGTCCTGTTCAGCTGATCTGGGTACGTCGATGCCCTGCTTTCGCAAAAACGATGCATTGCCGACCAGAAGATCATACCGCTTGCGCTCGAAACTCGGACCTGGCTCGATTGAGGCCGAGATGCCTTTGCCGACGGTCGCCTTGAAGTCGCCCATATTTCCATCGATTTGACCATCGACTCCCAGCCCAAGCTTGTCTGTTGCGCCTCGGAGGATTGCCTTTGCGATGGGGTGCTCACTGTTGTTCTCGGCGAGACCCACCAGTGTCCACCAGAGACTGACTTTGTTCTTCCAAGATCCAGCTTGCTCGAATTGTGAGACACTCATCTTACCAAAAGTGAGTGTCCCGGTTTTGTCCAGTATGACATGCGTAATTTTCGTAGCCGTCTCCAAAGCCGCACCTCCTTTCACCAAGATGCCATGCTCGGCGCCAACCCCGGTACCGACCATGACTGCAGTAGGTGTGGCCAGTCCAAGCGCACATGGACATGCAAACACAATCACTGCGATACAAAGCTTTACGCATACCATCAGACGGCCGCCGCTCGCATCAATAAGGAAAATCTTTGGTGGATGTGGCAGAACGTGACTCAATACCATCCAACCAATAAATGTCGCTAGACCCAATGTGATGATGATCGGTACGAAGTATCCGGCGACAATATCTGCCATACGTTGGATGGGTGCTCTGCTGGTTTGAGCTTCCTGTACAAGACGAACGATCTGACTGAGCTGAGTGTCTCGGCCTGCGCGGGTGACGTTGAAATCCAGACGGCCAGCATTGTTGACTGTTCCGGCCATGAGCGCCGAACCAGGCTTCTTGTTAACCGGCATGGCTTCACCAGTGACCATGCTCTCATTGACGTAGCTTTCACCACGAGTCACGATTCCGTCAGCGGGGATCTTGTCGCCTGGCTTGAGAATCACGATATCACCAACTTCGATGAGCTCGGTCGGGATTGCCCTCTCCTCGACTGCAGACCCAGCAGGTTCCTTGTCCGCTTTCTTCTCATCCAGGTCGTGCTCGGCATCCCAGCCTTCAGCGGCTTTCGCGGCGGCGATGGGATCAACGTAGATCGTAGCCATTGGCGGTGCTAAGCTCATGAGCCTCGAAAGTGCCTTCGATGTTTGTCCCTTGGCGCGATTCTCCAAGAAGCGACCGAGTGTAATGAAAGTCAAGAGCATAGTGCTAGTGTCGAATGTTGTTGACGGCCTAGAATGAGGAGGAACTAGTATGGATACAATCATGGCAGCACAGCTGAAGAAGAATGCAGCCGAGGTACCGAGAACAACCAAAACGTCCATGGTAGGCGAGCCATGCTTGATGGATCTGTATGCAGAAATATAGAATCTTCTTCCAATGCCGAATTGCACGGGGATGGTGAGGATAAGGCAAACAACATCGCCTAGCCACAATCCGGGAATGAGTGGAAGCTTAATGGCCCCGATATCGAGCGGCTTGACGAACATGGGAATGAACATGCTGATTAGGAAGACTGGTATAGCGAATGCCAGAGATATGCGAAAGTCTCGTCGCCATTCTTGAATCTCCTTGGTCTTGGCGAGAGATTCCAGCTGAGCATTGTTGTCGTCTGAATCAGCTACAAGCGCATTGTAGCCAAGCCTTTCGACTCGTTCGACGATCGCACGTAGACCGATCTTGGCAGGAGCATGGGTAATGTTCGCGCGAGTGGTGGCGAAGTTGATAGCGGCTGACAGGATGCCTTCGGTGTTGTTCAAATCGGTCTGCAAGTCTGCGGCCGACTCCGGACTAGGGAGCCCGTAGATTTTGAGCTGAACGGTCGCGTTAGCTGTGTTTGTGAGCACACCATCGTCCACGCTGGACACAACGGAAGCATCAAATCCTCGATCTTCAATGGCCTCTACAATGCGCGCGACGGAGAGCACGTCGGGATCGTGCAAAATCACTGCACGCTCTGCAAGAAGGCTGATATTGAAGACGACCAGACCAGGTACATCTTTGAATGCACCTTCTACAGCAGACGTGCATGCGCCGCAAGTCATGCCCTCGATGGCAATGGTGGTAGTCGCAAGCTGCTTCTGCACACTTTTCCTTCTTTGCTTTGGCTTTGATGCAGGTGGTTCGCTGGGCTTTGTCTCCAGGACTTCCGCATCGAAGCCAGTATCCTCAATCGTCTCGGCCAGCTGTTCGGCAGGGATGATGGTGGGGTCGTGCTCGATGACTGCGCGCTCGGACAACAATGCGATATCGAATTTCCTTATGCCAGGAACCTTTTTCAATGCGCCTTCGATGGCGGAGGTGCAAGCTCCACAAGTCATGCCGCCCACGTGTATTGTGGTGGTAGACATGCCGCTATCAAGAATATCTTCAGTATCCTCGCCGTCTGATACGTCGAACAATGGTGCGTCTGGCGTGTCGGAGCTGAGCACTTCGGCCTCGAAGCCTCGATCCTCTATCATGTCTCGTATTTCTCCCGCGGACACTTTCTCGGCGTCGTGGGTAACTACTGCGCGTTCCATGACCAAGCTCACAGACACGCTGCCCACGCCGTCTACATTTTTAAATGCCGCCTCGACCGAAGAGGTACATGCTCCACATGTCATTCCATCTACTTTAAGCGTTGTTGTGGTCATGTGCGCACGAGGCGCCACCTTTGAAGAAGGCATTGCGAAGAGCGCTTGATACCGTCGTGTTCTCAAGACCACTATGCGTCAATTCCAAAAATCATGTGGCGTCGCGGGCGTGAAGGCTGTCGGATGCTGCGAGTCGATGGCGTACTATCTGCGTGGAATGCGCGGCCTTGGCCTTTCGGCTGCAGCGTGCAATGGACTATCGCATGGCGCGGCGCGGGAAGAAGAATGTCGTTGACGAGAGGGCGTCGTGGGTGCAGGAACAGGTGGGCTTCTCGAAGCGTGTATCAATCGGGTGGAAACAAAGAGGTGGAAGGCGGTCATGCAGAGGCAGATGTAGGTGGAATGATGAGGAAGCTGTCGTGTCGCTGTGTCGGCAGGACTAACGTTAGCTGTGCTGACCAAAGACACTACTGGAACTACCGGCGGTCTGAGTTACTAGTATGTAGAGAGAGGCTCCGGGCCTCCGGCTGATGTTATAAGGTGTGCAAGGGGGATTTCGTGATTCCAGCCTTTCGTCAAGTATACAGTGCGGATTGTTCCGTAGGCTGCGGACCGAGCAAACAAGGGTACAAGGGTGCAGTGGCGCCACCAGCGACCACTGACATCGCTCGTTGCCGTTGCCGTTGCCGTTGCCGTTGCCTTTGCTGTATACTACAAATCACGCAGTGACACTTACGTGGAAGGAATATAAGAGTGCCGATGGCGATTGTTGGTGTGCTGAGGGCTCTTGCCGTATCTCGTCAAGTAGCACCTCGAGATGTTTGCCTGGTTTCCATGCACGCGTGTAGTGCTACACTCTCAATTGAACTCTCTGTGAAGAAGACTGATCATGGCCACCGCTCAGCATGACGAACACACTCATGTTCCCTCTGGCCTTCGCTATAGCAACCACCTCTGCCTATGCCGTCCTCGCAGCTTCCCCACGCCGTCGAAACGAAAGAAAACTCCAAACCAACTTCGCCAAGTACTTGGACGATCCGTACTCCATGCACTATCGAACACCACACTTTCAGGTCATCGCTAAGACCGGACGACTCACCTGGCTACAGGCGTGAAGGATATCTGCCAGAGGAGCTTGGCCCGAAAGAGTAGGAGAGGACTTCTTCTCAACAAGTGCTGAACGCAGCAGAGAAGTGGCGAGAGTATGCAGAGAAAGGAGCAGCACAAGGAGCGAGATGTCCTTTCGCTTTCGCGAGAAACGCTTGATGCTTGCAGAGGTCGCTTAAAGCTGGGAAGTTTGGCGCAACATGCAGCTTGCATACCGCTACTTCACACCTTCGCTATGGCGAAAATGCTCCAAAGCTCTATTCTGGGAGCCAGGAGGTCACCACCTTATCAGGATGTATTGCCAATACACGCACGCTGTGCTGTGACACCTTCATCAGCCACTTTCAGAGTGACAAGCGCTTGACGTTTGCATGTTGAAAGTGCCGGGTCGTACTGCCAACGCAGCTCGCTGGAAAGGACTGAATAATATGGCATGCGATCGAGCATGACCTATCGATCGAGCACTTCAATTTGTCGTGCGACCAAATATCTTGCATGCAGATCATAGTGCCGGTTGATTGCATATTATGTAACGTAACGTACATGGATCATTTTCGCCCGAGCAGACCACAACCAGCCGAAGCGCCGAATGTCAAGCAAATCTTGGTTTGAGGAGGATGTGAGGAGCGCTCTGCTTCGACTGCACTGAATTGGAGCAACGCTGTCCGGGAGAGACTCTGTTCGATGGCCTTCCAACGCAGAAGTAGAAAAATTCAAGTCAGGCGTCAGACGATTGATGATCGTACCTCCACCACAAACTCCGAGACATCGTCTACGGTACCGCTCGCAAAACATAACGCTGCACCTATGCAGATTCTGGGCTCCTCGCCATCAACAACACTAGATCAGCAGTCGTCGATCACTACCGAGACAATATCGTACTCGGCTCATCCGCTGGCCTCAGGCGTGTCCTTGAACAAGAGATTGGCCATCGCCATATCCGTGCCAATCTGCTTCTTTGTCTTGCTGGCTGTGGTCGCAGTGGCAATATACTGTTCGAGACTGCATCGTCCACACCGTAAAGACGTGAGGCGAAGAGGCTCAGAGCATCAACCTGAAGATGCATCTCAAAACCCTGCCGAGTCCCAGAATCAACAGAGACCACCAGCCCTGGATGCCAACGGTACTCAGCCCGACATTAAAGCTATTCTTGAAGCATTGAAACAACCCAAGACGCGAAGCAGATCTGATCCTACGTTCTTTGCGCAGACGCAAGAAGAATCACAGCAATATGAGCAGCCTCCTCAGCAATTAGCGAAGTTCGGCGATACGCCTCGCGACAGTATCAGTGACGAGGAAGGAATTCACTTCAGCGACCTTGAAGATCCGTTCGTTGACCGACCAGAAGACACGCCTGAAGCAGCCAGTCGTCGTCATCCAAAAGCAGCCTATAGTCCTCGTGACCCAAGGCTCAATGGAGGAAGCACAAATCATGGACATGTGTCGCCATCACGACCAGAAGATCCATTTGTCGACCAAGGCGACGACTCGATCACATCGCAACCACAAAATGCTCCTGATATCTCCCCGGAAGCAAGAAACCGCGATGATCTTGCCGATGACCCAGGCCTCTGGCTAAAACCGACCAGGAAGACAGATGTCGCACATGAAGCGTCTCGCGACCAAGTACCTGTTGAAGAAGCACAGGCACCACAGACGTCCCGCAAAATCGGAGCAGAAGCCGGAGACCCGTTCGATGACCTGGAACATGCGACACACGCAGAAACGCCAAGCGTGCGAAAGGAAGGATCACAGCAAGGTGGCCTTGAAGAAGCACAGGACTCGGGAGGAAAAGCAGGGTTGACAAACGACCAGCATTCTTTATCTTCGCAGCACTCATCACCGATAACTACTTCAAGGTCACCAAGTCCTGTGAAGAGTGAGTCTAATATCATGTCCAAGACCGGACAAGTCGAAGCTGAGCCCGAAGACCAATCCGAGGCGCTGTCCGAAGTAGAAGACGTTTCTTCGCCTTCCAAGGATAGTCAGGAACTTCACGATGATCTGATCAGCCATATCGAAGCTGTCGAAACTTCTGAGCAGGTTGAAGCTTCCCCTTCGCGACGGTCTCGAAGCCAGAGCGACAGGAACATCATTGACGATCAAGAAGTGTCGTTACAAGAGGTTGAAAGACAGGATGCCTTACTTGATCATGATCTTGTCAAGACGGCTCGGAGTCGCTCTTTCGCTGGTCGTGAGGATGATAACAGCGACGAGAATCTTTTGCGAAGAACTGTTTCGGGATGAGAGAGAGAGAGAGAGAGAGAGAGAGAGAGAGACTGTTCTTGTAGGCTTATTACTTATAATTTCCAAGCCCTTTCACGAGTTTACCACGCGGATGAGTCGAATCATGCATGGATATTGTTTTTTCAAAGCAAAGATGTATCTCCTCCAACCCCACGTAACACACCTACAACATGATTCCCATCCATCCATCACGTGCCCTCTCCTCTCCTCTCCTCTCCTCGTACAAGCACAACGAACACAACGAACACAAAACTTACAATTTGCAATTCTCATACCTGCCGTAGCACCAAGCACCACCAACGTTTCATCTCCGACGCACAGCCTTACATTGGGTACTCAATACCATACCATACCATACCATACCATTCTCCTCTTCCTCCTCTTCCTCGTTTCATGCACCACACATGCGGCACGTTGCATGCATGCGTTGTAGCAAACCGCTGCTGCGAAGAAGATCTGGTAAGCGTCGCGCCTCCCAGTTCCCGCCTTCGCTCGTATTCTCTTCCATACCCTTTCCCGAACGATGGCGAACCAGAACCAGAACCCACAAAGACCAAGGCATGAAGCTTGGGACGGAGCGGTGATTTCGGGAACGAGCATTCTTGAGTCGAAGATTTCGGAGGCGGCTGTGGAGGCAACTAGGAGTTTGGGATTGCTTGTTGATACTTCGATTGCGCCTACGCCTTCTGCGTCGTTTCGATTACCGATTTTCTCGACTGATACGCCGCCGTCGATACTCTTTGAGACGTTGATCAGCTCTACGACGACGACGACGAGCGTAGCTCGGACACCCGCCATCAGTAGTATTACTGCTATCTCAACAGCTATAGGCGAGAACAGTACTTCACACATCTCAGCTTCAAATCCGAGAAAGTCTGGTCCGTCATCAGCGCTCTACATCTCGTTGATCGTTCTCAGCATCCTAATCCTGCTCACGCTACTGGCACTAGCATGGTTCGCATTACGTCGTAAAAGGCAGGATAAAGCAGAATTCGAAGAAGCGACGCAGCGATATCATGCTCATGGAGGGAGCGTTGATGAGTCTTCACCCATAGCGGCGCGGAAAACAGACAGTTTCCAGGACTCGTTGCTGACGGGAGCGACGCTCGTGCAGCAACCGGACGCGCGGTCGAGTGAGCGAACACTGGTGCCTGACCCTTCGATGTCGCGAACGCAATGGCCTTTGAGGAGTATTAGCAGGCACAAGTCCAATCGAATCTTGCTGCCTCCTGCTCCGCCTCCGAAGTCTGAAGCTCGGTCGTTGCCATCACGGGTATCTGCGCCGCCATCATCTCCTACAATAGCAGCAGCACCGAGGGATTCGTTGCCGCGAAGACCAGGCAGCGACGATGGAGGTGAGGTCGGTGTTAGTATCCCGAACACGCAAAGGATCGAATTATCAGAGCTTTCGCCGGTGTCGCCGCTCTCGGAACGCGATGTGCTCATGCGGGACAGATTGTGATATCACGATGTTGTTACTGATGCTTTGTTGACATGCTCTGTGCGGAAATGAGGTGAAGTGTATCTTTAGCATCATTTCATGTTCTTGGAAGCTTCCGAGAAGCCGTGGGCGTGATGGCACTGGCAGTGTGCGAGGGCGAAGTTTGTCTGGGATATGGTGGGTTGTCAATGGTGGTCGATCGAGTCATCCCGGTATTCTAGTGGCCAGGAAGTTGCGCGACTGCCTTGCTGCACGGCAGTGGGGTGAGGATGTGGTTAGTTGTGTCATGACGTACATACGACTCGCTATGAATTTCGATGGTTGTGCGCTCTGTGTTGACATGTTTTCTCGAAAGAATCGCAAGACGACCTCGGTGGCAGTAACGCAGTAGAACTAAGGTGCATAGGGTGGCGGAGAGCGAGGCGTACTCTGCACAAAATATCGCCAGTTCCAGCTCCAGCTCGATGACCGGAATGTTTCCATCTCAAGCCTCGAGTGCAAGCAGCGTGCTCGTGCTCCGTACGTGTCAAGACATGTATCGTCGGTCAATGCTCAAATATGCCGTGCTGAGAACAAACCAAGATTCCAGAAGGCGAACATAGCCGCCTGGTTGTGGCATTGCGAGAGGTCTATTCTTGGTCTTTCTTTCCGACGTCAAACTTGGATTCCACGAGGGGAGCTCTTGCCACCACCCATCAGCCGGAAGTCGCGTCAATCCTCTCTCTGCGCGGCGCAAAGCCATGGTCAGTGCGCGTCATGCATGACTCTTAGGTGTAGACGTGGCGTGCGCGCTCCTAAAACCAGGCAGGAGGTCCGGAGTGCTGCGAATATTGCCACCAAGAGCCCAAAGCACGGGGGTAAAATTGTGCCGCCTGCAACGCGGACATTGAGACGGCCAGATCAGATCAGCATCCGAGCGTGGAAAAGCGAGAGAGCAGCGCCGGCTACTAGGCTCGACGAGATGTCGTAGCAATGATGGGCAAGCTTCAAACAGCGAGTATGTTTCAGAATGGGTATCTGAAGCGTTTCCAGAAGGCAGAACGCAGGGCAGAGAAGGTGTTGTCACAGTAGTAGCACTGTCGTAGCTGCAGACTGTTATAGAAGTTGAGTTCTTAAGATGATGCAGGAAGCGGCCAAGTTGCAACGATGTAGCATGTCGGAGAGGGTCAGTTGGGCAGCGATAGAATAGCCGTTTCAAATGTGCTGCAGGCAGCAGGCAGCGGACCGATGCGCAAGACCAGACTTGATGATGATGCATGTCTCGAGAATGACTCGCAGGCGGGCGAGCGCGCTAGAGTCTAGAGATCACCAACGATGATGCAGTCGTTCACGCGAGAACTTGAACAGGAAGCTGTCAATTATTATTGTTGTTGTTGATCATATTATTAGAGGCATCCGAAGGGATGGCAGGCATGTCAGAAGCAACGGGCAAGCATCGATGATCGATTTGGCGCCGCGATGCCTGCACGTCTACGGAACTTGGTCGTGAGTCGAGCCGTGATGACCTCGGGCTGAAATGAGGGTCGTCGAGCGCGCGCGCGCTTAGAACAACGCCGATGGCACCGCTTGAGATGAGATCGCTCCATCGGCATATGAATTATTGGAGACGCATAGTAGAGAGCATGTATACACTGTCTGTACAGATGAAAGCAAGCCGGAGCAGTCGATCAGGCGATCTATGCGACAGCTGTATCATGGCCGCGTGCGATATTATATCGATATTCGATGCAGCCTCTGCGCGAAATTGCCCGTAGCCGTACCCGCCGTAGCCGTACCTACCTAGTACTAGTAGCGAATGGGCGAGGTGGCTGGCCCAAATCATTATTTGGGCCTTGCTAGCGTCTGAGGAGAGATGCGGTATGGTATGGTGGTGGATACTGTACATACATCCAGCACTCGCCCTCACGCGCGCGACCTGCTGTGCATCCATACAGTACTCGCAGCGTGCTGGCTGGCCTCAGGAAGCATTGCGTTGCAGCGTGTTACACAAGTTCTGGAGATTGTCTGCAGCTGCAGCGCGCGCGAGCTCCGGCCAACTCGACGCTCGACGGCCCAGGATCCGTCTCCCGCTCACATTGGCCGCCCATCCCAGTCTCGTCTCGCCTGCACGTTGCTGGCTGGCTGCTGCCATCCTCGACACAGCTTTGCTCCGATCTGTCGGACAGCCTTGCGTCGTCGACACCTTCCGCCAATCCTCCTGCACACCACGCAGAAGCGTGCATGTGAAGAGTTTCGAGTGTGCCACGCCAGACTGCTGCTGCTTCTGCAACTGCCTTTCTGCTTCCGGCTCTGGCTCCTGCCTTCTGCTCCCACCTAACTCGACCTACTCCAACGGCTGCATCGCATCGCATTGCATCGCATCGCATCGCATCGCATCGCATCGCCTACCACACCACCCACACGTCGCCACACGCTTCGATTTGCATATTGCAGGTGCACTGCGGGCAGGAGCGCCGTTGTCGACGCATCAAGGTGGAATACAATACGCGCCTGCTGCTCTCAGGAGACAAAGATACAAGCCGCGGAAAGGCGACAGATAGCCAGCCAGCGCCTTCTTTGTCGGCGCCGCCGCCGCCGCAGAAGCAAGCTGCTGCCTCGCCTGCATTCGAGCTGTTGCCGCCGAGCACAGCATAGCAGAGCGCTGTTGCCATTGCCATTGCCATTGCCATTGCGAGTGAGTGTAATTGCACCTGCAGCCACGCGAGACGGCACGCTGGTCGACTCTCGTCCAGTCACTGCACCACCGCCCACGCCGCCCCGCCGCTCGCCAGACCTGACCAGGCCATGTCGTCCGCTGCCGTGAGCCCACAGCAATACAATCCACCTACCAACCCCACCGCGCCGCTGTCACCCTCTCCGCCCGCGTCAAGGCGACCTGCAGCCCGTCAGCCAGACCATGCTTCCATCCCGAATTCGCCCTCACAGCAGCCACAATTCACTGCTCTCCCGGCCATGACCAGCGCCCCTCGCCAGAATCAGCAGGCAGCCGCTGGCATGAGCTCTTCCACATACCAGCAGTTCTACCCGGATTCCTCAGCGGCCTCATCGTCACTGCCCATGCCCAATCCATCACTCCCCATCAGGACTTCCGCCCAGCAGACACCAGCTAGCACATCAACAGCACCCTACGACAATCGCGCGTATTCGTCTGCACGAGCTCAATCATCACATGGTCAATCGAGCTATGCCAATGACGCGAGTGATGTTGAGCGGAGAAGGACCGCGCCTGGATACCGCTCCCCACAGCAAGACCCCGGCAGTGGTCGAAGTCAGCGAACGCGGAATACCCCCACAACCAGCAGATCGCAAACAGCAATGGGCCAACCACCTATGGGCACTGACTTGCCTCGCGAGAATAGCGCCGTAATCAACCGCATAGTAGTGGACGACCCGCAGACCGACATTAGGAGAGAGGAGGCCCGCAAGGCTGAAGCTCGTGGCGTTGATCCCTCCTCCCACATGGCCAACATGAATTTGAACGATGCCGCAGAACCAGCACCTGTGCCTAGAAGTCGACAGGAGCATTTGAAGCACTCTTCTTCACACAGGAAGGAGGTAAAGTTTGGAGACTACATCCTTGGCCAGACGATTGGCGAGGGCGAGTTTGGCAAAGTCAAGATGGGTTGGAAGAAGGACTCCACAGTCCAAGTCGCCATCAAATTGATTCGAAAGGAGAGCTTGGCCGGGAACACCACTCGACTTCCCAAGATCTACCGCGAGATCTCAATTCTTCGTGAGCTGCAACATCCAAACATTGTTCGATTGCACGAGTTCGTTGAGACCGAGCGCCACATGGGAATCATTCTCGAGTATGCATCTGGGGGAGAACTCTTCGACTACATCTTAAACCACAGATATCTAAAGGATCCGGCAGCTAGGCGGCTGTTCGCACAGCTTGTATCTGGCGTGGGCTATCTCCATAAGAAGGGCATTGTCCACCGAGATCTGAAGCTCGAAAACCTGCTGCTCGACCGCAACAAGCACATCATCATCACGGATTTTGGATTTGCGAACACTTTCGATCCTGAGGACGAACTGGGCGAAGACACGGAGAACAGAATAGCCGACAAGGACTTCGTGAAACGTCAAGGCCTCGACAAGCTCATTCCTTGGGTTGATGGACGGGAAGGCGGACACAGAAGAGGTGATCTGATGCAGACGTCTTGTGGAAGTCCATGCTATGCAGCTCCCGAGCTGGTCGTGAGCGATGGTCTCTACACCGGTCGCAAGGTTGATGTTTGGAGTTGTGGTGTCATCTTGGTAAGAACGACGACATGCATTTCGGTCATCATACTGACTCTTGACAGTACGCAATGCTCGCTGGATACCTGCCCTTTGACGACGACCCTGCGAACCCTGAGGGCGACAACATCAATCTGCTATACAAATACATCGTAAGTACACCCCTCACATTTCCTGAGTACGTCACGCCGCATGCGCGAGACCTGCTCAGGCGGATCCTGGTTCCAGATCCGAGGCGGCGAGCAGATCTGTTTGAGGTGGCACGGCACAGCTGGCTCAGTGAGTACACGCATGTGGTTGGCTTTATCGGCAGCAGAGTCAAGAGCGAAAAAGACATTGGAGGCACGGTGTTGCAGAGCGATGATGATACGGGGCTTGGCCGCAGCGCATCTGTTCGGGAACCAACGAGCAGACCACATGGCGAGAGATCGGTATCTGCGCAAGGGGCAAAGCACATCCCAGCTGCAAGTATGGGTGGAGACGAAGCGAGCGACATCAGAAAACAACAGCGAGATGCCAAGAGAAGAACGGTGCAAGTCGAATACGTCGCACCTCAAGGCGCAACGATTCGCGGCGAGGCAGGCTCGCCCGCCGACCCCAGCGCACGCAAAGCTGTTCCAGGAAGCTCATCTGGCAAGACAAGAGCAAGGGCAGAGGGTCAAGGCCCCGTGGAGGTCACACAGCATCAAAGACAGGACAACGCGATGCAGCCACCAACGTCTCGGTCTGGCAGAGATCGGCAAAAAGACGCCAGCAGCCCCTTTGCTGCAGCCTCGAGCTCATTGCCGAGACCGAACACCAGCGGCACACTGGGCGGCACATCTCGCCTGCCTTCACGCGGCAACTCGTACAGCCAACCTGCTGCTGCTCAGCCGACTAACACCACTGCCCAAGGATCATTCTCTCAGCCGAAGTCAAGCTCTGGTTATATCATAGCAGGATCTGGCCCAATGTCTTCGGAAAATGTCGATGCGACCGGTCGACCTCAGAGCGAACAGGCCCATTCTGGTGGTCAATTCCAGAGACCACAGTCACATGCATCTGCCAAGTCCCCAGGACACCGAAGAAGCAGTACCTTGGGCAGTCTTGCAGAAAAAGTGCTCAACAAAAGCAACTCTAAGCGACAATCCTCACAACAGCATGAACCAGCACAGATCACGAGTGAGAAACGTGATCGCCGGAAGTATCCTCCTGTCAGTATGAAGAACGCAATGCCAAATGCTGGAGAAGAACCTGGACCTAGAATGTCTTCCGACGGTCGTCGACCTAGCTTTGGCTTTACACGCAAAACTTCGAGAGAAGGCAGCGTACAAGGACGCAGATCCTCAAGACGTTTCTCGTGGCTGCTGCCTGCAAGCATGAGTGTCAACAACATTCTTGGCAGCGGCGGCAAGAAGGAGCCGGGGTACGATTCAGGCGATGATGGCTACCGACCTCCAAACTCGCAGCAGTCCAACCAATCCCGCACTGGCAGACCAGAGAGCAAGGGCATGGCATTTGGCCGAGGCGCGTCTGATAGCCCGAGTCAGTCTACTACCAACAGCGCCATCCCTCTTTACTACGAAGAAGAAAGAGAAAAGGCCCGAGAGCAGCGACGCGGTAGCAACGCACCTGGTTCAAGTCGATACGATAAAGCATTGCCACCATCGCCAGGGGCGTTGCCAACTCCGCCACCGGTTCAGCGCAAGCAGTTCCGAGATGATGGGTACGGGTCGAACCGTCTGGAGCCAACATCGCAGGGACAAGATGCACCAGAACGATTTTACACCCCCGATCCTGGCATGGCCGGTTCCTCGGTTCAGCCACAAGATGGCGAGCAGTACAACATTGGTAGCAATGGTGAATGGGAACGATACGGGGGCCAACAAGGATCACCTCCACGAGAACCTAGAGATCAAAGCTTGCGACCGCAAAACCGAAAGTTCGAAAATGCATACGATCACGGTCATGGTGGGTCTTCGAGCGCTACCCGTAGAGTGATGGACTTCTTCCGGCGACGTGGTCGAGATCGTAACGAAGCATAGGAGCTTCCACTCGTTCGAAGATTCAGTAGCGCCAAGCGGAAGAGCGCGCCACCGCCACCGAGACGAAGCGGATACGTGACAGATTGAAACAGTCAGCAATCAAGTTCTTGAGAGACCGAGATATAAATACTTAACACAATATTGGAGCCATAAACTAGATGGTTGCATGTCAGCAGTGCATCACAAAGCACACCGGCAGCTTCAGGTCAAGTGCCATCGCTAGATGGAGTCCAGAACCTGGAGTCACAACATCGTTCGGCGCCAGGCAGAAGTGGATGCAGGCAATGGGATATGGGAGGAGGGTTTGCCTCCGATGCGGCTGTGTCCAATTCAGTTCACATTGTAATGCAAGTACGGGTGTAATTACTTGAATTCGGCACAGCGTAGGCGTTCATTTCATGGTGGGAGGCGAGCAAGCGAGCCCGAACAGACTTCATTGGTTGATGGGACTGGAACGGGAATGGGAATGGGAATGTAAGTGTGAGAATGCCTAACATCTCCTCTTCTTCTGCTTTTAAGATAGATGTAGTGTCTACTGGCGAGGAAGATTGAATTGATGCGCCGTATGGCGTTTGTGATATTGAGGCCATCATGGCATGCTTCCGGATATTTCCGGCTGAAGAATACCACCGACCTTGCGCAGTGACCTTCGCCACCTGTCCCGGCACATTGTATTGGTTGAGGTTGTGCTGATAACGTTCCATCACTTTCAAACGAGCGAACAGCCACACGAAGAAATACATCAGCATTTCTTGGAAGAAGCCCATGTCCTGTTTCATGCCGGCGAGCTGTTGCGCTTTCGTCAAAACACCTTCTAGGCGCGGACGTCGAAGCTCAGAATACTGCTTAATCGCGACGAGATGGCCACGTTCTGGATTCATCTGGAGATAATGTTGCAAGGGAAGCGCGAGACTTTCGCAGTCTTCGAGAGCCATACTTGCCCGGTTTTCTGGATCTCGTTATATATGTCGGTGTCAAGACATTTCAAGACGTGGAGACTATGCTGGCTCCGATCAGTGACGTCTTGTCTTTGGAGTCTCTGGCTTCGTAGATGACTGCGGAGTGCTTTTGAGCAGGCCGAGTTTTTGGAGCCAGAGGTATTGTGAAATGGTGGCTTTCAGTATTGACATGATCAGACGAAGTCATTGTCGCTCCATCGCGGCAGTTATACCGACATCCCGAATCAGTCTTCCATACCGGGTAAAGTGCAGCACGCGATGATCCTTGCGAATGACGCCCACGTGCATGTCCTCCACCATCTCCACTTGTTCCTGCAGCGGTGTTGAAGCGAGGTTGAACCTTTCGGTAATTACAGGCAGTGTTGAAGATGGATCTGACCTCAAGGCTCCGATGGATGCCACTACAAGATGCTGGTGTCTGCCCTTTCAGCAAGATTCCTAAACCCTCACGGCACCTCGTTGCAAGATGAGGACAGGAAACGCTCTGCCAGCACTGAACTGTTTGGCATGCGTTGCTTCGACGCAAAGTGTGCTGGCCTCGTCAGAGGATAACTGGCCTCTTGGGAACGACTTTACGCTTTGGAAGTCACAGAATAAACTGGAGATTGTGAAAGGCAGACTCAGCGTTTGGAGCACTGGCATCCAAGAGCCATTCATTAGTGCCAGCGCTGGCAATGACTCCGTTGTTGGCTCGAATGGCGCTTTTCAGATCGCTCAGGTTGACGAGTCGAAATGCTCTGGACAGAATATCACCGGCATAGAGCAAGTGCTTTGGAATAACACAGCTACTGGATCCGCGGCTCAAATCAGCGGACATCTCTTGGACTGTGGCAGTGCTTCCGCAGAATATGCTCTTACGCTTTGGGTCCCAGGCAATCTGAGTGATAGGGTTGCCTTCTACTTGGACGTATCGCCTTCGACGAACATCGATCACCCACTGAAAAAGCTATACTTCAGCTTCGATTCTTCCGCCAGTGAGGACTTTTACGGGCTAGGCGAGCAGCCTTCGTTTGCGTCACTGAAGAATCAAAGTATTCCAATCATTTCTCGCGAGCAGGGCGTTGGACGAGGTGATGAGCCTATCACATCAATTGCGAATGCCAATGGATCAATTGCTGGAGGTAACTTCTACACATCATACACCGCGGTGCCATCGTACATTACCACTGATAGTCGACTCTTCTACCTCTCCGAGAAGAGCACCGGCTATGCCAATTTCACCTTTGCACAGGACAAGGTGACGATTCGGTATGATTCTCTGAGCGTGGATGGGGCTTTCACGAGAACCAAGAACTTGTTCGATGCCATTGAGGCTTTAACAGCATACTCTGGACGAATGCCGCCTTTACCGAAGTGGGTTGATGAAGGAGCAATTCTGGGTATCCAAGGTGGTCAGGATAAGGTGAATAGCATTGTCGAGCAGGGTTTGAACCTCAGCACTCCCATCGCCGCTGTGTGGCTGCAGGACTGGTGTGGCACGCATAAGCAGACTGGTCCTTACATCAACATCTCAAGACTGTGGTGGAATTGGGAGAATGACCAGGTCCTATACCCTACTTGGAATGAATTCGTCCAAAATCTTCGAGACAAGCACAATGTCAGAACGCTGTCATACGTCAACACGTTCTTGGCGAATGTCTCAACGAAGGATACTGGGTATCGACGGAATCTGTACGACGAAGCAAGTGCAGCGCAGTACTTTGTGCAAAACACCACGACAAATTCTACGGCCATCATATCGAGCGGACCGGGCTTGAATGCAGGTGTTGTTGACCTCACCAATCCTGGTTTGCGTGAATGGTTCATCGACGTGCTCCGTACACAAGTCTGGAATGCCAACATCAGCGGCTTCATGACCGACTTCGGCGAATACACCCCTCTGACAGGAGATGTCAAAGTCTACGGCGCAGTCAGTGATGCCTTCTTCTACCACAATGCCTATCCTACCCAATGGTCCCAGATCCATCGCCAAGTGGTCGAAGAGCTCGGTCTGCAAGACGAAGCCGTCAATTTCCACCGTTCCGCATCTCAGCGCTCAAGCAAATACCAAAACCTCTTCTGGGTCGGCGATCAAAACGTCAACTGGGGCGTGCACGATGGAATCAAATCCGTCATCACAATCATGCTCCACATGGGCGTTTCAGGTTTCGCCCAACAACACTCTGACGTTGGCGGCTACACCACCGTCCTCACCTATCAAAACTACAACATCACCCGCTCCCCAGAACTCCTCGGTCGCTGGGGCGAACTAGCGGCCGTCAGCAGTGCAGTCTTCAGATCCCACGAAGGCAACATCCCTTCCGTCAACGCACAATTCTACAGTAATACCAGCACTTACACTTACTATGCTTACAACGCGAGAATGTTTGTCTCGCTCGCAAAGTACCGACGTAGAATTTTGCAGACCGAAAGCGAGACCAAGGGTTGGCCGTTACTGAGGCCTCCGGTTTTGTACCATCCGGAAGATTTGATGGCGAGAAAAATTAGTTTTCAGAGTTTTTATCTTGGGAGGGATTTGTATGTTGCGCCGGTTTTGGATCCGGGGACGTTTGAGGTTGCGGTGTATTTGCCGCCGGGTGATGGGAAGAAGAGGACTTATGAGCATGTTTGGAGTGGGACTATTTACGATGGTGGACGGCATGTCACTGTTTCGGCGCCGTATGGTCAGCCGGCGGTTTTCATCGTGAATGGTGCCAGGACTCCTGAGCTGGAACCATTTTTGGAATTCGTGAAGAAGGAGAATGCGACGAAGCTTAGTATCGACTAAACCTATGTATGTATGTATGGCTGGAGATATTTAAATAATAGTCATGCTTCACTCCCATGCATCCGTAATCTCAAATTTACACAAGACAGTGCAATGCGTCTCCTTGCCCTTCAAATCCAGCATCCGAATGAACACCCACTCCCTCGCCACATACATCAACCGCACAGCCGCCACGGCAAAAACCGGATTCCGAGCAAACTTGTCATCACTCTTGATCAAAATCCTCAAAAACACCAATTCATTCTCTTCGTAATCCCAATCCAGATGCTCGTTCCACAACGGATCAGTCGGTGGTGAGTCTGCATCTTTATGCACAAGTCCTAACTTGTGTTGTTTGTAGCCAGAAGTCTTGCGTTTCGGTGGCTCGTTCTTGATATCGTCGGGATGAACAAGAGTGCATGTGATGTATGGTTTGATTTCGTCGTCTGCGTCGCGGTCTTTTGGTAGTGGGATGTCCGTGGCTCCGGCGATGTGAAGGCGTAAATGCTTCTTTCTTCCAGAATCGAGTTTCCCGCTACCGCCTTCTCGTAGGGCTGCGGGTTTGAGGACGAAGCCGTCACTTCCGGCGAAAAGTGCTTCGTTCAGCTGCATGCTGGCGTCGAAAGTTTGCCAATTCAGAGCGCAGATTTGTGCGCCTACGCCCCAGAATGGGACGGGATTCAAATTTGCGGACGAGATTCGTGTGCCTTTCGGATAGACGCGCATGAGGTGTTTGGCATTGTGCTGGCCGATCTTTGCACCATTTGCCTTCAGCAGTGGTGCAAGACCCGACTCAGAGACATTGATGAGGTGGTGCGGTGGGCCGTCTTGAAGTACGCTTTCGAACCAGGAATGGTTTACGGGCTTGACAGATTGCGCGTAGACTCCGAGTTCTGCGAGCTCAGGAATGATGCCGCCGGAAGCGTTTTTGCGTTTCTCTTCTCGCCACCGCTTGTGGTCTTCTCTGACTTGCGGGTCTTCGTCTTCATCGGAGCTTGATTCGGACTCCTCTTCATTGGGCAAGTGGTACTCTACGATGACAGCGATTTTGGAGCCCAGCTCTTCGAGATCTACGTGCTCGCCGGAGTCTCCTTGCTCGCGTGCACCTTCGTCTCTGACTGGTTTGCTGAGGAGTCGCTCGCCCCAGACTTCTCTCATGATGGTGGCCAGTCGCAGCTGGCCTTTCGCATCACAGTGATTCTCGAGCGAGATCAGGATCGGGGCTGCTCGGTAGCCAGTATCGCTGTCGACTGGAGCAGTAGCTTCCTTATCAACCACATCTCGAATGGTCTCGCAAACAGCTCTGAACGGGATGTGAGATGCTAAGTGCTTTAACTTAGCTCGTTTGTTCGAGCGGAGTAGAGAGAGCCGCTCCCTTACCTAAGGTATAACCATGTGTTATCTTTGGCTCCTCTTTATTCTCCCCGTCGTCCCAGGCGTCGATCTCAACACATCTTGAGCCAGTGTTAAGCGCTGTCTCATACGCTACGGCAGAAGATGTGCCGTACAATTGATGAGCCAGAAGATAAGTGTTGTGACTCGAGCTGATGAAGTACTCTGTAAGTGGCCTTCCTCTCAGCGTGAGCTCTCTGGGAACATTAACGTGAGGCTTGTCGAGAAGTTCTTTCAACGCAGGGGTGTTTTCACCAGAGTTCAGGGCAATATCGTCTGGACTGAAGACCTGATGGTTGACCAGAAACTTCTTCAGAGCATGGCTGACCCGTAGTTGCTCCTTCGTAATCTTGGTTCGTCGAGCAGCATGGCCACCACCAGCAACCGAGTCGCTGTCGATGGCTTCTCCGCAGTCGTCCTCGTCTTTCTTACCCTTGCCGAACGGATTGAACTTTGAGAGCTTCGCCGTCAACCCGGAAGCCATACCGGAATTCAGAATTGGGGATCGAATGCCGTTCTCGCAATGTCGCTAGTCACAGGGTCGACTGGCTGAGTCGCTTTCCGGTTTGAGGCCAAGATGTGCCACGTCACTGGGCTTGATCTCTTGGCTGCAATCCTTTCACAGTGACACTTCACGTTTCCTCTAATAAGCGCCCTGGTCCTTCGACCAAGAGTCAAACTCCTGTTCCTGGCTGTGGTTGTTCAGGAACGAATGTAGAACGGTGGAAGCTTCCCACACGAGATCACCTTTTGCCATAAATCGTGACTAGTCTCGACTTCTGACTCTTCTCTTCTCTAAGATGTGTCGGACAGTAGGACAGTACTACAGGACATCAAGATGGAGATGATGGAGTTGCATCGCTCGAGCAACGATGCTGCATCACACTGAGCGTGCGTGCATTCATGCCTCCACAAATCAACGTTTTCTCTGATATATGTATGCAACCATTTCATTCATCGTGCTTAAAGTTATCTTGTTTCAAAAGTTCACTTTCCTATACCGTCGCCCAAGACGTTGTTGCTCTTGACCTTTCCTCAGACCATGTCTCATTTGCCCACGCCGTTGAAGCCAAACTTCGACCACAGCCTTTCCTTGCAAGATGGGAAGCCTGCTGCATTCTTTCTTCGCACCCCTTATCTCAGCCGAGATGGAGACGCTTCTCTTCGAATGTGAGGGCCGCTCGAAGCGCTCGTTAGGACAAACGTCCAGCCTCCAGGTAGGAGAGCTATTGTATCAAAGATTCATTCTGTGATCCTCATGGCACCCCTGCGCACGTCTCGGAAACCTGGATTAAACATACAAATCTATGCCCAGCTGGAACGCCGACGCCGACCATCCTCATGCATTGCCAATACACAAAATATCATCAAAGAATCGAATTCACGATGTTGCCACCAATAGTAGCTCCAGCACCGAAAATAGCCGCATTACCCAACTTCTTGCCAAACTTCTTGCCCATTTCTTGTCCCTTGCCAGGAATCTTGCCTTCACCGTTGCCCATTTGCGAGGTCTCAAGAGGAGCATTGCCGTGGTTGTTGGTGTAGTTGGGCGCAGCTGGACCAGGTTGTGCTCCCTTCTCATCTGTGACTTTTACGTATGACCTTGGGAAGATACCCTCTTGGCCAGTTCTGCTTGATCTGCCCTTCCACCATTCCGCATTCATATACTCGGTTACTGTCACGTGGTCGTTCGGCTGCAGCTCAAGGTCACCAGCATCGGTGGAGGTATATGCGTAAAGTGCCGTGGCTGTGCAGAGAGGCGCCCAGTTCGCGGCTGGCGGAGGAGAGTTATATGCTGGTGGTGGAGGTTGAGGCGAAGGGGTCGGGTTGTAAACATTGTCGCTTCTGTCGTTGTGGTGACCGTTCGTCTGGGCGTGGTTCAGGTTCAGGTTGTTGAAAGGCTGGCTAGGAGGTTGCGGAGCGGCTACAGCAGGCGAGGCAGATGGTACTGCGCCGACTGACAGAGGAGCATGAAGGGCTGTCTGAGGCGGGATCTTGGAGAGCAGGTCGTTGAGGGTTTGGGGCGATATGACCGAGGCATCACAAAGGTATTCGAGTTCCTGTGTATCGTCAGTATTGGGCGCTCCCTCCCATTTGCGATTGCATTGCGCGTACAGCCTTGATGGTCCTGATGGAGCGGTTGACCATCGCTGTGTACATTTCTTCCGGTGGAGCCATGTTGCATCAAATACTGTCGTCTCCGACGTTTGGGCGTACGCAAGATTGTTTGAAAGATGGAAAGGTGATGTCGTTGTAGGCCAAGCATGATAGTTTCACACGACCAGGGCCGCTTGGCCGATGATGATGGCCACGTGGCGCAGCAGCCGACGCCACCCGTCCGTTCAGCTTCTATCAAGACGCCATGTATGCCACGCCGGCGGAAGGTTGATGGCAGAGGCTGTCAGCTGGTCCCCGGAATCGCTTTCGATGAAATCTGGACAACACCGCCACGAAGCCGCGAGTCGCTCGCTCGAGCGGTGCATTAATACAGGCAAGGCAGCAGGAACAGGAACAGGGAATGCCGTAGCGGCGGTATACACGTCTTTGCAGTCCAAGCACGGGATGTGGCAGAAGCGCGTTCTTCGCGGGGTGGTGGTACGGCAGAGGCGAACTGCTCAATATGCTAGCGTTGATCTTTCTGACCTCCTTGGCCTGCCCACCGTCCCGTCCCATACAGGCGGACGTGCTGCAGCTATGGAAGTCCATGACGGGCAGGAAGCTTGGAGAAAGGGAAAGTGCAGTGCACTCCCATCGCGCTGGCCACCTGCCGCGACAGAGCTGTCACTGCCTTCCGCGATGTGCATCGCATCTGCACCTGAATCTTTCGATCACATCTGCAGCCTCCTCCTACTGTATCCTCGTCCATTCGATCGACTCATCTCTTAACCACATCATGCACTCGCTCGCATCCTTTGTCGCGTGACAGCTCTCTAACACTGACAGTCCTCAGCACTCAGCAACAGAAGCTTATTCTTCCCCTTCGATTCAATTGCACCTATCTCGACATCCGCCACATCCAAAGCCCTCGTCGTGCGCTGCCTTGGGCCTTTGACACGCCCACGGGACATCGGCGACATCTCACGAGGTAGAATCCTTGCTCACCTTCTGCCCCGCCAAACACCCCTTGCGTTTTGCATCATTGGCTTGTGCTCAGATGCTAATGGCATCAAGCAAAACCACTCGACAACGCACTTCCTGCAGCTGCTCCAGCCATCACACGCCTGCGACACCATCAATCCACGGAGCATGAGCTCGCAGAATTCCGAACACCCGATTAACCCCCACGACGCTCATCACGAATCGCAACCCGATCTCGATCCCTACGCTGCCCCGAGTGTCTACTATGGCGTTAGCCACTCTACTAGGAAAATGGCGAAAAGCCGCACATACTCTGCTGTAAGCACGACGGCATGGGCCCAGTCTACCCACTGGTCCCAACGTTTCGTGTGCTCACACTGTGTTTCAGGTCGATCCCGGCTTTAACAAGGTACATGTAGGCGAGAAGCCTTTCAAAGCTCCAGCAAGAAGGACCAGCGCAGGTGAGTATCTAGCATCACTTGACGAGGGCTTATTGCTTACACACAGTCACAGACGTACATTCGGGTAATGTCCAGCGCCGGTACCTGATTGACGTGGACGACACTTTGAAGACGCTCTTGGCTCGTGAAGACACCGATCACAATATCCAGATCACCATTGAAGACTCTGGGCCGAAGACTCTTGAGCTTGGGACAGCTTCTTCGGGAGGATACAAACGCTTCGATGTCCGAGGCAACTACATGCTCAGCAACTTGCTGCAAGAGCTTACTTTGGCCAAGAAGTATGGTCGGAGGCAGATTGTCTTGGATGAGTCTCGTTTGAATGAGAATCCGGTCAACCGCATGGCTCGTCTCATCAAGGACCAGTTCTGGCCGAACCTGACGAGAAGGATCGACGGTTCCAACATTGCTGCTGTCGGCAGAGATCCCAAGGATTGGACATCAGACCCTCGACCTCGCATCTACATTCCTCCCGGAGCACCAGAGCAGCACGCTTACTACACTCGCATCGCACGAGAACATCCTCACATGCGCCTCGACGTTCGATGGCTCAAGGAAGGTGCCGCAGATGATGACGAATATGTGCGCGACTTGAACAGCGCACCCGGCCTCCTCGCCATTGAGATGGAGCAGGTGGAAGACACGCCTGACGGGGAACCAGATTTCAAAGGACTTCCTTTCGTCGTTCCAGGTGGTCGCTTCAACGAGCTCTACGGATGGGACAGCTACATGGAGACCCTCGGCCTACTCGTCTGCGATCGCGTGGATCTTTGCGAGGCCATGGTCAAGCACTTCTGCTTCTGCATTCGTCATTACGGCAAGATCCTGAACGCCAACAGATCATATTACCTCCGCAGATCACAGCCGCCCTTCCTCACCGACATGGCTCTCCGCGTCTACGACCGTATCAAGCATAGGCCAGACAGCCTAGAGTTCTTGCGACGGGCCATGCTCGCCGCCATCAAGGACTACTATTCGACATGGATGTCTAAACCTCGTTTCGATCCAGAATCTGGCCTATCTCGATATGTGCCTGGAGGTCTTGGCGTGCCACCAGAGACCGAAGCGACTCACTTCGTCCATGTGCTTACCCCATACGCCAAGAAGCATAACATGACCTTCAAAGACTTCGTTCACGCATACAACTACGGCCATGTCTTTGAGCCAGAGTTGGACGAGTACTTCCTTCACGACCGAGCCGTTCGAGAATCAGGCCACGACACTTCATACCGCCTGGAAAAGGTTGCAGCTCATTTGGCCACTGTCGATCTCAATTCGTGCTTGTACAAATACGAAGTGGACATTGCTCGAACGATCCGTGCCTTCTTTGGCGACAAGCTGGAGATTCCTGAGGAATGGCGCCTGCCTGGACATCCCGAGTTTGAAGTCTCTTCAGTCTGGGATCGCCGTGCCAAGAAGCGCCGCCAGCTCATGGACAAACTCATGTGGGACGAGGAGGAAGGCATGTTCTTCGACTACAACACAGTCAAAAAGCAACAGACTGGTTACGAAAGTGCCACCACATTTTGGGCCATGTGGGCAGGCGCATGCACTCCGAGACAGGCTGCAGTCATGGTTCAAAAGGCACTTCCGAAGTTTGAGGTTCATGGCGGCCTTGTCTCTGGCACTGAAAAGTCTCGCGGCCCTGTTGGCGTGCATCGCCCGAACCGTCAGTGGGATTTCCCCTTCGGCTGGGCTCCACAGCAGATTCTGGCCTGGACAGGCTTCTTGCGATACGGATTTGAAGAGGAAGCTCAGAGACTTTGCTATCGCTGGATTTACATGTGCACGAAGGCATTCGTCGACTTCAATGGCGTGGTTGTGGAGAAGTACAATGTGACGAGACAGGTTGATCCTCACAAAGTGGAGGCAGAGTACGGCAACCAGGGAGGCGACTTCAAAGGTGTGGCGACAGAAGGGTGAGCTATTTCCATGCGACTACTCTGCCGGGTTCATATGCTAACATACTTGGCAGCTTCGGCTGGGTCAACGCATCCTACTGCTACGCCCTGCAGATTGTCAATGCGCACATGAAGCGAGCTCTTGGTGCCGTCACACCTTGGGATACCTTCAAGAAGATGACAGAAGCTGCAGAAGATCCAGTCGATTTTCGCGAGAACTTGCATACTCAGCAGTCGCACACTCCAGCACCAGTTCAACCTGCTGACGCGCATCACGGTGGTGCCGGTGACACTCACAACGACGTGAATTCGGGCACGATGGCCTTGAAGGGCGTTTAGATGATAGAATCATTTCGACTTTGGCGTTTTCGAACGCTTCCAAGTTCACCTGAGGGGTAGAGGAAAGCAGCGATGATTGCTACGACATTGATGCATATTGCGATTGGATGAGATCTTGAGCATGGAGTCGTTGGCAGTCCTCATTTCGAGATGGCGAGTTGGTACCTGAGAGTTTTAAACAAAAGCACATTTCTGCCACCTGTGACATGACAATGATTGTCACAAGATTACTGTTCCCTGACACTCGCGTGATTCTGGAGTCGTTTCCCGCTTGTGGCTGTCGATCTTGTTCCTGCATAAGTTTTTACCCCAGCTGCCCCGCCATGCCATGCAGGTGAATCTTCTGGAAGTCGAGCCCTCCAGCTCTTTTTCAGCTCATCGCGTTGCCTGACCTCACTGATCACAATTGGAAACATCCAACTTGTACATACCATACAAAAGCCATCAAGCTCGCGGACACAAGTCACTCGCAGTCAAGAACACCACCCAGTCATCAGATTCGCGACCGAAGCTCCCCACCATGGCCGCTCCTCGTAGTAAGGTCTTCTTCGACATCTCGATCGGCGGTGAGAAGCTCGGAAAAGTCGTCTTCGAACTATACAACGACATCGTACCCAAGACCGCTGAAAACTTTCGCGCACTATGTACTGGCGAGAAGGGCGAGGCCAAAGCTGGCGTGCCTCTTCACTACAAGGGCTCGAGCTTCCATAGAGTCATCAAGAGCTTCATGATCCAAGGCGGTGACTTCACCGCTGGCAACGGGACAGGCGGCGAGAGTATCTATGGCGAGAAGTTCGAGGATGAGAACTTCGAACTGAAGCATGAGAAGCCATTCCTGTTGTCAATGGCCAATGCTGGACCAGGCACAAACGGCAGCCAGTTCTTCGTCACAACAGTACCGACGCCTCACTTGGACGGCAAGCACGTGGTCTTCGGTGAGGTTGTCGCAGGAAAGAGCATCGTCAGACAGATTGAGAATACGCCAGTTGGAGTGAATGACAAGCCAGAGAAGGACTGCGTGATTGAGGATTGCGGCGAGCTCCCAGCTGACGCAGACATCTCGGAGTTCACTAAGAAGGCTGCCGATAGCACAGGTGACGCATATGAGGAATTTCCTGAAGACCAGCTCACGGAGGGCGAAGACTGGACAGGCGCGAAGATCGTCGGGATAGTGGAAGACCTGAAGGCTATGGGTACCAAAGCATTCAAGGCTGGCGACCACACAACCGCACTGGCTAAATACCAGAAAGCTCTCCGCTATCTGCAAGAGTACCCGGCACCGCTCGACAATGATCCACCTGAGCTTGGTGCTCAGCTCACTAAGCTCAAGATCTCACTTCACACGAACAGTTCTTTGATGCAATTCAAGCTCAATCGGTTCAAGGAGTCTTACGAATCTGCAGACAAGGCTAGCGCCGTCGAAGGTATCTCCGATGCCGAGAAGGGTAAGGCATTCTTCCGAAAGGCCGTTGCGCTCAAGAGCTCCAAGGATGAAGAGGGTGCACTGAAATATTTGGAAGAGGCACAGAAGCTCGTTCCAGGCGATGCAGGTATCAAGAACGAGCTGGCGGCGGTCAAGAAGGCAGCAGCAGACCGGAAGGCGAGGGAGAAGAAGGCTTACTCCAAAGCTTTTGCTTAGAGCAGCAATTCCAAATGCCTCTTGCCAGAAGACCATCCTAGGATGTCCTCAACTTGGAAGGACATTGAGGAGCACGTGAGCATTATCCGAGCGATTCAGCGTAGCACTGCTTCAGAATAGACGAGCAATCGACGAGACGAGCTGACGACGGGCAAGAGCCACAACTGATGATACTGCGCAACGTAGCACAAAGGCATTGCACGATCGAAAAGTACACATTAGAGACCACGGCGGCTGCATGGCTTGGGCTATTTGTGGGACCGAGGCTGTGTTCCATCCTTTGTACGCCCAGGCAATCAGCTTTTTGCTGCGGTATGCTGAACGGTGGGCCAGCTGAGATTCACGCAATGTATATAGAGCAGAGCCAGAGCAGAGCAATACTCTAGACGACACCAAACCAACGCGTTAGCCAATGCAGAATGCCTTCAGTACTCACACCCTTCACCCCTCGTCATCGCGATACATCTCCAGTCTCACTGGTCCGGGCCACATCCCCGTCGCCGGAAGCAGATATGCCATCGACTCTGACCCTACCGCCATTGAGATCCGAGAAACATCCGTGGGCTCTGCTGGGAAGAGCTCGTCCGTGCGGTCCGAAGAAGATCGAGGCGGTTTGCGTGCTTCCGAGTGTGTTGGTGCTGTTCACGCCTGGAGAAGCAGCTGGTTGCGAAGGCAGCAGGACGCGAAGCAGCTCGCAGCACTCTACGTGGTCGTCCGGCTCAAACTCGTGAAACCGGACGATCAAACCACCCGTATCACAGCAGAGCAATAGCATTCGACACGCGTAGTGGTTTGTTGGTTGGATTAAGGGGTGAAACGATGGGCGAAGGCCAGACGTCGTCATCGTGCATGGTCATGTGCAGAGAGGGAGGGTCTCGTCTTCACCACCACGACGCGGCCTGCCTCGTTGCTCCTTCCCCTCTGTCTCGAGGAACCCAAGCTTGGCCAGCATTGCGACCCATTGCCATCTTTCTTCCAGCCATTGTCTTTCCGCATGGCTGCTATACGGTAGCGGCATTTGCTGGGAACCCTTCCACCTGCAAATCCCGTCTCCGACCAAGCGAAGCAAGCACTTCAGGCCGCGACACTCCGTCCAAGCTGGGATACCAGGCTTTCCTGTCGTTAGAGCCAACTGTTGCGGTATTTTGGATTAGCACGACCATATCTTGGGCACTTGGATTCTTCATGCCGTTGGGAACGACTTGTACACCTGTATGACATGCCGACGCACTCGCTTTCAACCTCCAACCCACGCACAATAAGCCCTCAGAACTCGTCCACGCCGCTGATAACGCAAGAACAGCGTCAGGACGTTCGAGAAGCTAGCGCCAGCAGTGTTGCGGAGCAAGACGGGAAGACTTTGAAACAGAGATTGTTGGGATTGGCTGGAAAGAAGAAGGACGAAAAGGCAGAACCGAAGATGAACACAGTTCATTCTCAGGCGGAAGTCGCATCGCCTTCGAAGCAAGCGCAACTTGATCCCAAAGCGCAAAAAGCTCTCAGGAACAACCCATTACAGAACACAATCGCTGCTTCGCCATCACGAGTGAGATCGAGTTCGCCGCGACTACACAGCCCTGCATCCTCTGAAATATTCGAGCGCAATGTTCAGGAACCCATACCGATATCTTCTCTTGGTAAGGATGAGAAGAACTTGGAACAGCATCTGCCTGCGCATGTCATCACCGAAGATGCTATCCCTCCAGCACTCGAAGCCTCTGCCGAAGCAATCACGAATAACCGCTTGAATCCGGACGAAGTTGAAATAGTCACATCGGCGTCGCATCAACCTGCTGCTCAAGTGGTGCTCGAAGCTGCAACTAGTAATACCGATTTGACCTCACTGAACTCTCCACGAAGCGAATTGATAGACCTTGCGATAAGCGAACCTTCGTCAAGCTTGCATGCCACAGGAATAATACCAGGAACTGAAGATGATAATGCGAGCACGTACGCACAACTGGATCCAAATGATGTCAGACGTCTCAGCTTCATCTCATTCAAAGACATCGTCCACAGCGAGCACCAGCAAATGGCCGCTTCCAGCTTCAGTGAGGTTGGCAGCCGAGAAGGTCTACCTATATCGAATATGTCGGCCTCTATCGGGGAACGTGCTGCGTCACCTTTGAGATCTCCGCGATCCCCAAATTCAACACATAGTTCAAAAGGAGGTCTCACAACGCCCCCGCCCGGTACCAATGCCAATCCTCTTACGGTAAATCCAGAGCAATCTCCAGTGCGCAGTATAGGGCTCGGGAGTCCTGGAAACCAGCACGGAGAACTTACGATCGAGACAATGAGGCAGAGTATCCGTAAGACTGCCAGCGGAGATCTTGGTGGAGGGAGGAGCACTGGAATGTCTCCGATCAGCGACGAGAACAGCTTTTCTCCCGTGCCTCGAAGCCGAACGAATTCATAGGGAGGATCTACAGCTTCGTCGGCACGGCACTGTTCGCTCGGATTTTTTTTTTCTTTGGAGTCATGTCTATCCACCACAGGAATGGTTGAAATCATAATCTGGTTGCTCTCTTGACGAAAATGTCCTTTCTGTTTTCGCCTCTCTCTTTTTGATCTGGTCTGTGTTGTGATGAATTTGTGAAGAGTGTCAGCATGGATATCCCAGTATGAAACTGATATACTTGTCACAATGTGCGGGAAGGAAGGATTCACAGTCGGCTCGGCGAGCAAAGTGTCATCATCACTAGAATATCACACACACTCAGCATATTCTTCTACCAGTGCTGGTCTTTCTACATGATACCCATCAGATGTGTTTACACGAAGCAGCCCTTTTCTTTCAACCTGACGTCCTGGATGCGTTCGCATGACGGAGGATTTTTCATAGTGCTTATTAGCCTCTCCTCTGACTCGACTTTTCTGCTTTCGAGTCATGGCCAGCGCTTACTGTCCTACGCCAGGAACGAGAGTTGAAACGAACCAGATGGGTATAACACGATTGCCACAGGCTACCGACTGCTTGGTAAGGAGGTTGGGATTGTGACCAAGAGGGAAGAGCAGCAGAGTTGATAGGTGTTGGATTAAGTAGTAGGGAGGCTGTGCTATATATAGATAAATATACTACTAGACTCTATAGACTTTAGTGGATGTAGAAATTTTAATAGCTTTTTAAAAGTAATATAGCTATATAGTAGTTCGTAATAATATATTATTAAATAATAGGTAAGATAGATAGAAAGATAAATAGAAGATTAGTAGCTAGTAAAAACTTAAAAAAAAAATTTAGTATAATTAAATTTTAATATCTAAAGGTTTATTTAATTTTCTAAAAAGTATTTCTATAGGTAAATATACTAGACTAGATAGAAGGAAAAACTATATTATAGAAGGGGGACAAGATTCTAGTCTACTAGAGTCTCTTTTAAGAACTATATATAGTATAGGTAATAGTTAGGAACATTTATTACTAATACTAATTAAAGTTATTAGAGAAAATAGTGCTATTCGATATTAGTACTAGAATACGTAAAGAGAATAGCGAACTTTTAAAGGGTACTAAGTACGATAATTAGGACCGAGGTAACTATATGAAACAATTACAAAGTCGGTGTGGATCGCCCGGAAGACAGGGGACACGGTTTAGTTGGCCTCCGGTGGCCGTTCTGTATGCACATACTGTAACGTGAACTTTGTACCTGCACGCCTCACACGTCACATGGTCTAGAGTGTTTTGCGGTGTGTGAGTGGTTGTTGAACACGAAAGACGAAACACTGCAATGGCTCGTGCTCGTGCTGAGGTGTGACACGGGGAACAGGCTTGGCTTGACGATTGCTTCGAGAACACGAACACGAACGCTGGCGGCTGGCTGTCCAAGGCATGCATGGTCGGGTCGGGTGGGAAAGGCAGTGTAGTAGAAGGAGTGGAGTAGTAGTGTAGTGGACTGGCAAAGCTGATGCCGTCTCGTGAGTCGTGATCGGTGGGCACTGGGCATGCGGGCGGGCGGGCGGAGGGCCGGGCGGGCTCCAGTCGTTGGGCTGTATCAGAATTGACGGGGGTGGTCGATTGGTGTCACGTGCGAGATGCGTTCCAGTGTTTGAAGGTTCAAGGCAGGCAGACGAGATTATTATTGTTGCCGGCGAGGAATTTGTTCGAGAGCGCCGGCGTGGGTGCACGGTGGACCTTCAGGCTTCGTGGATTCGACTCGCGGGCGGCGTGGGTGGCTGACTGCCCAAACTCTCCTCGTGGCAGCAACCTTGAACTGCAGCGTGCGTGCCTGGTATCGCTATCGCTACGCTCGTGGCTTCAAGACACCTCTGCATGCTCCGATTGCTGCTCTGATTGCGACGCGCATTGTTATTGTTGCGTCGTTGCTCCCAATCGGGCTGCCACCGCAATTGCGCTTGAATGTGGGCCTTTGTTCTCGGCAACCGCTGCAGCACAGAGATACGCCTCCCACCCACGCATTACTGTACAGTAGCGGCAGCGGCAGCGGCAGCGGCATTCACTGCGATATGCGACGCTGTCGCCACGGCCGACGACTTGTCTGCACTCAGACAACAACCAACACCCACCCGACCGCCGCTGCACTGCTTCGCGCCGTGACCTCGACTTCCCAGCACCATTCTTGTTGCTGAGCGCGCGCGCCCCGTCTGGACCACGACAACGCACGCGAGCCGATACTGGGGAAGTGGAGATATCCGGAGGCCAGCAATGGGCGACAAGTCCCATCGGAGACGCTCTGGCGTTCCCTGGAATAGCGACCCTCCGCAGGCGCAAGACTCCGCCGCCCGCCGTTGGGCACGAGAAAAGCAATCGAAAGAGCCTACCATGTACGACGACTGGCTGAATTCCGAGAGGCAAGCACTGCAGACGCCTCCAGGAAGCTCATCTCGCGAGCGAACAATCGAAAGACGTCCCTCAATGCCGCTGCGCCAGGGTAGCACAGCAGTGTCTAGCGCCACACAAACCATTCGATCGGTAACGCCCGACGACGAACACGCGAGAAGGGGAAATGAGCTTCGCCTTAATGGTGCAGGTCGAAGTCTCGACAGTGGTCGAGCGTCAGAAAGCTCGAACAGCATGAATTACGATCGCGTCTTCATTCCGCACACCACCACCACCATTGTCGGCGGAGCCGCCGCACGAGACAGCCCGAGCAATTCCACTAGCAGAAGTCGAAAGGATAGGGCTTCTGAACGCGGCTCAACATTGAGTCCGCCTCTGAGCCGGGACGGAAGCGTCAACTTGTCCTCCACCTCATTCTTGGGCAGTGAGAGCAAGAGCAATGGGCAACGAACTCACGGCATCATGGAGGACAATGGCAAGGCTTATCGGCCACGAACGCGCACGCTGGACCAGCACAGGAGAGGAGGCTCGGATCATTCATTCACGTCCATCAAGAGCAGAACCAGATTCGGCGGCGGCGGCGGCGGCGGCGTTCAGTCACCAGCTTCATCGCCCGCATACCAAGGTGGAGCAGAATATCTTGCATCGGTGCCTGCATCAACGGAAGTGCCATCAGCGCCTTCAGTCTCGTCCCCACGCGAGTCTCCTGCACATACCCCGCAAGGACATCGTTCCATCTCGCCCGTATCGTCCGGCACGGCTGATAGCATCCAGTCGGCATTACCAAGCGCCAATGCGAGGAGGATTTTACACCTGATGAAGACCTTGAATGGGAGGATGAGTGGAAATGTCATTTTCCGACGTGGCCATGGCAATCCCTGGTCGCAAAGTTATTGCTACATCCACGAAGAAAATGGCAGTTTGATGTACGAATCCAGAGGGAGCGAAGGTGCGCACAAGACGCTTGTACCCGATCTTAAAGGGTCTCATGTGCGCTCGAACCTGGATGGCGACATGCCTTATCTGGAGGTGACGTTCTCTGACAGGCCTGATGAGGTCCACATCAAACTTCAAACGCAATCAGACTTTGATGCCTGGTTTGCTGCTTTATTGCATTGGGCGCCAAGAGACAACGCCTCCATTTCCAGTGGTGACCACAGACCGGAATCGGCCTCCGACTCCAAAGCATCGTCGATGGTGGAACCTTCGAAACGTAGAGCCTCAGTGAACAACCCTGTAAACAGCACCGGTCGAGATCGTGCCGCGAGCAATAGAAGCCAGAAAAGCGATCGTCGAAAATCTGTAATTGGCGCCGTGGCCAAGGAGAACCCTGTCATCAAAATTGGGAAGATGATTTACTGGGATACAAACATCGGGTATAACAGCACGAGTGCCCTTGGTCAGGTGTCTGCTGGACGACCGAATACGTATCGGATGCAGTCTGTGGGCTCGCGGAGGTGGCGGCGGATCAGTGGTCAATTGCGCGAGAACGGCGAGCTGAAGCTGCATTCTGACTCGGACAACTCCCTCATTTCGGTCGTGCAGTTGAGCCAACTCAGCAGGTGTGCCATTCAAAGATTGGACGCCAGCGTGCTGGACAACGACTTCTGCATTGCGATATATCCGCAGTATACGGCAAGCTACACGACTACACAGCCTGGATTTATTCGGCCAATCTTTTTGAGTTTGGAGAATCGGGTGTTGTACGAGGTCTGGTTCGTCCTACTTCGTGCTTTTACCATGCCGTCGATCTATGGACCACGGATCGAGGCTGGAGAAACCGAGGCTGGCATTACCAATGGCAATCAAGACCTCGAGAGTATGATTGCGACAAGCACCACGTACACTTTCCGAATGGAGCGGAGTCTCAGCGTGAGAGTTGTTGAAGCCAAGATGCAACCTGCTAGCGGTAGCGATTCGTCTTCCGCTTTCAGCGGCGGTTACAAGTCCAATGCACCACCCGAGAAGCATGGTTACTACGCTGAGGTTCTACTCGACAACGAGACGAGAGGCAAGACAGTGGTCAAATTCGAAGGACTAAATCCTCTTTGGGGAGAAACCTTCGACTTCCAGGACCTGCCACCAGTACTCAACAACGCCAGTGTGATCGTCAAACGTCGACCACCCGAGCAGGATTTGCCGAAGTCCGAGAGTAAGCACAATGTCCACGAAACCTCTGACCAGCAACAGGGTGGGTTCACAAACCTTGCCTTTGACGTCACGTGCGGCAAGGTGGAGATTCAGATGGAGGAACTCGAGCCTGAAAAGGAAATCGAGAAATGGTGGCCCATTGTCAATATGCACGGACATCGTGTCGGCGACGTCCTTATCAAGGTGCGAGCCGACGAAGGCATCATCCTCATGGCGCGCGACTACCAACTGCTCAGCGACTTGCTGCATCGATTTTCGAATGGATTGACTTTGCAGATTGCACAAATGATACCCCAGGAGCTCAAGCGACTTAGTGACAGCCTATTGAATATTTTCCAGGTTGCCGGCAAGGCAGGCGATTGGCTTATGGCATTGGTGGAGGAGGAGATAGATGGCATACACAAGGAGACGCCGATTACCCGCCTCAGGTATAGCAGACGAGTGGGCTCTGAGAGCAGTAATGACCCTCTTGGAAGTGGTGCGCCGAACAGCGACAGGGAGCTCATCGTTCGTGACCTGAACAAGAGTGCTACCTTGGAGGCCAACTTACTCTTCAGAGGCAATTCATTGCTTACGAAGAGCTTGGATACTCATATGCGACGCGTGGGCAAGGAGTACCTCGAGGAATCACTCTCGGCCAAGCTGATGGACATCAACGAGAAGGACCTTGACTGCGAAGTGGACCCGAACCGAGTAGGCTCGCCCCAGGATGTGGACCGCAACTGGAGAAGGCTTCTTCTTTTCACGCAAGAGGTCTGGAAAGGAATCATCGCCAACAAGCAGCGATGTCCTATCGAGCTCAGGATCATCTTCAGACACATTCGCGCTTGTGCGGAAGACAAGTATGGTGATTTCTTGCGCAGCGTGAGCTACAGCAGCGTGTCGGGTTTCTTATTCCTGCGATTCTTCTGTCCGGCAGTCCTTAACCCGAAGCTCTTTGGATTGCTCAGTGGTGAGTGGCTTTGAATCATTTCTGCATGATTATGACTCACATTTCCTAGATGACATCAAGCCAAGGGCTCGCCGCACATTCACACTGATCGCCAAGTCACTCCAGACTATGGCCAACATGGCCACCTTTGGCACGAAGGAACCATGGATGGAGCCAATGAATTCTTTCTTGGTGCAGAATAGGGACTGCTTCAAGTCCTTCATTGATGATGTCTGCTATGTGCCCACGCCAATTTCGAGCAACGAATCTCCCAACTTAGCGAGCTCATCGACCTGGCCATCTGGAGTCGTCAGTGCCGAGCAGCACCTGAGTTACACAACACCGATGACAATCATGCAACGACTACCACCAAGCAGTCGAGAAGGATTCCCAAGCCTGCCATATCTCATCGACCAGGCAAGGGCATTCGCCGACCTCATTCATCTCTGGCTCGAAGCGACAGCTGCACTGTCGAGCAGCAATAATTCTGCTGCGCTCCCAGGCAAGACTCACAGCGATGTTCTTGCTGCTATCAATTCATCGGAAGGTGATCTCAAGGACTTCCACAAACTTTGCGAGGAGCTTAATTCGAGAACGCAGGAATGCCTGAATCGCGCAGAAAGAGCTGAGCGGCCTGACAGTCCCGGGTCTTTTCAGTGGGAAGATGTCATCAATCAGCTGCAGAAGACTCAGATCCGCGGGCAACCCAGCAAACTCGGACAGGATCCATCAGCGTTCGACATCGTCGCCGATAGAATCGCAAGCGATCCTTCCATCTTGCCTGATGACACCAATGCTATCGAAGCAACATTGGCGCAGCTGCGAGGTTCGGAAGATACAGACGAAGACCATATGTCTGAAAGATATGGCGACCAGTACATGACTACATTGGAGTCCGCAGTGATCAACATGCCACGATCAAAAAGCGAGTATGGTCAACGACCTGGCTCTAACAGCTTGGGTAGCAGTTTCCAGGGTAGTGTGAGTGGTAACTACCCACAAAGCATGAGCTCCCCACTTGCATCGGCGAGCGCAAGCATGAGTAATGTCTCAAGCGCTGTCAGCAGCGACACTGAGCATCAGACTACAGCATTACCAAGCTACGAAAAGGAAGTCAAACACCGAGAGCGACGAGACGCAGCGCGGCTGCAGATTCAAAAGCAAATGGAAGCGGCTCGCATCAAGGAAAAGGAGAAAGAGAGGAAAAAGAACAAGCTCTTGCCACCTGCATTACGAAAGAGGAGGGAGAAGGGAGAGATCCCATCGAGAAGTGCTAACAGCACGCCTCTCGAGGAGAAGAACATGATTTGATGATGCTTTTGAAGAACCGGCGGTGATACCACTTTGATGACGATTCCCCCATTTTTGTTGCACCACAGCGAGAATGAAGCTTCTCTTGTCCGCCAACGGGAAAGTACACCGGGCTGGGCTTATGAGTTTTGTTTTGTATCGAAAGCGAGCGACGAAGCTAGATTGCGAGTTGGAGGCATGAGAGCTGGGCTGGGCGGTTACGAATGACTTTTTTTTTGGCTTTTTGTCTGAACTTTTTTAGGGTATGAGAGCGATTATTTTCTCTCACGAGAGAAAGAGATCTGGGCGGCGGCATTGATAACTACGGAACTAGATTTTTCATAACTTGTCGTCGATGCACAAGATGGATATCTAGGTCGAAGACAGTACGCTAGAGTATCTTTTATCATGACAATTACCAAAGCCGGTCTCTGGCTGAGACAGAACATACGTTGTTTCATTATTGGGCCTGAGGTTAACGCGCTATAGGGTGGATAGGCTCGAAATACGGTCCTTCGTATGAATGGTGCAGGAGTCTGTATGAGGCATGGACCCCTCGGAATCAAGAGGCAAGTTGTGAATCGCGCACATGTAGCTCGTGTCCCCAGACACGTCTCTCCCTGATCGTATCCAACAGCTCTGTGTGATGAGGTGAGCGATGTGTGAGACCAAGACCTGCTCTCGCCGTGGCGCGCGCTGGTTGGCTCTTCTTGGTTGGGGGTCGTATGCGATGTGTCTCTATCATCACCAGCATGGCAGCGATACCGCCCACCTAGACCGCCATGCCCTGCGTGCGTGTAAGTCATCGATATTCATCATCATGATCACTCACGCAGTAGTCGCCGAAGAAATCCGTGGCAGCAGCACAAGCTTCGTTGCTTTTGACTTCACCTTTGCTCAGAGACCACATGCAGTCATGTCACAAGAACATCACCAGAAGATGAGAATGCCATACACCGCTGTGGCTTGTCCTCTCGCGCGCTACAGTAGAACTATGACACACTTGGCCGGCCTATCTTGTGAGTTCGGCACAGTTTTCCGCGAAGCTTGCATCAACCATTCACAGACTGCGTTGAGAGGGCAACTGTGACGGCTTCAGCTGTGCGGTGCCCAGCACGCCCTGCTTGGGTGAACGATGCCATCCTCCGAACGCGGAGAGCCATGATTGCTTGGGTGAAGGATCTTTGCACCTCTCGGACATCTGTACCACCCTCGCTTCCGATGAATACTACTGTGGCAGGCAGGCGATCTCTCCAAAATGTGTGAGGCAATTGAAGAACAGGAGTCTTCATGCAAGACCGAGCATCAACTCAGGCTCGGCGCTGGCAGCGGTAAGTCCAGTATCATCTCCCGAGACCATCTGGACATTGAGCAAGCGTTGTTCCAGGACAAACACGAGCCATTGCCACTGGGAGATCCTAAGCCGACACCTTCTCTGGACCTCAAGAAGACCGCGAGCAATGCCTTAAGCAAAGTCGCATCACGACTCACGACCAGGTCACTCGCCAACCCTCCACCTCCGCCGAATGGGGGCGTGAAAGCATGGACGCAAGTTGCAATGGGATGGCTTGTGATCTTTACGACATGGGGGTGGGTCAATAGCTACGGCGCTTTTCAAAACTACTATGCGCTCAATCTCGGTGTCTCTGCTTCAACTGTTTCGTGGATTGGCAGTGTTCAGAACTTCCTTACTTTCGTAGTTGGTGCTTTCAGTGGGCGGTTACTGGATGCAGGCTTTTTTCTTCCCACCCTCGTCGTCGGTGTGACTTTTCAGCTCCTTGGCATCTTCTTCATGAGTCTCTCGACAAAATACTGGCAGTTGATGATCACTCAAGGTATAAAGCATTCCCCGAATCCTCGATGCCTTCGAAGAAACGTGCTGACGTGATACAGGCATTATGACTGGACTTGGAGGCGGTCTCTTCTTCACTCCCTGCATAGGACTTATCGGAACCTACTTCTCCACCAGGAGAGCCATGGCGATTGGTATAGTGACGACAGGAAACTCCGCTGGCGGCATGATTTATCCCGTGATGGTTCAGCAGTTGCTGCCGAAGCTTGGCTTCGCGTGGACAACCCGTGTGATAGGATTTCTCAATCTTGCTCTTCTACTTGTCGTCTTTGCGCTCATGCGGCCGAGGTACGCTCAATGCCAGCTTGCTGTTCTTAGAACGCACAAGTCACGTCTCCCTGCTTGAAATACTTACTGACCGCTCGTAGACTTCCTCCCAGGAAATCTGGCCCGTGGGTCGACTTCTCTGCATTCAAGGAACCAACTTATGCCTTCTTCGTTGCTGGACTCTTTTTCGTAATATGGGGCATCTACTACACATACTACTACCTGTCGTCATACGGAAACGAGGTTCTTGGGCTGCCATTTACTACCGCCACCACGCTGACGATCATTATCAACGGCGCCGGCATGCCTGCGAGAGTCATCCCTCCTTACTTCGCGGATAGATTTGGACAGCTTAATGTTATCACTCCGATCGCTCTCGCACTTACTGTGGTCGCTTTCTGCTGGATCGCAATAGACAATTCAGTCGGGGTATACACCTTCACCGTTTTCTATGGAATCTGGTCAGCGGCGTTCCAGTGTATTCTCCCCAGCACGGTGGCGAGTATCACTCCTGATATGAGCATGTTCGGCACAAGATTGGGCATGGCATTCGGTACACTCTCCTTTGCGGCGCTGACAGGACCACCCATCGGTGGAGCTCTGCAAAGTGCAATGGGTGGCAGCTATCTTGGCGGTCAGCTTTGGGCAGCATTGTCTACCGGCATATCCTTTGGACTAGTTGCCGCTGCGAGAGTCAGCAAGGCTGGATGGAAGCTGGATGCCAGAGCATAAGCATTGCAGGTGGCATTTTTGCAAAAGTTGGGATCAAGATGCAGTTCGAAACACGTCATATTTTTGCTTAGCAAATTGCGTTTGGGTGGGAGCATAGCATTTGGTCGGCGTTCGATGATAGCATGATACCCGCTAGGAAGTTTTGATCTTTGAAGATGCATTGCTGTATGGATTTGCATGGTCCCGTGACACTCACGTGGCACGTGTCATGTCTGCCACCTCGAACTTGCCACCAACGCCTCTGCTTCGATACCATGTCCATCACGCTGCCATCAATTGGCGTCTTCGGGCCATGGAAGAGTCCTCATCATGGCGAGCACGGCTACTTTTACCGACAACGGGCCACCACTCCTGACCTCCTGAAAGCATTCTCGCTACAGTGATAGCTCACGTCTCAACATAATCCATACGGAATCCATCTGGGTGTCACAGAAGCGCCGGAAGACTCTAGTGAGCAGACGCGAATGGATTCGAGCTGCCGTGGCGTACCACGCACGGAATTCCTGCCCAGCTTCAGCGAAGAGATATCTCAACTCCAAGACCCGGCGACAGCTTTGATAATTGGGCAGTATTATCGTAAAGACAAGTCGGGAATACTGTAAGATTCATCTTTATGGTAGGAGATGTCTGCCAGCAGATTTGCGATTCCTTCTTAGCTGCTGACTGGTCACCCTGTGATGATAGGGTGTATCTATAGGAGCCACAATCGTCGTCGGGGCGCTCTTGTCGTATGGCTTTCAGCATGTCCATGGCGCAGCACTAGCAGGCTGAAGGCTCGTTGCCTCCTACTTGGCCTGCTCAGCTCCGCCCTCGGCCTCGTGCTCTGGATATTTTTGCCAGATACACCTATGGAAGCACGATTTCTGACCGAATCGGAGAAGGTCATTCTGCTCCGACATTTATCAGTAAGACGAATGCTAGCTTGAAAGCGTACCGTCTACCGTTCTGAAGCTGACACTTCCTGTGTTCTCTGCAGGTGAACAAAATAGGTGTGAGCAGCACGACTTTCAAGACCAAGCAATTCGTGGGAGACCATTTTGGACCCGCAAGTCTGGATTTTCACCATTTTGAATACTGCTGGCATGATCTGTACTGGTTTCACACTTACCTATGTGCCACAGATCATCGCCAGCTTCAGATTTTTGAAGCCAAACTCAGCACTACTCTCTGCTCCTAGCGGGCTAGTGTCAATAATCACAGACCTGGTGGTGGGCATACTTCTGAACACACGGTTGTCTCGTGCTGTTGTGGTTAGCGTGCCCTTTGCTCTAACCTTTGCGGCTGGATGTCTCCTGACTTTCGCACCAAGATCGAATAGGGCGGCGTCACTAGCTGGAGTGTATCCGGTCGATTGTGGCCTAGTGACCTTCATTTCAATCTACCACTGGGTCTTGGCCAATTTCGCTGGACACACAAAACGTCCCGCCGTCATGGGCATTGTTACAGCTGGGTTCTGCGAAGGCAGCCTGATCGGACCTCAACCCTTCCGAGCGCACGAAGCCCCAGAGTACAGCTCTGCCAAGATCACGCTTCTTCCATCCAAGCGGCGATACTGGTGCTCTCACTGGCGATGGGTCTGTACTACTGGACGATCAACAAGTCTAGGGACGCCAAATACGGCAAGAGCGGATTACTTTCTGGCGCTGAAGCAGACACGAGTGTCTGGGAGAATCTGACAGACAAGTAAAGACACAGCTTCCGCTATATGCCATGAGCTATTGGCACAGTGAAAGTGCCTCATGCTTAATATCGCTATCTCGCTGCTCATTGATGCTGGCATCTCGATCCGTGTGGCTGCTCGTCTGAGCAGCTGACGAGTCCTGCAGCTCATTTCAACACAGGTCTTAAACAGCTCTTTGTTCATCTCGGTTCCTGAGTTTACGCGGTTTCACAGCAACGCCCGGATTCTACTTCAGGGTGTTCCGAGACTTGTGTAGCTGCAACCCCATAAGTGTCTGATGCAGGGGCACATAAAGAAACAACTTTTGTGGCACTATTCCGTCTGCTGACTTCACTCAACTTCGGTATAGCAGGTTACGAATACAACGCCCCACGACCACAGACTGAAGTGTACTCGTCCGCTTTCATTGCGCATTCGCTCCCATAGCAAAGGATCTCATGTTCACGACGTTAATGATTCGCAGAATGACGAACACCAACGACAGTGGCAGGTACAAAGCAATATTGCTCAAACGATGGGCGCATCACTGTGCTGCCTTCATCCTTCTTGAGAGTAGCTGGGGCAAGATGTAGTCAGTCGCAATCGAATCTTAGGTTGTATATGTACTCCATGGTGCTGCGATCCTGTCCTGACATTGAACAAGACAACTCACACACTCGCTATCCCATACAATTTTGCCAAGATGGCAGGCGTACAAGGCCTGATTTCGTTCTTGCTCATGACGGTGGCTTTTGCCTCGCCTCACCCAGCTCTTGTCGCAAGGCAGGTCACCGGGACTTGCGCCGCTCCAACATGCGCGGCGACAGGACGTGCAGAGGTCCAAGAAGGAGCTGCCTGCTTGTGCTCAGCAGGTTCCTCATTTCGAAACTCGATTTGCAACGGGAATCCTCCACTGACCTCTGTCTTTACCACGCTCCCGAGGACTGTGTAAGTCTGAGCACCTTCATGTATACCAGATCGAGCATTGACTGAGTAGAGTAGAACCTCAACGACAGTTATTTGGACTACAAGACCGGCTACCACCGAATATACCACTCCTCCATATACAAGGACAATTAGCCGGTAAGCACTCTGAGCTAGGAGAGCGAAGAGTCATTGCTAACAGTTTCGTAGGTCCACATCAGTGGACGTTACATCGTGATAAGACCCACCCATACGATTGCAATTAACTCATACTGACTGATTCAGCACTATCACTAACAGAATTACCTCTGTCAGCGGAACGGTCACGACTACTGTTGCCTTCCAAACGGTTACAAGCTTCACGTACGATACGCAGTAATATGTTGTCACGAAAGACGCTGAAATTCGAGCAGTACCATTACACAATCCACGTGCAGGAATTCACCAGGCACTGATGATGCCCGTGTCTCAATCCCTGAAATTACGCCACCTCCAACCACAGATCCTGCTCTCGTGAGGAGGCAAGATGCCACCAGCTACAATTGCTCTCCATCTTCTTCCTGGTATGCAAGTTACAGCTCAGAGTACGGCGCCGGGGCGGTCAGATCTGCATGCAGCTGCCTGAGAGACGGCAATGAGTCAACCAGGACAACCGTAGTTACTCGTTACTCCACTGTAGTTGCCAGCACAAGGACACGAAGATCAACAGTAAGCGAAAAAGAAATAAGTGGCCTACTACTGAACGCACTCTAACAAGATATACCATCCAGTCACGATCTGGTACTCTGATCACGCGATCTACAGTCCTCACCACGACAATATCCACAAGAGGCTCTACCATCATTTCCACCGAGACAAGCATAACCACAGTACGCCTCTTCCAAACAACCCACACTCAAGAATTCTCCTAATCCCACATCTAGGTCCCAGCCGTCATCCCAGTCACAGGAACCACAACAGTCACCAGCACAAGAACAACCCAAGTCCCAATCAGCGCCCCATCCTCCTTTAGACTCTACTACAACCTCAACGGCGGCCGCCAATACGCCATCTCCGCTCGCCGCCCAGGCCAAAACGAAGATCAAGACACCCGCTTCCTCTCATCCTCCCCCTCAAACGGCGACACTTTCACCCTCGACACCAACGGCCGCCTCATCGATACTAAAGGCGCAAACGCCATCGCTGTAGCTACCGATCAAGCTCCCTACAAGTACCTCTACCTCGACCAAGACATCAATAACCTCGGCCCTAATGTTCCGAGATGTACTTGGTGCAATGGACCTTTGAATTGCGATTACCCTGCTGCGAATGCTGGAGGAAATTCTTCGGCGAGCAATTCCACGAGTTTTTATAGTTGTGGTGGAGGCTTTTTGGTCCTTAGTGAGAGTAATTCTTGGGTTGAGGGGGGCAGTTGTCAGAGGGTTACGATGCAGTTGGAGGGGGTGAGAGGTGGTGAGGCTGCTGCGACTGGATCTACGAGTACGTCGCCTGCTTCAACTACTACCGATGATCGTACGTTCACCTCAGAGCCTACTTCGGACGCTACCACCGCCACTACTACGGATGACGGTTCCGAGCCAACGACTCCTAGTACCGATGATACTCCTCCGGTTTTGAGAAAGTATGCTTTCCTAGGCTTGTAAGGGAAACTCTGCAAGTCCACCACCTACGCGGTATAGGTAGAAGAAGAAGAAGAAGAAGAAGAAAAAAGAAATCCGATGAAAATAAGGTAGTATATGAAAATGCAGGAGTGAGAGGTTAGCGTTACGAAAATATCACAAATAGCAATAGCAGATATAATCTTAGAAACCCCCCCCCTCTTTAAAAAGAAAATATAACTTCTCGGATTTCAAAAAAATAGATATATATATTAAAGATATAAAGCGCTTCTTACCTAACTCTAATGCTCTATATCTTCTAAGACATATTAACTCAAGACATGCTATCTATACTATACTAATACTCGTAAATCAAACTACGAGAATTCCTATAACGCTAATTTTTTTTTTTTTTAGTTACCTACTAAGTATAAGTATCCCTACTATATTCGAAATATTACCTTTTTTTAATTTTTTTTTTTGCTTTACGGACTTAAAAGTTAAAACGAGGATTTTTTTTTTTTTTTTTTTTTTTACTTTTTATTATTTTTTTATATATATATTAAAAAATCTTCGTAAAAAAAAAAGCTATAGGGACATACACAACAGTTGGCGTATTACTCATTAATAAGGCATTGCCACACACAACTAGTGGCTTTTTTGAGGATCTGTCTATCACTTTCTCTCGATTTCTAGTACGTTTTATTATTTCTCTCGGTGACTTTCAGCAACTTTCAGGCCAAGTCGTCAACCTACCGGCTCAGAAAGCCTACAATGAGCAGAGATAACCGAACGTGACTGGTATTGGTGACCACATTCTATGCTCCTGTCACCTGTCACGCACGAAGGTGCAGACCCATACATGTATTTACCGATGTTGACGACACGTTGAGAATGGGAGCGAAGTGAAAACTTTCCATCTTCAAAATTTCTTTCGATTGATTCTTTTTCGTCCAATGAGATTACAGATCTTAGTTGACATGACAGGTCGTGAGCTACTATACAAGAGTGACATGTTGTCACTGATAAAAGATACGAAAATATTCCTTCCGCCTCCAGTATTGTTCGATGGTGCTAAAAGCGACCCATCGCGAACAGCGGGTACTGTTTCCCCTGCAATAACAGAGCTTAGACAATGCTCTGCTGTCTCTGGTGCTCGAGGCGTTCTTGGATGGTTCTCTTCGGGTTGAGCAACTTCTTAAGACCCATCCATGGTGTGTTGACTGGTGTCTCGCCAGTGTAGATGAAGATGTCGTAAAGGAAGGCGCCAACGACGGCGCCGCAGAAGGGTGCGACGATGGGTACCCAGAAATAGTAACCGCCAGCAGACCAGACGCCGCTGTAACCGATAGCTGCGATCATTACACGTGGGCCAAGGTCGCGAGCTGGATTGATGGCGAAGCCGGTTTGCCAGCCGAAGGCAGTGGCAATACCCATCTAATCATAACGTCAGTAAATTCATGCTGCCATGTGCTGATGGAAGACGTACCATGACAAAGAAAAGCCCGAGTGGGAACCAGGCACCGCTAGCAACGAACTTGCCCTTGTTGGAGTCATCCTTCAATGTCCAGATGAGGAAGACAAGAAGAGCGCTGCCGATGAATTGGTCGAAGAATTGGCTAGCCTTGGTCAAGTCGGATGCCGGGAAGGTGGCGAAAATACCAGCAGTACCGGTTGGGTTGTCTGCAGATGCGACGGATCGAATGCCGTGACCTTCGTATTGGTTGATACCGTTGACGTAGTTGCCGTAGACAACACCTGCAGCCACAAATGCGCCGAGGAATTCAGCAAGCCAGTACATGGGGAGTCGTCGCCATGGAAGCTTGCGGAAGATGCAAGATGCGAGACAGATGGCAGGATTCAAAAAGGCACCCGAATCACCGGCGACGTAGACACCCAACATGAGTCCGAGACCCCATGCCCAGCTGATGGTGTCCCATGCGCCAAAGCCTGCACCGCCAGGTGAAGATGCGCGGCCTGCTGCTGTGCCGCTCAGCATAGTCTGTGCGATGGCAGCATCACCTATGTATCGTTAGTGGCAATGCTTTTCGCCGCATGTGGGATGGCTACCGAAAAGGACGAGGATGAAAGTTCCCCAAAACTCAGCAATTGGCTCCTTGAGGGCAATCTTGACCTTTGGCCAGAGCAGGTGGTTGTGCCCAGCGTGGTCGAGTTCCTCGTCCAGAGTGGCCATTGGTCGAAGGCCCATCCATGCTCGTGGAGACTGGAGTGTGGAAGAGGCCTTCTTCTTCAAGCCATGTCCGTGTGGGTGCTTGTGTCCACCATCTGGGTTGAACATGTTCTGCTGGGGCGGACTCGGAGAAAGGTTGTTGTCAAGATGCGCCATCGACGGAGTCGAAGGGGTCTGAAGGCCATCCTTGTGATCTTTGTCTGACCACTCCTCAGAGCTGGAGTGGCGCAGATGGCGCGGAGTCTGGACTGCGGCATTGGGAAGCGTCTCGAGCGAGCGCTGAGTGTTGATGGGTTGTGTCGCCATGTTGCTCGTGTATCCTGATGGTATTCGGACTGGTTCCAACATACAAGGCTTACTCCGGACGAGAAGACTCAAAGGACATACAAGAACAGCGCCTTCTTATGAGAGGTGTGTGAAGAAAGTGTGCTGGATCAGGAACAGGGACGGATGGCCTGAAGGGCCCGACTTTTAACATGTGAAGCATGAGTACTGTCCGATTGCTCCTCGCAGCCCTTGGAGGAGATAGCTGAGCTCATACGGCCCAAACCAGTAGATGGCGCTGGTCCCTTTCTCAATGCGAGCCGGTCGCGACTCAGGCAGGAAGGTTTCGCAGCGAACGATGCTGCTGAGATCGAAACGATTACGGTGGAATCGGTCGATGGGTGTCGCTGCGCTCATGCAGGAACAGCAACAGGTGCTGAGGCCAATGCCTGATGATGCGCCGCTGACTGGAAGACGCCAGCGGCTCTGCAGCCATCCGCGACGACCACGGCCAGGAACGAGCCAGGAACGACTCGGTGCAGTGCAGATAGGCTTTCTTTGCTGCGCCAAACCAACCATGAACGACTCTGGCCGGCATACGGTTCGGCGTGCCGAGCGGGGACCGGGGCTGCCCAAACTCTGCACCGCGAGGCTCGAGTCAGGCCGTGCAGCACTGGGGACCACGTCTAGGCCGGATCGGTCGGTGGTCGAGCTTGCTGGGTGCGCAGTTGGGTAGCAATCAGAAGCCGATGCCTTTGGAGCCGTGTTCTTCGGGAATCATACTTCGGAGGTCGAAGCATGCAGAGTCAGGCTGTGACAGGCCAATTGCAGGTGCAGGTGCAGGTGCAGGTGCAGGTGCAGGTGCATGTGAAGCTCAACCGTTCAGCAAGGACAGCCTGGTCGGGGTGTCGTGCCACGGGTTTGGAACAACCACAGTAGCGGCATATGCCATCTGCTGCCATCGTATGCGTGTACATGTGTGCCAGCGCATACTGCACTCATACCACCGTCCTTCGAAGGCCCATGGAGTATGCCCGAAGGTGCTGGTGCTTCTGACAGTCGCCTTTTCGCGCTCGTAGATGGCCGGTCGTACCACGTCACGATCGTCCCTGGCTGCTGCGAGTAGCTGAGTCGCGTGGGTGTTGCGATAAGTCATGGCTCAGGTGACGAAATGGCTGCTTTGCGTCGAGCTGCCCGTTCTGCGCTGCTGCCGGTGCTTCAGCTGTACGCATGTGGACACGCCAGACAGGAACATGCCGAGGAGGGCCGCAAAGGGACAGAGACGAGAGCAGAGGTGTTGCACCGTGTAACATGACGTGGGCGACTCTTTGCCCGCAATCGATGGGACTCCGTCAATATGCATCAAATGTGGGTGATCATGACGAGCGCGGCTCTTTTTCCATCATTGATGGAGCTCCGTCAATATGCATCAAATTTCGATGGATGCCACTTTGGGCATGGGCGCGCCGAGCTTGTCGCGTCCGACGCGCTCAGGCTTCAGCTCCACCACAACACAGAATAGGTCCGACAGATCATTGGCGACAATACAGCAGAATACCTCCAACCTTCTACTAGCGACGACTGACACTCGAGGTGCTTTCAGTCCTCGACGACGAACACGACCAGCAACCGCCAGCAGCTTCTGCATGTACAACAATCAATCCCGCCGAACAGACGCGACTCCTCCAAGCCAATGTCGCCTCGCCTTTCTTCACTCTGCACTGAGCTCAGCTGGTAGCATTGTCGGCTGCATCTCCTGTCGCCATGTATCTGCCACGATCGCACATATCGCAGCTCTACACCCACCTAGAACGAACCGCACACCCTACCAAGAACAACGCCATCATCTTGACTTCCCTTTCCGTTGACAGCATATGTGCTTTGCGGATATTGGAAAGTCTCTTCAGGCGCGACTGCATCGGATTCCAGTCTGTTCCAGTATCAGGATATGCAGAACTACAAGAGAAAGGAGCGACATATGCGCGACGTTTGATGCGACAGTATGGAGGCGAAGGTGGTGTCATCATATGTCTCGGCCTTGGAGGAGCAGTTGCCCTTGACGAGATCCTTGGTCTCGATGCAGGCATAGACGGTCTTGAGGTAGGCGTGGACGGCATGCAAGACCATGGCGTTGAGGTCTGGGTCATCGACTCGCACCGACCACTGAATCTTGAGAATGTCTTCGGCGGCGACGCTACCTCTTCCACCAATGACCCAAGTACCTCTCGACGCCCTGGTGTGACTGAAGGGCGGATCAATCCCGGCTATAGACCTGGAAAGGGCGGCGTCATTGTGTGGGACGATGGCGACCTGGAGCATGAGCTGCAAGCCGAGAAGGAAGCCTACTTTGCACTACAAGGCATGCCAGAAATCACCGAAGACGACCTTGCGCTTGACGATGGAGAGGACGACAACGAAGACGACGAAGAGCTGGACGAGGAGGAAGATCCAGATGCGTCCTCGAGGAGCGGCCAAAAGCGGAAGCGTGGTGCAGACTTCGAAGATGAGGATGAATTGTCAGAATCGGATAAAGACCGCAGCCGTGCACACAGAAGACGGCGTAGCAACTCGAGCACTTCAATACCCATACCTTCTTCTCCTGGAGGTAATCCACTATCCGCACAAGTCGACATGGCATCTACACCTCCTCCAATGCCATCCTCCCCACCCAAGAGGAAGGAACCTTCTGCCAAGCAAATGCGAAAGCAGCTCCTGAAATTACGACGGAAGCACGAGGCAACACTTGACAGATATTACGACCTTGGTACAAGCAGCGCTGAGCCAGTCAGCAGCATGGCGTATTCTCTGGCATCCGAACTTGGTCGCGAAGATAACGACATGTTATGGCTTGCTTGTGTTGGTATCTGCTCACTTCAGATATTGCCTTCTGGCTCCACTACCAGGATAAAGCATGTTCGAGAACTCCTCCAAGACGAAGTGAGGCGTCTGAATCCCATCCCTGAGTCGGAGCTTCGAGCGACTCAAAGCGCAGAGGCGCGCATTCCCACAGGAGGCCGTAGCGCCGATGACCACAGTATTCAGCTTTCGCCTGAACCACGATTTATGATGATCCGGCACTGGAGTCTGTACGATTCTATGCAGCACTCAACGTATCTTGCCACTCGTCTTCACTTGTGGAATGACAATGGCAAGAAGCGTCTGGCCAAGCTTCTTGCCAAGATGGGCATCAGTCTGCAAGAAGCTGGAAAAGGCTTCACCCATATGAACAGCGAACTGAAACACACTCTACGCAAACGCATTCTCAAGTTTGCCGAGCAATACAACCTCGCCGACCTGGTACCTGGAAACAATGGTCGTAGCATGGAAGGCTGGGGCTTTGTCCGCGCGATGGGATGGGCTGGCACATACAGCGCAGAGGACATCGCGATAGTCGTAGGAGCGCTACTCGAAGTCGGAGGCGAGACTCACCTCTTCCCGGAACTCAAGCTCGAACACCGATCAAGCACCGACTTCAACTACAACGCACGCATGCGCACACTACCCACGCCACCCCATTCTTCTGACGACGGCATGGAGACCTTAGACGATGTCCCAGACTATACCTCTAATCGCTTCAGTCGAGCTTACGATGCCCTCGTCCCCTCCATGCGCGGCTTCAAACGCATCGAAGCCGCCGTCCCAATCGCCCACAAACTCTCTCGAGCCATTTTCCGAGTAGGCTCCCACATAATCTCCAAAGGCATGCACAAAAACCTCACATCCTTCCGCATGGCCATCGTCCGCGAAGGTCCCGACGTCCCCCTTTTCACCCATCCAGGAGCCCTCGTCCGTCTCGCAGTCTGGGTCAACGAAGCCATCCGCGTCATCGAAGCAGAAAAGGGCAAACGCATCAAAGCTGGCAAAGATGACACCCTCGTGATCGCCGCTCTGGATGAAGGTCGCGGAGTTTATGTGGTCGTAGGTCTCGGTGGTGGAAATGGTATGGGCCAGAAGTTCCGTTCCAAAGCCGAGATCAAGGAACGCGAGGAGAAAAAGGCGAGGAAAGAAGCTGAACGCGTTACACGCAAAGCTGCCGAGAAGAGGAAACGTGAGGAGAGGAGACGGCTGAGGAAGGAGAGGAATGAGGCAAATGGGATTTTATCCGATGATGAAGATGGACGTGAAGATACTGAGCCGGAAACCGAAGAGGATGACGATGACGATTCTGAAACTTCTGATTCTGAAGATGATGGCACTGATGGAGAGGAAGGTCACGCGAGGAGGAAACATGGTCCTTTGAACCGTTTCGGTCAAGCTTTTCAGGAAGTCGTCGATCAGACGGGTGCGAGGGTGAGGATTGATTCTTTCGAGCACAGTGTCGTTGAGGTGAAGAAGGATGATTTTCAAGGGTTTTTGGAGGCGTTGATTAACAAGCAGGTGGTCAACTGAAGAAGAAGAAGAAGATGATGATGATGGTGATGGGAGTTTTTTTTGTTTGTTTTTGAACATCGCGGCGTTTATGGGTGCTTTGTTGGATTGTGGTGGCATGGTATGGTATGGTTTTGCAATTCTCGCTCCTGAGATACACTGTCTGTCGATTACTTTGCTCCTACGACTCGTCCGTAGCATGATACAGCATTTACATGAAGCGAACATCAAAAGGCATTAGTAGAGTTCCTTGTTGAGCTGGTTCTTTTTAGTGTTGTAGAGCATTTTATTAGCATCTATCGCTGTTCTCACAGTAGGGAGCATTTGTTGCTCAACCAGCAAGTGAGTAAGTAGGTACAAACAACCGCCCAAAGAACTCCATGATACCCGTGCCTCATGCCAAGGCTCGAGCTGCAACGCCAGACTATGCAGATTTTGTTTGTCCCCGAAATCAATCAACCAAGCTTCCCGAATCCTTCCTAAGCTTCAGGACTTTCGCATCGTGTGCCTTGTCCGGTTGCGGCGCCTAGTCGTACTGGAATAGTACACTGATCGATTCTCCGTGATGCACGCGGCGGATAGCTTCTGCGAACACGCCAGCCACTTCAAGGACTTCGAGCTTTCCACTTGGCTTGCCGTATTGGGCTGCCAACTCTTCCATTCGGCGGACGTGCGCGTCTTGAGGAACGGAGTTGGTGACGATGACTTTATCGAGGCCCGAGTGGAAGATGCGGTCCACACCGTCGCCGGAGAGAACACCGTGGGTAACAAGCGCGTACACTTTTGTCGCGCCTTCCTTCTTCAGAAGCTTGGCGGCTCGGGTTATCGTGTTGCAAGTATCAGCAAGGTCGTCGATGAGGATGCAGACTCTGCCTTGCACTTGTCCTACCAGAAGTAGAGTGCTGTTTGGGTGTGGAGCGGCAGAGGACGGATGCGCTGGATTTCTGCGCTCCTTGTGGATAAGCGCAAACTCCATGCCCAGTGAGTCTGCTATACTGGTAGCACGCTTTGCTCCTCCAGCGTCGGGAGATACGATGACGCAGTTGTCAACGCCGCCATTCTGGGGCAAAATCTGATGAGTGATGTAGCGCTTCAGCAAGTTGCGGCCGTACAAATTGTCCACCGGAATGTCGAAGAATCCTTGATATTGAGGATCGTGAAGATCCATGGTGATGATGTGATCCGCGCCAGCGCAGGTCAAGAGGTCCGCGACCAGAGTACCAGCTTGCGCTACCCACTGCTTGTAACCGCGCTGTGGTCGAAACTCAGGTGGCATGCTGTCGGTACGTGTGCGATTGATGCCTTGTTCTGGATTGCCTGGGAGAAAAATTAGCTTGTCGCTCCGAAAGCAGCCTCCGCTAGACAGCTGCTAGATGTGCCCGAACAAGCATGACCGCCTCGAATATTCAGAGCTGACCGAACTTACTCGTTGGAATAACCTGCGTGGTGGCAGAGTTGTGTCCATCTCCGTGTCCATTGGCAGAAGTCGGCGAAGCTGCCGGCGAGCCTGTATCGCTCTGCACGCTCTCCAAAGTATTCTTGCGCCCCAGCTTCAGATCGCCATTCAACCGCATGCCATTCAGGTGTTTCGCGAGCTTCTCATCCCTCATATGCGATTGACTCGAACCTGGCGTTGTGGGTCGCGATTCAAATGTGTATCTGCCTCCATCTTCTGTCCTGGTTGGCATGCGCGCAAGCGGTGCTCCGACTTTGTTGTATGGCAAATCGCTTTGTCTCGAATAGGGGAATAGTGGCAGAACAGCGGTAACACGCTTCGCACTGGCAGTCTTGCAAGCGCTGATTGTGATGAGGAGCTCCATCAGGCCATCGTTCAGGCTCTGTGCGCCACCGCCGTTTGGTGGTCTGCTGCATGCCGTCTGGACTATGAAGACGTCCTTTCCGCGTACACTCTCTCCGACCTCCACTCTTGTCTCACCAACGCTGAATTTCGAGAGGGTGATTTTCGCAGGTGGAATGCCGAGGTGTGTGCATATCGCTTCCGTCAGGTTTGGATGGGAGGTGCCCGAGAAGAGCAGAATATTTCGGACCATGATCGCAAGTCGCGTGAAAAAATTACAGTATACCGCCGGATTGGGTGTTGAGGTCCCTTCGAATAGCGTAGCCCTCTAGATGGCTCCGAATTGTCGCTGGCCGTCTTGCTCAAGTGAAGTGGAGAAGGCCTGGCCCTTGATCGTATACCCTTGCCTGGGGGCTCTCAGTTGCACGGCGTAGGCTCAAGGTCAAGTCAGCTCCAGCAGAGCGGCGATGACACGAGGTCTACTCACAACTGCTGAAAATGCCGTCGCGGTTGAGTTTGGAGCTCGCATCGTGAGTAAGATGAATTAGAGAAGAGGTTACCGGCTCGGCGCGGGCGCGAGAGAAAGGTGACGAAAATGAGTCTCGCGACCAACCTGAATGGAACCTTGAACCTTGCATTATCAATGCCGATAGCACGGGCGCGCGGCAGATCTGTGCGCAAGCCTTCACTTCACTTGACAGCTGCGCACGTGCAGATGGAGACGCAGGAACCCGTCTGACCCCCACCTGGTCGTCTTCCGCTTTGTCGTCACGAGATGTGGTAACATAACACCGTACTAGTCAAAGATGGCCGCACTGCCAGCAGACTTCTATGACAATGCGCCTGTAGTGCCTGTGCTCTTGTTGGGCGATGCGGGCGTGGGAAAAAGCACGTTTCTATCTCGCTTGAGAGTTGGACATGAGTATCGTGGACCATTGCCGCAGCTGCGCGATCTTGACCAGGTGCGATGGTGCGATCAGCTTGGGTGGGGCTGGTAGGAAACGATGAAAGTGCTGATTGTGTACAGCCATTCGCATTCAACATTCGCATGTATAACCGTCCGTACCGCTTCGAATTCTACGATACCGCATCGCCCGAACACTACACCTTACTGAAACCTGCTATGCTCGTACTCTGCTACGACATTGGGAATCCCTCCTCACTTGCCAGCCTTCACGAGAAGTGGAAAGAAGTCGTCGAAGTCCACTTCAATTACGACGAGTCGTTACCGGTAGTCGTACTAGGCTTGAAAAGAGATGTTCGGCAGAAGGAAGACTATGATGGGCATGTCCGCCAGCTCGCCGCTGGAGAAAACGATGAAGACGAGGGTGCAGTGCTCAATGGTAGGACCATTGTATATCCGCAAGAAGGACTGCGCATCGCTCAAGAGATGCGCTGTGACCAGTACTGCGAGTGCGCGGCGCTGACAGGAGAGTTGTGTCGTGAGGTCATTGAGGATCTTTCTCGAAGAGCAGCCAAGACTACTACTGCGAAAGGAGGAAGAACTCAGGGCATGCAATGTGTAGTCTCTTAATCGTCCTTAAGGTGACAGTACTCGTCCCATCGAAGCCACAATACGAGAAGGACCAGGAGCGCAAACATGGCCGGAGGTCCGTCCCAAAGAGCTTCGGGTCACTATCTAAAAGATATCTATTCGCTATTCGAAAGATATCTATTCGATCGTACTCAAGACAGTAACGACGAGACCAGCGATACCTACTCATTAAGCTACATAAACGTCGGAAAGCGTCGTTCATTCAATCAGAAAAAAGCACCAATGTAAGCCGCTGTGTCAAATGGCGCAATGGTTAACGCGGTCTGATGATAAGTCAAAATTCTGCTAACTGCTGATTCACTACCAAGTGATGACGAAAGAGGAATTTAGCTTCCGTCCCAATTGAAAAATTGGGGCGTTTCGTTTTGCTATTTTGATGTATGTTTCTAGCATTCTTTTGCACTGGTAGAGGATGCAAAGAGGTGTTGTAAGCGATTATTCAGTTCGAACGCTTCCTTTACAAAGATCACTGACAGCATCGTAGCCAGATAGGACGTTCTGCAACTGCCCAACACGAGACTCGATCACAATACCAACAAGCGCGTGTGGTACTGCCTGCCCTTGGAAGCACTTCTCCTCGACAAACAACACGCTTAAAACTACACTGGCGACAAAGCTTCACATGATGCAGTCGTTGCTGCTGAAGGCGTGGCCTCAAGGCACTTCATAAGAGCCCACCTGCAGAACAGCTTTCTCGCCAGTCAAGCACTGGCTCCAAGCGGGAACGATGGATATTTATTTACTATCCGAAAGATATCTATTCGCTATTCAAAAGATATCTATTCGATCGTATTCAAGATAGTCTTGCTGGACCAGGCATCGCCTGTATGGAATGCTGCCTTGAGCCTCTGAATGTGTAGCAGCAGCATCGCCGACCGCCCTTGAGGAGGACAACACCCTCAGTCCCGCTTAGGGCATTCGAAACTCTCAATCGAGAAGACAACGCGGCTATAGGCTTGAGTATGCGAATTTTGTGAGCAGCAAGACTGGAAGGAACACTTGGCAGGTGACAAGGCACCTCTCCTGTCCTTCGCTTAGCAGGTGTAATAGAAACGTTGGGTTGCAACTCCGCGACCGCAATATAGTGTCTACCGCTGAGCGGCTAATTGAGGTGATCTTCGAAGTCTTTCCTGCGGTTTGCGCTAAGCATCGCATTTCTTGGGGCGCTCTGGCTGCATCATGCCCTGCGGTGTATGTGGTTGTCTTTACGAAGACTATGCCAGGCGACTGTTCTGGAGTCACTCCGTGTGGTGTGACATTCGAAGCTGGTCAATGGTAGATGTCCCGCGTGTATGTAAAGTGAAGTTGAGGTTGAAGCAGGCGCCATAACCAATTAGAGTTTGGAGTACGTGCTAGCGTGCCTTTCATCCTTGCGAGATCCTTGTCATTGACGGTCGCTGTTGCCTTTTGGAGCGACGCGACTTTTCTTTCTTTGTACGCGTGCGCCTCATCACCTCTGAATCAAGCCTTCCCTTCCCATCCAGAGAATATGCTACGCGGCAGCCATGTCCACCTTCGACGGCGTTGTTGCCGAATTTCCCGACATCCGCATTGACAGGTTCAGACATGATCCCAATCGGCCAGCGCTTGCCCACTTCCTCTCACACGTCCACTCCGATCATCTCGTGGGGCTCGAATCTCGCAATGCCGTCCCTCTGCATTGCTCGCCAGCTACCCGCGAGCTTGTGTTGCGCCTCGAGAAATACCCAAACCGCATGAACTTCGCCAAAGGCATCTTGGAGTCTCGGAAGCAGACATACAAGCATCTCAAGACTCTGCTTCGGCCGATTCCGCTAGAGACACCAACAGAGATCATGCTGAGCCCTGAAAACACCATACGCGTCACCCTCTTCGATGCCAATCACTGCGTGGGTGCTGTAATGTTCTTGATCGAAGGCAATGGCAAAGCAATCCTGTACACAGGCGACATTCGTTCTGAACCATGGTGGGTGAATTCAATCTGCCGACAGCCAACTCTCCTACCCTACGTCTGCAGCGGCAACTCCAAGCCGCTGCGCCAGCTCGACAACATATATCTCGATACCACTTTTGCATCCAAGAACGATCGATATCGCCACTTTCCCTCCAAGGCCGAGGGTATCAGGGAACTGCTCGAGAAGGTGATGAAATACCCTCGTGACACTGAGTTTTATCTTGACGCATGGACATTCGGCTACGAAGATGTGTGGAAAGCTCTCTCGGCATTCTTAGGCTCTCAAATCCATGTTGATGATTACAAGTATGCTATCTATCGTGGGCTGCACAGCGGTGCCGAGCCCAAAGCAGTGGACGCTTACCAATTGATTGGCTCGACATGCGGCAATCACGACCAAGCAGGATGCCTTACAGACAGATATCGCCGCATACACAGCTGCGAGAAGGGGACAGGCTGTGAGATCTGGAATAAAGGTAACTGAAGCCTAACCGTTGACTTGCATGACTGACATGTTTAGACTTTGTTCGCATCACTCCTGTCATCTCAAGGTATCAGGGAACGGATATGCTTGAGCCTGGTGCTGGTGGCGGTGAGGGAGATCTCAATCAACGGCACGAGATCGACCTAAGTGAAGGCCTATTCGATCTCATTGCATTGTGTGCGCAGAAACTCTCCACACAGCCCCAACTGCTTGACAGCCTTTTGCAGATGCTCAACGAGGCCAGCAGTGGCGAACGACATGCCATATCAATCGCCCTATCAGACATCAGCATCGAAGCAAACACACTCGGCGACCGGCAAGATTGTGCAGATTTTGCTGACTTGGACGAGTTGCCAATCGATCGCTTGGTTCCTATGCTTGCCAAGCGCGTGACCCAGGTTCGTCTTCTCGCCGTTCCGTCCCCATTTCAATTTTATACCCGTACCGAATTGACTCTTGCCTTTTCAGATGAAGCAGACTGGCGCTCGTAGCTCATCCAAGCCGCCAACTAATAGCGAACTTCGGACAAAAGATGGCCTGCCAAAACGAATCACATTCCCGTACTCACGGCATTCCTCCCACGAAGAATTGCACATGCTCATTGATGCGTTCAAGCCACGGGATATACATCCTTGCACTGTCAGTCGTAATTGGGGCATTGAACAATCCATGGCGCATCTTTTCGGCGACATCTACAGTAAGCCCCAGATTTTCACGCACGACCAGATGATGATACGGCAGAGAAACGAAAATCTGGACGCAGCAGAAGCAGCGTCCTTGTCACAACAGCACGACTATCGAGAACGAGAAACCCAGCCATCTCAAGACCCTCCTAGTACACCACTCCGAGTCTTGCAAAGTGCTTTCGAGCGGTCGTCATCACTCACAAGACAATCCTCCCGAAGCAAGCGTGGCCTGGATGAGCAAAAAATGGACCATGCCAAGCGTACACGGCACACAACTCATGGAGACTATTGGCCGCCCCAAGAGCGCAATCTTGACTCGCCTGAGTCTCGGGAGGTGTTCGTGGCTAATCTTGCTTCCGACACCACCGAACATGATTTATGGCAATTCTTCCAGGATTTTGCGGTGGAAGAGGTGCGCCTTCCGACGCAGTTTCAGAGCACAATCGCCTTCGCTACGTTCGGGTCCTCTGATGAAGCTCAGCGCGCCGTTGACAAACTTGAGGGATATATTCTCCATGGACGCAAACTCCGCCTGGAAATCGCTCGTCCGCCCAATGCTGGATATTCCAACTCCAGCCCATCCATACCGGGGAAAAAGTGGCAGCCACCATCGCAGATCACGAACGAAAGAGCATCCTCCGAGGATCAACGGTCTCAATGGGAGCAAAGAATTGCTATAGCCCACGATCGAGACACGCATTCACCCTCTAGATCAAACGCAGTCCCCGGAAGCGGTAGCAGTCACCTCGCATCTCGAAACAGAAATCTCAAGAGCGTGCAGAGATCACTTCGTCAAGCGCCCGACTATGGTCGATTGTCGCCTCCTTCTCGTGAGTGACCTTTATCTTAGTCCTCGCCAAGAGACACAGATTGTCTCAAGATCTCAGACTAACATTCGACACGAAGCACCGGAAGAGGACTTTGTGGAGCTCACTGGAGATGATCTCAAAGAGGCTCTGCAGCGTGAAGCCTACGATGCTGCATTGTCCGGAAAAGGCTGGTGCTTGGTAAGCGTTGATGGACATCAGATGAAGGAAGAGGAGCTATAGCATGCAGATGAGTATTATCTCTCCTAAAAAGCTATCGTCACGTACACTTCCTCTGTGAGACGCAAGAAGCCAGAGCTCTTGCAGCAATACTTTACGGATATGCGACTATTGCACTGAAGGTTGTAAGCAGCTTTCCATTGGACGCAAATCATCAGGATTCATACACCTTCGGCTAAAGATCGACGCTGCGGGGCCAACCAATTGCGTGCTTCGTGTGCAACACCACCTCTGGGTCAGACGACGAAGTCGAGAATCATACAGTCCTCTTCTGTATCATGCATTATTGACCATGTCTGAGAAGCCAGAGTCGCAGTTCATCAGCGAACTAGGCCGCGCAGCCAGTCCTGGCGTGGAAGATGCCAAGCACTCGATATTCAGCGGCGACGCCAAAGAAGCGATCAAGAAGGAACAGCGCTTGACCTTTTGGCAAGCAATACGCCTATATCCAAAGGCGGTCGGCTGGTCGTTGTTTCTTTCGACTGCGGTAGCTATGGAAGTGAGTCTCTACAAACTCCATATAAACACTTATCAATGGAGTTTGACGTTCGCAGGGCTATGACATCGTCCTGATAGCATCTTTCTTCGCGTTTCCTCCCTTTCGTCAACAATTCGGAGATCGACTCGCAAATGGATCATACCAGGTATCTGCAGCTTGGCAATCGGGTCTTTCCAACGGCGCGCGTGTCGGCGAGATCCTGGGCCTTATAATCAACGGCTGGGTCTCGGAGCGATATGGCTATCGTAAGACAATGATGGGATTTCTCGTCACAATGATAGCGTTTATCTTCATCCCATTCTTCGCCACGAACATCGTAACTCTGCAAGTCGGCACGATTCTATTGGGCCTACCTCGGGGTGTCTTCCAGACTTTGACAACGACTTATGCCGCCGAGGTTTGTCCAATGGCTCTTAGAGGTTACCTGACCACATATGTCAATATGATGTGGGGCGTAGGACAGCTGATTGCTTCAGGTGTGTTGCGAGGCTTCTTGCAGAGGAGCGATGAGTGGGCGTATCGCATACCGTATAGCTTGCAGTGGATGTGGCCTGTTCCACTTCTTCTGGGTGCAGCATTCGCGCCCGAGAGTCCTTGGTGGCTCGTCAGGAGAGGTAGACCCGAAGATGCGAGAAAAGCTTTGACAAGATTAACCAATAATCCCGATGCGGTGGAATTGGACCAAACAGTGGAGCTGATGAGGCGAACAAATGAGCTGGAGAGGAGCATTTCAGAAGGAACTTCATTTCGGGACTGCTTCAAGGGCGTCAACTTGAGAAGAACAGAGATCTCGTGCTTGACCTGGGCTGTGCAACCACTCTGTGGTGCCTCACTCATGGGCTTCGCTGCGTACTTCTTTGAGCAGGCTGGCTTGAGCACAGATGTTGCATTCGACTTCTCCATGGGAATGTAAGCGAGTCGAGCATATACGTCTCAATCACGTCGCTAATGGCAAAATAGATACTCCATATCCATCGTCGGAGTCGTCATAGCTTGGTTCACGATGACATACCTGGGCCGCCGCACTCTGTTCCTCGCCGGCCTGACCGCAATGTGCCTAATTTTACTCATCATCGGCTTCGTCTCTCTGGCTCCGTCTCAGTCGGCAGGTCCGAACTTCGCCATCGGTTCTCTCCTCTTAGTCTGGGCACTTTGCTACGCTGTCACAGTCGGCACCGTGACCTACTCCATCGTCACCGAAATCCCTTCCAATCGTCTCAGAACCAAGACAGTTGTGCTTGGGCGCAGTCTATACAACGTGCTCGGCATCATAAATGGTGTTATCACGCCTCGAATGCTGAATCCTAGCGCTTGGAATTGGAAGGGCAAAGCTGGCTTCTTTTGGGCTGGCATGTGTGCGCTGTGCGCTACCTGGAGCTTTTGGAGGTTGCCGGAGACCAGGGGCAGGACGTATGCTGAGCTGGATGTGCTGTTTGCGAATGGTATTGGTGCGCGGAAGTTTAAGATGACCGATGCTGAGCTGTTGGAAGCGCACGCGGCGCCGGAGCAAGGTGCATACAGCAAACCAAAGATTTGACTGAAGTTTTATTGGAATTCTATTGAGATTCTATTGAGATTCTATTAAGAATCTATTAGAATCTTATTAGAATCCTATTAGAATCATCCATGATATATTGAGGAGTCTTGTGAAAAGCACATGATCTGAACCCTAATCCCAATGTGGCTAGCGTGATGTGACTCAGTGACTACTTCGCCTCCATGTTCACCCTCGACGTCCCTTCTTGTAACACCGCCATCCAAAATTGGTTGTCTGCTGCATAGGACGGCAACGCGCGCAATTGTCATCTCAGGCTGTGCGACGAAGCATTGAGTCAATAAGGTACAAGTATTGTCTTCCTTCTCGCGCTCTCATTTCTCGACCGCACATCCAACAAACACACAGCAAGCATTCAGGCAAACTCTGCCATGGCGGACTTCATTGAAAAGAATGAAGCCGCCATTGGCGACATCAGGATCGCTTGTCAGCATCTTGCCAACCGTCTTGACTTTGTGTATGTCACCACACACAGGAAGCCTGAATGGCTCCAGCCCACACAGTTCACCAACTACCTGGTCCCGACATTACCTGAAGCGGCCGGCATCTTCGGAAGCTCAAAAGTAGAGCTCATATGCGCTGTACATATGACTGCAGAGAGATTCTGGCAGGTCCTTCGAGAGAAGCTCGAGCTCCCCGAGGATCATCCCATGCCCGATACCGTGTCAGGCAAATTCGAGCTCCGAAGAGATTTTGGCCGGAGTCCAAATACGCTAAATTCTCTAACGCTGACACTGAGATACTGCGGAGTGCCGAGCGAATGCCACGACTTTCCTTGGCAGTCAAGCAACGTGCTTCGCGACGATGTCGACAACTGGACTGCACTGGACGACATCGAGGATGCACAGGCGATGAAAGACTGGATGAGCAACCTTGACGAGGACTCCAAGTCTGCATTTCGCTCACTCATCATACGACTAACGACATGGGCTGTTTTGAATGGCCTGATGGCTGCTGATCAGCGATATGGTCTGCTCACCGTGCAGTGCCTGATCTGGATGGTGCATGACTTTGCTGACTTGACTCGTCATTACCCCGAGATCAGCGATGTCGTCACCTCGATCTGTGTGCCAGCGCACCTCGGCGCATATGGGATGAATCTAAACATCGTAGCTGCTCGGTCCAGAAGAAGCCTCTCAGCACATATCTCAGCAGAAGCGGGCCAGAGGCTGAGAGATGTCATCGACAGGACAATTAAGAGTAGCTCGCCAGTCGCAGAGCTTAGCTCGGTCTCACGGGCAAGAGAAAAGTTCTTCAGGTAAGTGCTATTTCACGATCTTCGCCTGGGAGGGATGCCGAGCAATTGCTGACTCTTACCCGTTCTTTCAGCGATCATCAAGTCACAATGGCGCTAATCTCGGAGTGCTGGACTCCTCATAAGCAAAAGCATTACCACGATCTTCTCATTACTGCGTCCACCAGCTTTCAAGAAAAACTACGAGAAGCCGCAAAAGGCCAATTGGGCGCTAACATTTGGCCCGCGATTGAGAGAGTTGACCGAACTACCTCGCAAGTCTACCTGGGACTCCGCATTGCCAAGAGCGACACCGAGGTGCCAGACGCGAAGTCTGCGAGGCTCCTGGTTGCCGCTCATCTGGACTCAATTCTGGAGGCAGTGCAGGACGAATGTCGGTGGGATCGAGATGAAGCTCTCTTGGATGCCCGTATCCTGACAGAGCTGCCACCTACCCAACCCGAGCACTCTGATCTCCCTGTCATGTGCCAGCTCGGAATGCAAGAGAGTCTTTTGCCACCATCGGCCACGGCAGGAACACGAGCCAATTCAGAAACTTCAAGATTCCTCGACGCAGCGAAAGCAATCTCAAAGCTCAGGTGGGATCCTCGATGGAACTCCTTGGAATGGGAAATCGGGTATGAAGACAGGTTTGATGGGCTCATGTGGAAGAATCTGGAGGACTGGCAGGCGCACACGGAAGAAGAGGATTTCATTCCAACGCATCGAGTTAGGCAGATTCGATTGAGAGAGAGTCAGGAAGTGTACTGGAATAGGGATACGAGGGATTCATCGCTCTGAGGAAGAAGCATCGATTTGAGTGGTGCGAAGCGCAAACCGGTTGCTCTAACTCAGAAAGGATGATGATTTGTTGTGCGACGTTCATGGGAGTAAGCACGGCGTAAACTTCGCCTCGGGCATTCTCATAATGAACGGGAGCTTGGCTTATCAAATCCCTTATCTGAACCTGAAGCTGCAGATCGCAAGGCGTTTCCTAGGCTAAGCGGTCGACACTTTAGCGTCAATATTCCACAAACTCTCCATCTCAAACTCATCATCCCCCCCCCCAAACAACAACAACAATTACAATTATGTGTTCTCTAGATAGCCATCCCCTTCCTGCTTTGATTGCTTTGTCTTTTATTTATCCTTTCTTTATCTTTTACTTATCTTTTACTTATCTTTTACTTATCTTTTACTTATCTTTTACTTATCTTTTACTTATCTTTTACTTATCTTCTACTTATTCGGTAGAGGAGGGGTGTTGTGCGCGTGTGAAAGTTGAGAGGTTTTTGACTGCTGTCAGTGAGGATGGGGAGGATATTATTTACTACAGGGACTAGGTATGGCGAGGATTTGGCGGCAGGTGTCGAGAGTGTCGCTCCTTAGGGTTGAGGATAGAGGGTGGGGTGAGCAGAGGGTGGAATAGGTTGGAAGGGGATGTTGAGGAGGCTTGGGATATGGGGGAGTTTATGTGGTATATAGATAGGGAGGACAGCTTGAGGAGTGTGATGGTGGATTATGTTATTGCTACAATAGTGTACAGAAGAAATGGTGGCGGTATCTAGAATCCGATTGACTCTTCATCATCGGCGACGATGTTTGATGGCGCATCAGCGGGCTTGCGCAAAAATGCTTCCAGTAGAACACCGGTGGCAACGCCAACGTTCACGCTGTCGACTCCGACGTCTGGTGTGCCTTCTGCTCTGGCGCCGCCTTCGATCGAGACGAACTTGTCCGCACGAGCTCGAAGGTTCTGACGCAAGCCTTCTCCTTCTGCACCGAGCATGAGAATGCAAGCATGCTTAGCGAGAGGGCTGTTGGTGGACAGCGTAGAAGCGGTGATGTGCTGGTCGTTGTTTGGCCGACTAGCATCTTCTGCAGTCGGCGCCACAGCTCCATATATCTTCCAGCGATATTTTGAGCAGGAATGAATGAAGCCAGATGCTGACGGAACATCAAGGATTTGCACGGCTTCGCAAGCACCAGACGATGCTTTTGCTAGTACTGCCGAAGACAGATTGGCGCATGTTTTGGTGGCAATTGCGATCGCGTCCACGCCATAGAAATGGGCTGTGCGAATGATGTTGCCAACGTTGCCAGGGTCTGTAATGCCATCGAGCAGCAGCACGAAAGGATAACGCCAGCTGCTGCCGAGAGCACGAATGGTTCTGGGTGCACCGTTGATCTCTTCTTCTTCGCTACTTTGCTTCCCAAGCTCAACTGGGATGATGCCTTGGCGCAGCTCAGGTTTCATCAGGCCGAGAATTGGAGGCGCTGGCAGAGTCGACGTTTCGAGTATTACACCGTTGTGAGGTCGATCGCCCGACATCTGGTTGAGCAATGCCACACTGTGCTCCTTGACGATTGGCACCTGTGCTGCTTTGGCAAGCTCTTGAAGCTCGTTGACTGGCGCCTCTCCTGAAGCCGTGCCTTCGCCACCAATGTCGCGCTCGAAGATCTTTCGATGAATATACAGCTTGTAGCACTTTCGGCGTTTCGCTCGTAGTGCGGCAAGAACACTGTTGTAACCATAGAGAAACTCACTCGCAGCAGAAGAGTAAGGAAGAGCGACAGGCACATTCTCTTCACCCTCGTCTGAGTGGTCTCGGCGTTCTCTCTTGGCAGGTCTGGAAGGCTCGCTCCTCACTCTCGCCTTCTCCTCCATGTAGGCAGCCTTGCGCGGGTTTGGGCCCTTTGTAAGCTTGGGCGAACCTGCTACATCAATGTCAAGCGTTCCTTGTTCGGTGATGTAGATGACGCTCTTCCTGCCATCTGGACGATCGCCAGCCAAGAACGTGCCATCCCTACTACCATCACGGAAGAGCGCTACCACCTCGTCCATGCCGTCGTCGCTTTCGAGAATCGGATCCATGTTGATATTTTTGAGAGAGTACCTGACGTCGCTGATCAAGTCTCGAACGTCTTCGCCGGCACTCTCTTTGGACTGGACGAAGTGGATCTGTCGACATGCGTTCTTGATATGTTTGCGGAGATCTCGTGGTTTTTGGTAGCGGGGACCGGACTGATTCTCTCCCTCATCGTGTCGTCTTCCCATGCTTCCAGAGGTCTTCCCAGTCAGAGCTGGTTCACGCCTTTCGCGAACACCCGGCCGGGTACGCCCACCTGTGCGTGGTGATGGTTGATCTTCGCCACTATGATTGAAGTCGTAGTCCTCGCGCAAACGAGATGATCTGGGACTTCCAAACTTGCTCGGGCGTGAATCGGGACCGTCTTCCGATCGGGACGTAGATGGGCGCGGTCTGTCCCTGCCTCGGAAGCCATTTCTCGACGATGGCCTGCCGTCTCTCGCAGATCTTGACGGGCCATATTCATCGCGCTCTCGTGGCCGGCTGAGACTGCCCGTCTCCATATGGTCGCTCGAACGAGATGATTGGGGACTTCCGAACTTGCTTGAGCGAGAATCGGAACCTTCTTCCGATCGGGACGTAAACGGAGCAAATGCTTGCGGTCTGTCCCTGTCTCGGAAGCCATTTCTCGACGATGGTCTGTTTTCTCTCGCAGATCTTGACGGGCCAGATTCATCGCGAGCTCGTCGCCGGCTGAAACTGCCAGTCTCTACATGGTCGCTCAGTCGGCGCGGATTGCCGAATGCAGGCTTGTCCCGACTGCCAGGCCGCGTTGGCGGTACTGCCTTTCTGGAGCGATCTCTGCCAGCCCTGCCAAAGCTGTCGCCGTCTCTGGTGGCGCGTAGACCTCTGTTGATCGCAGACGTGGTGGAGACGAATGCTTTTGGACGTGTCCATAGCCGGCGGTGCAAGCACAGATGCCTCTGCAGCAAGGCCGATGACATTGGATTGTGATGCCGCGAAGTTTTCAAGAAGGTTTGATATTTCTAAGGAGATCGGATCCTCCGAATTCTCGGACATTGTTCGGTGGAACGCGTCGCCCCACGTCAAGTCCAGGGACATCACCCAAACTCACTTCCTTTCGTGCAACAACATCGCGTCGGCGTGTCTCGCCAATATTCTATCATACCGCCCTCCTCCTCCACCCATGTACGAATAGCGCACTTCCGCAGCAGCCATGCCGCCCGCCGTCCCATTCCACTTCGACGCGCGCGGCGATTCCTCCGACGAGGATAGCGCTGGCATCGACCTCGCCGCATGGCAGTCTGGTCCTGTGCCTCCCAAAGCGCCTCCTGCTGCTGCTGTGCTCGCGCCAGATGCCGAAGTCATCCAGAGCAACGCATCACCAGAACCAGCACCAGCACCTGCTCTACCCGAACCCGGATCTGGTCGCAAGCGCACATCAACATCTCCATCTCCGTCACCAGCAGACGTCGGCTCCGGATTCAAGGCGATCAACAGCCGCCAACAGTCGCAGCCATCCACACACAATCTAGATGCGGATGTGACGCCAGAAGCAGGAGCGGAGGCGGAAGCGGAAGCGGAAGCAGAATCAGAACCATCGCCTATATTTGTCAGTGAAGAGGAGGAATTGCCCAAGAGGAATGCTCAAGGGAAAGGCAAGAACGCAGTACAGGGTCTGGTTGTGCATATCCCTGAGAAAGAGGTGGCTAGAGCTTTGAAGAGGCAATGGGAAGACTTCACCACTGGCGGCGACCGCGTTCGACGCGTGTTACGGGAACGATCCGATGATGATGGCACGGTGCTGTACAAAGTACTGTTTGACGACTATCACACCGAAGAGGTATGTTGACCATTCCTGATTTCTCTGTGTCCTACGTTTGAGTACAGCACAATACCCTCGGAATCACGCATTTGATGCGGCTAGCTCAACAAGTAGCTCGAGTCAGACGCGCTGAGCTTCATGTGATCCTCGGCCTCGCATTTTGCTTCACATGCCTCGCTCGTCCGCACAGAGCTATCCGCAACCATGTGCATAGCTATCTCTGTCACACCTTCGCTCACTTCGAGCTGCTTTGCCCTTTCACATGGCGCTTTCCGAGCCTTCTGCGCCCTACTTAAGGCCGCTTCTTGCACTCTATTATCTTCTTTCCACAAACATCAACATCTTCACGTCTTTGAACACACACAATCTGACAGTCGTGTCTCTCACAGATTGCCTTCAACGACTTGCTAGACTTCGATAACGGTCAAGACGCGCTTGCCGATTTCCAAGACAATCCACCATCTGAGTCTGAAGTTGAGACTGCCAAAAAGCGAAAGGGTCCACGTGGATCTCGAAACAAGCGCGGTTCCAAGATGGTCTCTACACGCACAGGCGGGCGTCGACAAGTTCAGCGAGCTGGATTCGTCAACTCTATTGACGCAGTGGACGGCAGCGACGTGGACATGTCTGATGACGAGGATCTGTCCACCAAGTTCGCGGGACGGAAGCGGCGGAGACAAGACACGACTCAGTACCAGGACGACGGCGAACCCGAGGAAGACGATGAAGAGGAAGAGGGTTCAGAAGATGAGCTTGCACTAGGCAGACGGACCAGACGACGGCCGGCCAAGACAGCTGCGAGTGCGAAGCCCACCAGAAGTCTTCGTACTCGTCGAATATCTACCGGCTTGACTGAATCTGAGGAAGACATCGACAGCGACGGAGTGCCTTTCTTGCAGTCTGATCTGCCAGGGCAGCGCAAGCGCAAGTCCAAGCCACGCTCACGTGTGAAGGGCGCAGATTACGAGGAAGATGGCATCGGCTTCACAAAAAGCACGCGGCAGAGTGGACGTACGACCAGGCATCAAGGTGGCATGCAGGAGGTCGAAATGGACGACATTTATCGATCAGACTCCGATTCGCAGCGTCGTCCGCCTATAAAGCCGAAGATCTTGACCACGAAAGAGGTCTTCAAGGAGCTTCCTCGCAACAACGAGTTCTGCATGCGCCATCATCAATATTGTGAATCGTGTGGCCAGGGCTCCAGCTTCTCCAAGCTCGTCTACTGCCAGGGCTGTTCCCTGGTCTATCACAAGCAGTGTCTTGGTCATCGCACAAATCGCGAACACCTGGTCACGAAAGTCGGCGAGGATAACTTCGTCTTGCAGTGTCGGCGCTGCGTTGCCTATCCTAGGAAGAAAGATCCAACTGCACCCGATCAAGGCAAATGCTCTGGGTGCAATCGTCATGGCGGCGCATGCAGACCGTGGAGACCTCGCAAGACCCCAGGTCAAGAGCAAAGAGATCGCGACGAGAATGACGGCGTTGATCCGAGCTATTCAATTCCATCTGAGATGATTAACAACATGGACAATGTCATGTTTCGCTGCACCAATTGCTTCCGCGGCTGGCATTTCGAGCATCTTCCTTCACGTGCCGATTACGACACAATGGAGACGGAAGTTGATCCGGAGCAGCGATTCCGGGAATACAGCCGTGACTGGAAATGCAAGGACTGTGCTGAAATGCCTGCCAAGGTTTCTGGTATCATTGCTTGGAAGCCTGTTGATGAGGACACTTACGACCCCGCGCTGGGTCTAGAGGGAATGGATGAAGAAGACATCATCTATTTGGTCAAGTGGGATCAGATGTCATACTTCCGTGCCCGTTGGATGCCTGGTCCTTGGGTATGGGGCGTGACAGCTCCAATGATGCGAAAAGCGTTTGCAAAGCGCGACGACTCTCAACATCCAAAGATGCGCACCGAAGACGCCATCCCTGAGGACTATCTGCGAACCGACATTGTGCTGAATGTTAAGTACACCAGCTATGTTGACATCAGAACCGAGGATATTGACAAGGCGCGTATTCGTGAGATCGATAAGGCTCTCATCAAGTACAAAGGCTTGACTTACGAAGATGCCGTTTGGGAGACTCCTCCAGGCCCTGAAGATGGCGAACGTTGGAGTGACTTCGTCATGGCCTACAACGACTGGGTTTCTGGACGCTACGTTCGCCAACCTAGGCCCAACACGCTCAAAACCCGTCTGGAGAAGGCACGCAAGGATGACTTCCGCAATCTCGAGAAAAACCAGCAGCCTGAATCCATGGAAGGAGGAAAGCTCATGGAATATCAGATTCAGGGACTCAATTGGCTTTACTACAAATGGTTTACCCAGAAGAACGCCATCCTAGCAGATGAGATGGGTCTTGGCAAGACTATTCAGATCATTGGATTTCTGGCAACTATGGTGCAAGACCACAGCTGCTATCCCTTCCTTATCGTGGTGCCGAACTCTACCTGTCCCAACTGGCGTCGAGAGATCAAGCGATGGGCACCAAGTCTGCGGGTCGTGGCTTACTACGGCTCCAAGGAGAGCAGAGACATGGCCTACAAATATGAGCTTTACCCAGAACAGAGCAAAGATCTTCGATGTCATGTGGTCGTGACGAGCTACGACGCTGCGGCTGACGAGAACTGCCGCAAATTCTTCAGGGGAGTGCCATGGCAAGGACTCATCGTGGATGAGGGACAGCGCCTGAAGAATGATAAGAATCTGCTCTACGCAGCCTTGTCTGCGCTAAAGGCTCCCTTCAAGATCCTTCTCACTGGCACTCCTCTGCAGAACAACCAGCGCGAACTGTTCAATCTGCTCCATTTCTTGGACGATGACTTTGACGCTGCCGCCTTGGAGCAAGAATACCAGGAGCTCGACGCATCAAAAATTGCTGCTTTGCACGACATGATCCGACCGTTCTTCCTGCGTCGCACGAAGGCGCAAGTGCTGACCTTCTTGCCTCCCATGGCCCAGCTCATTGTGCCTGTCAGCATGACTGTTGTGCAGAAGAAGCTGTACAGAAGCATTTTGGCCAAGAATCCGGATCTCATGAAAGCCATCTTCAGCACTGAGTCAACGAACCTCAAACAAGGCGAGCGAGCATCGCTGAGCAACATTCTCATGCAGTTGCGCAAATGTCTGTGCCATCCATTCGTCTACAACAAGTCCATCGAGGACAGACAAGTTGATCTGGCATCTTCTCATCGTAACCTGGTCGATGCTTCGAGCAAACTGAAATTGCTCGAACTGCTTCTACCAAAACTCAAGGAGCGTGGTCACCGAGTGCTCATTTTCAGTCAATTCTTGGAGATGCTGGACATGGTCGAAGATTTTATGGACGGCATGCAACTCCGATACCAGCGTCTTGATGGATCCATCAGCGCGCTGCAAAAACAGAAGCGCATCGACGAATTCAATGCGCCTGATTCTCCTTTCTTCGGCTTCCTGCTTTCGACTCGCGCAGGAGGCGTCGGCATCAACTTGGCAACAGCTGACACTGTCATCATTCTGGATCCAGACTTCAACCCACATCAGGACATTCAAGCCTTATCCCGAGCCCATCGTATCGGCCAGCAGAAGAAAGTGCTCTGCTTTCAACTGATCACTCGTGCTTCTGCTGAAGAACGAATCATGCAAATTGGCCGCAAGAAGCTTGCCTTGGACCACGTCTTGATTCAGGAAATGGACGCCGATGACGCCGACCAGACCGATCTCGTATCCGTGCTTCGCCATGGTGCCGCCGAATTGTTCGAAGACAGTGGTGAAAAGGACATCATCTACGACTCTTTCAGTGTAGATCGCCTACTCGACCGATCGCACATGGAAGACACCAAGACTGGTGAGGACAAGTCAGCGGAGACTCAATTCTCGATTGCTCGTGTCTGGGCAAACGATAGTGCCACCTTGCAGGAAGCGGTCATTGACACCGAGGAGTCCGCCCCTGATCCGGGCGTGTGGGCCAACATTCTCAAGGAGCGCGAACGCGTGGCTGCAGAGGAAGCTGCCGCCAAAGCCGAGGCTTTTGGTCGCGGCCGTCGTGCTCGCGCTGCCAATGTCGACTATACTGGAGAAGGAGAGGAACTGGAAGGCGTAACAGGCGAGGCTTTACCACCTCTGAAGAAGCGCAAGAAGAGAGATCCGCATGACTCGGACACCGATTTCCAGGCCGACGACAGTGAGGACGAAGCCGAGGACGAAGGTGAGCAAATGCTGGAGAACGGTGAGTTGATGGATCTGGACAAACCGGTTACTAAAGAAGGTCTAGGCAAGCAAAAGAAAGGTAAGCAGAAATCGCCGCTGCCCACCCCTACAGCAACCCCTGCAAAGTCCAAAGCGGAAAAGCCAAAGGCTACACCCAAGAGCACAACCAAGAAAGCATCTACTACACAACCGCCCTTGCAAGATCAGAGCATGAGATATGGCGCAGACCGCGGGCGCTTTCTTGCAAAGCAAGACACCAGAAAAGGTGCCGCCAAAACCGGCAGCTCTTCAGCCCATGAAGAAGTCTGGCGGCAACGGCGATGCAGCAAAAGAGGAAACGCCGAAGAAATCTTCTGCATCAACTGCGAAGAAGAGCTCTAGAGGTGTGGCTCAAGAGGCTAGCAAGGCTCAAAAGTCACCCAAATCAAACGCCAGTGGGACCAAAGATGCGAAGAGCCAGCCTTTTGAGCCTCCTGCTGCTGGTCAACCTGCTGTGCCGGCTACTCGGTCGGAAGGTGCTGACGCCAGCACTCCTGCTTCTCCAATGAGGGAGGGCGGCGTCATTACAACCGAGCAGCCTCCGTCGTCCACGCCCCAGAACGGAAGCACTGCTGCGACCGCTATCGCCATCGACAGCGATGACGATAGTGAATATCACAGTGCTTCCGAAGAATCACCCCAACAAGCAGAAGCAGGAGCATCAATGCCAGACTTAAGCTAACACCGCCACTTCTCAGACATCCCGACTTTCAAGCGTGCCGTCATCCCTCATCCCAAGCCAGGCGACGACGCTATGCCTGTGGCTAGTACTATCGGCGATCAGGCTCTGCCACCGAAGCAGCAATACAGCGATGCAGCAGCCGACAAGCGTTACATCAACTGCAAAGCCTGCGTTCGGAGGCATGAAGTTGGAAGTTGCCCTCTCAAGATTGCTGGAGTGGAACATTGTAACCTTTGCGGAATTGCGCACTTTGGACAAGCCAGGGTGTGTCCTCACATTCAGAGTGAGACACAGGTAACCAAGACCATGTCCATCGCTTTCGTTTGCACTCTGCTGACTTCTGTACTCCAGGTTCGACAAATGATTGAGGCTTTGAAGTATTCGAATGAGCCTGAGCATCTCGTCAATGAAGCTAGGCGGTATTTGCGTGGATTGAAGGGTAATTTGGTGCAATTGAAAAAGCAGAAAGAATTGAAACAACAGCAGGCGCAGTATGGTGGCGCGGGGCCATCAATGCAACAAAATGGCTGGACACCTCAAGCACAGCCTCAAGGCACGAACTATGGTGTTCCGGCTTGGTCTGCTGTGGGTGGTTATCAAGGTGGGGCGTAAAGCTCTGGGCACTGGATGGGTTTGGTTTATATCGGTGCTCGAGGCGAAGAGGTATTCATCTGACTTCTGGTTCTCTTGATGCCCCACCAGGCAGAACCCGAGACATGGAACAAATCGAATTTGAAAGACGGACTACCTCAATGGACATCCAGCCTAAACGTGATAGTGGGCGGTTTCTGCAGCATCACCAACCTTTCCAAGAATTAGGGTAGCTCAAGCAGTCAGCATATGATATCGCATGAGCTCTTTAACCTTTCTAGTCCACTTGTGTGGTTATCTCATCTCTCATCTCATGCTTTTCCACGAGAACCAAGACTTCGAGAACAAAGAGTTCGGCAATGGCCGCTACAGCCTACCGTTGCTCAAAAGACATGTCGACAGCACGACGGTTTCGCGTATTAAAGAAGGAATTGAGCTACCTTGATGTCCTCATCATTCAAGCATCATTCTAAGCCGATGTAAAGAATGACGGAACTACTCGAAGCTCTCAAAGCGATGGTCTGGCAACTGCACTGCAAAGACTCTCGCATATCACCGTCAGTCAGGTCCTACATTCGCCAACAGAAACCAGTCCTTTATTTCCCTCACCCATCTTCCTCACCCCCATCAGCAGCTCTCATCCGCTTACTCCTCATCGACCTCTTCAATTCCAGCGTCGGAAGCACATGTCCATCCTCCCCAACCTCAGCACTAAGAATCCGACCCAAATCCGCCACGGCTCGCCAGAAATGCGGCGTGTATCCATGATTCGGGACATCAGTTCTATATCTCTCTTGAGAGGAGAGCGTCAAGACCGCGCAAAACCAGAGGGTTGTGAAGAGGGATGTGAGGAAGAGGAGGAGGAAGGAGAAACCCCATTGGTATTTTTCGGTTGGTGTGCATTTACCCGCGGGTGTGTTGAGGATTTCGTAGGCTGTTGTGACGGTGCGGTTTTGGTACCAGCAGCCGTAGCCTTTTTGGCCGTTGTTGCTGACGAGGATGTGGATGTTTAGTAAAGGTGTTGGGAGGTCTGTCGTGGCGTTGTTGTGTTTGAACGTGCTTTCGCCTTCGAGGTACTGCGAGGCGGAGGACGCTCCGCTGGGGTAGATACTGCTGACGTTGTCCGGAATGGAATGGTAGCCAAGTCGCTGATAGTCTTCGTACTGGCCTGTATGGTTGACATAGTACGCGTACAGACTTTCTGCCGCGGATAGGTTCCTTGCTTCTGCACTCGGCATTGACGCCGTTTGTCGGGACTGCATGTTGTATTGCTCAGGTGCATCAGCAGGAATTATGAAGTCGTTTTCGAGTCCCACTCGAGATGCGTCGCTCACGATCCCCCAGCAGGGAGTGAAGCTACTCAGCTGTAATGTCTCGCCATTAACAGTGACTTCGGCATTCATGACTGCTCCATAGCTTGTCATCGCGCTAAGCAGAGTCGGCCAGGCAAATATGAATAGTCCTGAAAAGATCATCACTATGTACACGCCGATTGTATAGCGTGTTCGTGGATATCGTTTTCGCCAGAAGTCCCGTGCAAGCGTTGAAGCTCCCTTGAGAGTGCCATTGTCAAATGCAACGGCAGCATATGTGTCACATGTCAGTTGGTTGGTTGGAAGCATGTTTGTCAGAACCTGGCTGAAGGCATGATAAGACATATAAAGGAGGAAAAGCTGTCCGCCTCGTCCCACTATCAGGTCCCAGAAGATGTCGAGAAACTTGGCTCCCGTAAACGAAAGGTTTCCAGCGACCGGGAGCGTGATTGCAACGATGTTGTCTATACTCCAAAGATCCACTTTAGGGACGACTTTGGTGCTTCCAGGTAAGCAGGTTCCTGCAGCTCCGTTGCTCGGCTGTCGATAAGCAGAGATAAGTCCGAGTGCGAATGGTAGAACAACCAGTGGTATGACTATCATTGAACTTGCCAGCGGCGGATGCGATGTCGAGAATGGAATGGGTTTCCTGGTAACTGGTGGTCTTCGTAAGGCATCTCGCTTCGCCCGAAGTATTTCAAGCTCTACAGAAGGTCTCGGTACCAGTTCCTGGCTAGATCTGTCACTTTGCAAAGAGCTTCTTGTCGCCGGCGTTACACTTCGTGGCCGTAGAAGTTGCAACTCGATTGGTTGGGGTGGTGACGAAGGGCCTGCTTCGCTGTGCGAGCTGGTGGCTGAAATATCTCGCCGCGATCGTCGTACATCCAGCGTATTCGAAGGTTTCTGAATTGATACATCTCTCTCGCTGTGAAAAGAACTTCTGGCTGAGACGACTCGTGAGTCCAATTCGACTGGTTCGGGCCTAGGAATCAGCGCCTCGGTATCGCTGTGTTCATCATCACGCGCCATGAGGGCTGATCCTTCCAGTTGCGATCCTTAAGATGGCCAGTCGGAGAGATTGTCGTTGGAAGCAGTTAGATATGCCTCCTGAGCAGGCATACTCGTCGTTCCCAGTCGGACGTTGAAAGCGGTGAGCGAAGTTGCACTCATGTCGAGGTAATCCTATTCCTTTGACGAGATCAGCTGTGGCTGGTAAAGACAAAAATATAACACGAGGGATTGTGCTACAGTACAGCCTCCCACACTAGACCCGGACTTAGTAACATATAGCGCAACGGTCGCTTGTGCTACTATGTAGTTTGCGACCCCCAAGCGCTGTAGTTTCTAGGCAGTACAGTATGTCTGCGAGCGACGACTGAAGGCATAGACGACTAGCATCTGTAAAGTACCGTAGAATACAGCATAGGCAGGCAGGTGCTGCCTGAGGGTGGCTGAGCGAAGCGAGACCTGAAGGCTGATGAGTGAAAAAACCAGCAGAATTCGGTGCCTGCCGTCCTTCCTACAATTGCCTACAAGTGCCTACACGCGATTTCGTTTTCTTTTTCTTGCAATCAGAGGCCTAGTAGGAATTTTTGTAGTTACAGTAGGTCTAAGCGCATCTTTAAACTACTAATAAACCCCGCCGAACATTTTGCACGTGATAGCATTAAGTGTATAAATTCTAACTGTTCTTCCACCTAGCTCGTAAGCAGATAACTTATTACACGCATGATCTGCTTCTCCTATTAGATAAAACAGCATTCGGAGGGCTCGGAAGCTCTTCTACAAGGTATAATAATACCGCAGAAGCTTTCCCGTCTCTATAGCTTGAAAGGGAGTATAGGCAGGGCGTACTATTGTCTATAGCTGTTATAGGTATAGATGTCGTCTTCGAAGGTATAAGTGCCGTCTTGGCGGGTATAAGTGCCGTCTTCGAAGGCATATATTTAATATTAGCCCTCGCCTTCTCAAGCGTTTCTTATTCCCGATATTCAACATTACTACGTCGGCTACCAGCTACTACCCGAAACGCCTACTACTACAACGACAACGTCTAGCTACAATGCTATCTGGAATTATTGCTACACTACTCTGCCTCGTCGGGCTTACACTCGGGTCATGTGGCCAGAATTGCGATTGCTGTGTCGGTGGCACCGGGGTAAGTAAGGATCTCGTCTTCGAATAGAGCTGTATCTCGCTCCGCGAACCCGTACTGATTGAACCGTTCCTAGAGGAGGCATACATATGTAGGGTTCTGTCATACGGATTCGCACGGAGACTTATATTGCAAACAAGCGAGCGCGGCTGGTACAGACCCAAGTTGCTCAGGCACATGTACGTAATTATCGGGATGATTCGCTGGGCTTCGTGCGGCTGCCACTCCTTCAGCGACATTCCGCAGGCAGTATCCGGCGTCGATTGTCCTTTGATGGATTTCGTGTCGCGTTATTAGAATGAACGAATGGAAAGAAATGGCGAAGGATTGAAGTAACTTGCATGCAAGCGAACTGTCGCCTCAATCACCATCAGGTCATTTCACCTTTCATCAGGAGAAACCCTCGTCTCGGAGGTCTTTCACCTTCTCAAATGTCGCATGATCAAGACTTCCAAGTCCTGTAGAAAGGTCCCATCCAGACAGGGCAGGAAAAGCCTCAGTTCTACATCCAGGATTTGAGCCGTTCTTGATGTCGTGAAAGATCTCGGTATGCTCGTACAGAACGGCATTGACGAAGCAACTGGGCCGCTGCCAGAGCCCTGCCGCTGCTGATTGACCATGGCGAGAAGCGAAGACCAGATTGGAGCTGCTAGGGATGTGCATATGTTTGAGCCAGATTGCCTTGGACGAAGAGGTTGAAGTGAGCGCCATTTGCCACATCAGGAGACTGCGAGATATTAGCAATAGTCACAAGCTGTTGGGTTTCAAACTATTCACACCGCGACCAGCTTTGTTGTAAATGCCAGTGTTCAGACCAGAAGTGGTATTGCTAAAGCTACCATCATTTGGAGCTTTCTTACCCAGTATGGCGGAGGGTATGGGAAGCGATGATCGGAGATCTTGGGTACATCTGCCATTCAGCATCTGCGCTGTTGTCCACCTCCAGCAAAATTTCTGCATATGAGCTGCGAAGCCACAGCACGATATGCTTGCTTCAGGGGATCAAGCAATTGAGAGTCGAGGGAATTTGGCGAAGTCTCAGAAGAGCCTAGAGAGTCAGTGTCATGGTATAAAGTGCTTCCCACCATGCCCCGACAATGCCCCAATAATTGCCGACCTCAAGTCATGCATGAAGCTCAGCGTACTGCCATCGAGCACAGTTCGAACGGCAGGTATGCAGTCACAACACATATGCCTCGAACAGCCTCGTTCTGCGAGAGAGCCGTCATAGACCACGGCATATCCATAGATGTTTACATCGCATCACCGAGCTCCGAGCTTCGAATGACCTTTGAGACAAGATTGACTGGCTCCACGGAGCCAGGCGTGTGCCGTGATGCCACGCATCTACGATGTCTTCTCTTCCTTTCTCTCGAGCATGCCAGGATGATGCTCAGGCTGAAAGTCATAGCAACGCCTCTTTGCAGCCAGGCTCTTGACGTCGTTGGGATCGGGGCGACTTGGCGGCCGCTGTGATTCAGGTCGTGATCTCGAGGAATCAATGGGGCTGAGACGGGTTCAGCACGCACGGTAGATTTGACGCATGTCGATAGCGTTCGTAGAAGGAATTGGCGTCTGGTGGTGGGATGGATGGTCCAGAGTGTTTGAGTGGCAGTTTCATTCACCCGCACTGACGTACCAGCATTGCCCGTGCGTTGACACCTTGCCGTCCATAAGTACTTTGGTCTGCCCTTTTCCCCTTCGCTTGTCACGACTGCTCAGAAGTATATTCTATTCCCATGTAGGCGTTAAATCTACTCCACATCATTATCGCCCTGCTGACTGAATATCAGAACAACAACACGTATATTCTATGGCACAGCCGCTGTCCAGCTCCAAGTTCCTGGACAATACCTTGTCACTCTTACAATGGACAGAGCACCTTTGTTTCAGTGTTCAAAGAAGTCAGAGCCATATTGCTCTTACAAAGGACAGCTACCAGTGACAATGCTCTTGTTGGTCGACGCAACAAAGCATTGTGCATTTGGGCCAGATCCAGGAGAAGGAATTTAAGTGCCCAGCACTCGTCATGTCTCCTGTTTCCTCACTTTTCCCTCCCACGTTGTATTCTGGAAGATTTCTTGAACCTCAGTAGCTGGTCTACTGTCACTGAGAACATCCACAAGCAACAAGAGAGACAAAGTCACCCCCAACATCAAGGCCATCCGACGTCCACAACACTATCACTCAATCAGACAGACGTGAAATGGCCAACCGAGGTCGAGGTAACCAAGCCTCTGGAAGGCGGTCTTCCTTGACCAATTTCAACAATGCCGACATCATCCGCAGAATGAATGAAGTAAACCCAGATCAGTCACCTGGGTCTGACTTCACTACCACCTTCGACCAAACACCACAGCCACCTCTATGGCGGAGAGAGGGTTTCAACTCGCCCGAGGAGTTCGAGAGCTTCATGGCGGCGAACAACGAGCGACTGCAGCAGCACATGTTCCACAATGTGCAAGCTCAGTCATCATCTTCCCAGCCATCGCGAAACCTCAATGTCACGTCTACTGCCTCTACAAACCAACCGTCTTCTCTTACTCGCCAGCCATCCAAGGCAAAGCATGCCTTGAAAAGCATATATACCAAGGCGAAAGACAAGACGGCGAAGTTTGTCGACGAAGCTCTTCTGTCTCCTGGACATCCCGACGCTTCGTATCCCAATGCTCTACCACCGAAGAACGAAGTACAAATTTCACTTCCACTTCGAGGCGAGACATGGGATGCGAACCTCAGGAATGCTACATCCAACGACAACTCTGGCCGCACTCTACTCCCGATCAATGAAGCTCAAGACTTGAGAAGACACCAGGCCAGTTACGCCGGCGAACACTGGAACCAGACCAACTTTGCGCAAGACAAAAACGGCGTTGAACGACAACGCGTCAAAAGCACAAAGGAACTGAAGGCTGGTCTCCTCAACGGCACAGTCGCCTATGTCGGTGGCAGTAAGTTGGATTTCATGCTAGACTCCGGTGCCGGTATCATCTCGCACAAGCATTTTGCTGACAAGAACAGGGATTCCGCTTTCTTCCAAGGAAAGCATCAACCTGGACCGAGCAGACCGCCTACGAGACCGACTCAAGCTGGTCCAAGCCAAGCCTCATCCTCTGCCCAAGCCTCCCGGACTCTCCCAACAGTCCCAGTCAACCACTCTGCAGTCGATGCGAAGAAACCCGCGCCACAAGCCAAGATACCAAGGCGCAAGGTAGAGTCAACTTGGGGTGCACTCATCGAAGCCGCCAACAAGTCTCCTTCAAACAGCAGCGAGGAGACACTTACGGCAGCGCCGATTGCAGAGTCATCCGAGAGAGCTCGTCGACGCCGAGTAACTGTGATCAACTCACAGGCATTCGATCCCGTCGATCCAAACGCCCGACCTGGAACTCGCGACTCTTTTGCAGAGGTAGGTCGACTTGACGACTCTGACGAAGCCTTCAACTTCTCCTCTCCTCCTTCACCTCTCTCTCGACCATCCTCAGATCTTGCAGTCGAGGCTCCACGTCTCGAAAGTATAGATCTAGGAGATCGATTTGCTCCTTTCGATCGCGGCCTACAGATCGACACCCACATCCGTGACGATCATGTCAGTTGGTATGTCAGAAATGAGGGCGCTTCGTCCTCGAGACAAACCAGACAAGAGCGAACGGATGGCATTCCTTCTCCAACTGCTCCGTCTCACGATCGAGAGGAAGACGAGGCTGCGGCTTTGTGGAAGCGGCTTGAGGAGCAGCAGAGGAGCGGGCAGAGTCTTCGGAGGACGAGGAGAAGATAGGGCTAGGCGAGCTGTTGCAAGGTTGTGCTGGCGATGATGACGGACCATGATTGACGATTGAGTGGCTAGGTGAGCTGTTCAAAGGTAGTTTTGCGAATGATTGATGGCACGATTGAAGGTTGGCACGACTGACGATTGACGACCGATGATAGATGGTAAGGCAATGACTACGGATTAAATACTGCACAAAATTTAAATACATTGATGGTGACAATTTGCTTTGAGATTTGAAGAAAAAAAAGGTCTTTTTCATTTCAACATTTTCACATACATCGTTCGTTCACTTACCTTTCACTACCTTATGCATGACTCGCACGCACACATTCCAAGCGAATAAATCGAAGAAAAAGGAGCAGAACTTTATTTTAGGCCACAGTAATGCATTCATAACATCATACATTTCATCATATCATTCATACATGCACCCATTAAAACTCTCACCATGCTTAGCGTATCAGAAGTATAGCTACAGCCATCTCATCATGTCATGTCCTTTCATGCGTTGCTGCAAATTTTAGAACCAGTCCCCGCCTCCCATCCCCATACCCATCCTTAAATTCGCACCACTTGGAGCACCATAGTTACCATTCCCGTTCTCCCAATTTGGCGAATTCCAGTTCATAGCACCACCATTAGTGCCGCTGTCAACGTCCATGCCAAATTGCCTGACGAGCTGGTCCCAATTCTCCCAGTTCAGATCACCGGAGGTGTCCATAAGATTGTCAAGTGAAGGGTCTAGTGAGTCAATAGAGTCCATGCGTATTGGGATGTTATCCGATGCTGTGGGCTGGGTGATTTGCACATCTGTAGCGTCCATAGGCATGTTGCTGAAGTCCAGGTCGCTCGGCTGGCCGAGGAAGTTCTGACCAAACTGCATTGGAGAACGCATGCCGTTCTGGGCTTTTGGAGCAGCGATCGCTTGATTGGGTGCCGGGAATGCAAAGGTCACAGATTGGTTGGGAATATCGTTATTCGCCGTCTGATTGTTCATTATGCTCTGATCGAGCTCGCGCTGGAGCGTTTGGTTGAGCAGATCTGGATTGAGTCCCGCACCTGCTGTCTCCATCGGGTCCTCGCCGCTGGCAACTGACAATCTTGGTGACCGCAGAAGCTCATGCTTGTCTATGGGTGCTTGGCCGAATGCTGGTCCTTGATGAAATCGTTGTACTTGTGCTGCACTCAATGGCGCACGAGTCATGCGAGGCCGATTAGGATGCCCAAACATTGGGTTAGCATTGGGACTATACGTTTTCGATGGTGGGTTTGAATCGCGTTGTTGACACAACTGTTGCTCCTGCAAGCCACGTGTGCGAGCGTCTTTAGCCTTCCGATATAGCTTCTTCAGCGGTCGCCATAGATGGCCAACATTTGTCTCATCCTGGAGATTGAGACCCCAGCGGCCATCGACAGTTCTATCAACCGCTCGCCATGCTCGCTCAACCATCTCGCCAGTGGTACGGTGGCAAAGTTCTGATAGCGTGAATGCGAGGGCATGCCACTGAATGTACGTCCTGAACAACCAACCCCACTTCATGGTCCTTGCTTCGCTTTCCAGGAGTAAACTGTACTCCATATTTTCCAGACTGGTGATGAAAAGCTTCTCCTTGACATCTTCAGAGAGCGAGGCGCCGCCGTCTTGGCGTTGAAACGGATGATAGACCATCAGCCACATCTTGCTCATCATCAGACGGGCGACTGTTGCTGTCACCCAGAAAAGCGGGATGCTCATATCGCAATGCTTTAGGTATCTCTCTTCCAGCCGCTTATGACACTCGGTGATCCATCGCTCCTTGTCTTCAAGGGTGACGGACTGGTAGAACTCGTTGCATGCCTTTGGTGGGCCAGGTGGAATGTAGTTGATTCTTCGGAAAGTGTTGGCAACCTCGAAGCGGAGTAAGCAGAAAGACATGTCGGTACATCCTTTCTGCTCTGGTGGAAATTCTTTCATGTTTGGTGTAATGTCAACATCATTGAGGTTCAGTGGCATCTTAGTATCGAAAGACTGCTCAACGATTGTGGGATCACATCCGTGATCCTCGCTGGCCCTGGTGTCGAGAATGCATAATTGCCACCACAATCTTCTCCGCATCTCAACGTCGAAAGGCGACAGACCGAAGTGCGAGCCATCGCGATGTATGCCGATGGTCTGGGCTATGCGGACGACTAGACCAGTCAAGGTCCAGATGACTCTGGCATCGCTATTTCGTCTAAGACAGATCAGGAACACCACGAATGCTTGCAGAACCACGAGCTCTTCTGTAGTGAGGAAGTTTGCCCGGGCCAGAGCTTGTTCGATGGCGAATCGATATCGTGCCAGCAAGACCGCCTTCTCTTCACCCAGCTTGATCAGGCAGTCGTGCGCCGACAGACTGGTCGTTGCGCCATAGTATATGGTAAATAGCAAGCACTCGAAGCCCCTCGACAGGTTTGCAAGATGAGATGCAGCACTCAGAATCGTCGGCTCCAGACTGGGAATGTGTAACACTTTGACCAGTGGGTCTACACGGTCCTTGTAGATATCCCAATATTCTCTGATCTGACCGGGTAAAGGATGAAGATTGAGGAGATCTGCGGTTTGCGAAGTGAAGCCGAAGACAAAGGCATGGTGAGTGCTCGGGGGGTGTTGGGAATTCGATGCAGGTGAAGCTGTGAGATTGTCCTCTTCGTCATCGCTCGATTGGTTCAGGATGCCTTTCAGATCTTCGACCTCATTGCTCAAGTTTGCCCAGAATGAATTGTTGATATAGCGCGACTTGCCCTCATTGACCACAAGCCGGCCGAACCTGTTCTCAAAGCGGCCTTTCTGCTGCTCTTCAACCCATGCAGTCTTATGTCGGAACAGCTCGTCTGGGTCTCTGGTCGCTGCAACGGCACCTGGTCTTCCATGAAGCGGCGCATCGCCCTTGTTGGCATTGGCCTCGTCGTCATCGTCGTGCTTGTTTCCATTCTGCTCACCGTTCTTTTCCCTGCCATCGCCCGGCACTTCTACGCCCACGCCCATGCCCTTGACTACGCCCTCCAGCCTTCGAAGTCTTTCAAGCAGCTCTTTGTCCCGGCCATCTCCAATCTTTCGCGCTTTCCTGGGAGCGCGCCCAGGCGCTGGAAAGACACATTCTACATGCGCCCGATTGCAATTCGTGCACGGGTTTATCTTGTCACACTTGACCTTGCGACGTCTGCACGTCACGCACGATCTCGGGTTCAGCGTGCGACCTTGCGCATCTACTAGAGGCTTCGTGCTCGTGGCTGTCCCCGTCCCCGCTGCTGTTACCGCTCCGCCATTGCTTTGCGCTGCGTCGGCCTCAGGCTGCTGCTGCTGGGGATCTAGGGAGGTTGGCGTTTCAGTCGATGGAGGTAATCGAGGAAGGAAGTCGGAAGGTGCTAAGAAAGCACTTGGGTTCGATGAAGGGTCGCTCGTCCCACCGCCGGTACTACTGTCCTTGTTCGAAGTCTGCGATTCCGATACAGGTGTGCCGTCTGCCATATTGATACAGTATGCCCCCTTGCTTGTCAGGATGGAACTCTAATCGGCCTGCCTCATGAGACCTCTTTCGGGAACCATGTCCATCTTACGTCCGATCTGGACCGATACTGTCACTCCTGCATTTTTGCTCGCTTGAGGAATAAGTCACTTGTTAGCAATGCGCATGCGCATGCGCATGCAGCTGTTCGTGAGGTGACTGCAGGAAGTTCAGCTGACAAACCAGACGATGGTAGAGCCCGGCGACGATCATTCTCTTGGCGGTCGGGTCGGATCTCACATGCTAACCAGGCTCATCCTAGTCGATGCGCTAGCCAACGACGACATCAACCGATCAACACGACTTCTCCTCTCTTCACCTCTATTTGACATTCATATTCGTCAATAATACAGTATTGATTAACCATGACTTCATGCCAGCGGCATTGTTCATCTGACCTGGCCATCGCAAGACGCAATGCCACGCTGGATCATCATCCATTGACCTCTTCTAGAGTTATGACCAAAGTCGGATCTCTACTTCCAGGCTCCCGATATGCTGTAATTGACTACTCGACGTCAGCAGAAACACGACATGTCCAGCCTGAAGACTACTCACCTCTATAGTTAACCGCACCCTCAACTCTTGTCCATGCTGTATTACGAACCAACATGCAGCATAGACGTTCGGTGTCGACAGCAAAGCCGCGAATCCATCCATCGTTTGACCAACAACCGCTTTCTTAGGCCATTCAGGCGCACTTCCGTCCTCGCTCATGCCATTCAGCTTCAAAACATGCCCGAGCACGTCCAGCGTGGCTTGATTCTCCACATTACGACGCACGATATTCCGGATGCCAGAGATCCGAGTAGCATCGTTTTGACAAGCAGCTTGCCACAACAACCACCAGAAGTCTGAAAGCTGGGCAAGTTGAGGCGGAGACATCGTGCTCGCGTCCCAAGTGTGGCCAGCTTTCTGGAGAGGCGTCTTCTTGGCCATGATATTGTACATTGGACCATAATTCGAATTCGCAACGATGACGCCCTTGTCTGGCCAGTAGACGTTGCTATAGCTTGCTCCTGTAGGCGGATAAGTCATAGAACCGATAGGGGCGTGTCCGAGGCTGTGTCGGTAACCCCAGCGAGCACCACCACGAGAGCCCGAGAGCAGTTCTTTCAGGAGCCCTGGCTGCCATTCTGCCGACACAGTCACTTGCTCGCCTAGAACCCATCCCCATCCAGAGATCGAGCCTGGGTTCTTCCACTGAGTCGTCCCTCCGGTTCCGGCTCTAGTTGGATCGGCCATCCAGCACATGAAGCGCTCGCCTTTCTCGGTGGCGGTTTGGAACTGGGCATCTGAGACCGGATTGATGGCGCGCTTGCTCTTGATCGGCTGGACGACAGCTTGGCTCAAACTGGAGCGCAATTGGTATCCTGATGCTCGCACCGAGTGCCGGAATGAGTAACCTAATGTGAGCTGCAGCGCTACAATAGCAAGTGCGAGGACGCATAGTGCAGCCAGCATCGATGTGCGGGTGACTCGAGGATGCTGAAACCGAGCCATACCGACGGAGATCTGCTAGGCCGGATGTCTTTTGTCTCTGATTGTAGCCGTGTTGGACAAGATCGAGCCTGTGTAATGCTGTATCGCTGGAGCAAACAACCTCACTCGAGACGCTGAGGTGGTCCTGTCGCTTCACAGCACATATACTAGCATGCCACTCGCGGTATCGAAGCCAGTGCTGTATATCTAGGTGAGCAGTACTGCTGCCGATGTATGTCTCAGTTGTGGCGATGAGACAAATGTCTATAACTCCTCTGATGACGCAGCAAGAAGGAATTAGTATTGTGAGGTTCGACATGCAGAGGCAATTGTAAGTAAAGGACACCGAGCTGATCATGTGAGACTGGAGTGAACGATAGTGAGACGACTGTCAACTCATATGTTTTCATTTCAGCTGCATCACCAAAGGTTTGCAATAGCAGTGGTTAGAATCTTCCTATCGGCCGCTCAAGATGACCGCAACAATCTTCTCAGCCAGCGCGTAAACGACTGACTGCGGATGTCCTGGTGGAAGCAACGGGAAGGGGCTATCGTCAACCACCCTCAAGTTGTTAAGCCCAATGACCTTTGCATGCGAGTCCACGACCGCCATCGGATTAGCAAGTGTCCCCATCGTGCATGTACAGCTAACATGCCAATTGAAACCAATGTTCACCTGTATGTATGTACTCCAGAATCTCGTCATCGGAGGGGAGCTATCCGGCAAAACTTGACCTGGTGAAAGGGATGTTGTCCTGCATGGCTTCCGAGGAGAAATTCCGTTACTCTTGTGTGGATGTTACATATCATCATGCCGTTTGCTGTGGAAAGTCGTGATGCCTAGAGCCGGCTCAAGGAAATGTGTTCGTCGCGATTCTTGGAGAAATGAACGAAGCACAAATCGCTTGATAGAGAGGAGGGAGGCAGGGAGATTCTCTTGGCGCCGATTTCGGGCTTACTGTATCGGGTCATCCCGCGCCGAGGCACGTGAGAGGCTGCTCTTATCAGTCATCAGTCGAGAGCTCCAACAACCAACCTTGATGGCACGGCCTATCATATGGGTCTCATCATGGGCCAGCTGGCCTGACCCTCTGTCTCTCCTTGCTTGAAAATCCTCAACAGCAATAAGTGTCACATACATCCCCTTTTCATCTCGATCAGCATCCAAAATGGGCTTTGCACAGTCAACACCGCAGCTGCCCGTTCGGACCATCTCACGCCGAGAGAGGCGCGTCCAACGCGACCCAACCCCTACGACTAGCTTCGACGAGAAGTTCGACGCTCTACGCATTGATCTTGCGGAACGGAAAGAGATCGAGAGACTAATCTTCGGATCGGGGAATTCCGAGCACGTTGATGCCGCCGGTATACAGCAATATGTAAAGGAGGTGCTCAAGGACTCCAAGAACAGGCTGGGCCTCAACGCTCTGTCTGCCAATAATCCGGCGGCGATATTGGAGAAGCCATCGACTCTGATCAGAGATACCCAGTACTTCAATCTGAAGATCCCGCACGAGGGATCTCCTGTAAGTCGTTGAGCTTATAGGATGAATGAATGGACGGGTGGAAAGCTCATCCAAGCTAGGTCACCAACCAGAGAAGCAGCGGTCGTTGCTGGATCTTCGCCGCCTGCAATGTCTTCCGTATCGCCATTCAGCAGAAATACAACATCAAGAGCTTTGAGTTGTCACAAGCATACCTGTTTTTCTGGGACAAGGTGGAGAAGGCGAACTACTACCTCGAATCTATCCTCGATACCGTTGGCGAGGAACTGGACAGCAGGCTGGTTAGCGCGTTGAGCGCAAGCCCTGTGGGCGATGGCGGACAATGGGACATGATTGTCAACTTGGTCAGCAAGTATGGCCTCGTTCCGCAGACACTCTATCCCGATTCTTGGAATGCTCAGAACAGCTCCGCAATGGACCGTATTCTGACCACCAAGCTTCGAGAAGATGGTCTTCGCCTAAGAGCCTTGAAGGACAATGCATCGTCCGAGAAGATCGCTGCTGCGAAGGAGCAGATGATGCAAGACATCGTCCGTATCCTCACGTTGTGCTTGGGTCCTCCTCCTGCAGCAGACAAGAAGTTTACTTGGGACTTTTACGATGGCAACAACACCTTCAAGACAGTTTCGTTAACCCCGATCGAGTTTTCCGAGACCACGCATGTCAAGAAATTCGTGTCGCTGGTGAACGATCCTCGCAACGAATACAATCGACTTTTGACCGTCGACCACCTCGGAAACGTATGGGACGGCAGGCCAATCACGTACGTGAACGTTGACACTGTGGTCATGAAGGACGCTTGTGTCAAAATGCTGAGGAAGGGTCTTCCAATCTTCTTTGGTTCTGATGTTGGCAAGCAATCCGACTCCCGAGCTGGCATCATGGACACAGATCTCGTCGACTATGAACTCGGTTTCAACATCAAGCTCGGATTGACTAAAGCTGAGAGGCTGCTCACTGGTGAGAGTGCGATGACCCACGCAATGGTACTCACTGCGGTCCATCTCGATGAGGATGACAAGCCCGTGCGTTGGCGCGTTGAGAATAGCTGGTCAGAGACCGCTGGCACTGATGGCTACTTCGTCATGTCTGACAAATGGATGGACGAGTTCTGCTACCAGGCGGTGGTGGATCCTAGCCTCCTAGATAAGAGTGTGAGAGACATCCTCAAGCAGGAACCCAAGGTCCTGCCACTTTGGGGTAAGTCGAGCGACCATACAGCACTTTCGTTGTCGCCGTTCTGTAGTGCTGACTTTACCAACAGATCCTATGGGTGCGCTTGCTTAGCTGAAGCTCATGACCTACGATACCACGAACTGAATCTTCTAAGCAAGTTATAAGCTATGGCAAAAGTCTCTCCGATATCACAGCTGGCAGTCAGCAGCGTTGCCTCCGTTGATATTCCTGAGCTATGCATGTGAGATGCTCCGCACGTGGCAACTGCATGGTTCTCCTCAGCCTACTAGCACGCCGCCCACGTGTTTACCAGAATTGGGACTGCATCACAAATCCGGGATCCTATTTCGAGCTGTTGCTGACAACTTTACTTGCGTGCTGCTTGCCTAGGAAGCTAGCAATCCTCAGGCCTTGGCTTGATCCTAGTTTCTCGGCATGCCGATCTGATTGGTATAGACCCACCCTTACCGAGTGGGAGTGGCACCAACCAAGAAGACTTGGCTGAAAAGCGCAGCAACGCGCCTATACTCTCGTCCATATCTGGCTCGGTACCGCGAGCTCCGCCAGCATCTCGAAAGAGGAGATCACTATAAGTACTCTCAGGACTCGCGCGTTCTGTACATTCTCTCCCACATCAACACAACCAAGCAAAGCAACCAAATCAATAATCAATTTCCATTTTTTTCCCTTATCTCCTTGTCTCTTTTGTATCCATCTGCTTCGATCGTTTCTACACAGCACAATACCTACAGAATCTTCAGCATCACACAACCATATTCCATCAATAACCCACCAAAAACAACACAAAATGCAGTACTCCGCCATTGTTCTGTCCCTCCTTGCTGCCACTGGCGCCCTTGCCGCTCCAGCCAAGCGCACAACCGACAACTCCATTCGAGTCACCCTCTCTGACGGCAACCTTGCCACCCAGACCGCCTTCGAGGAGGGCTCTCGCCAAGCCAAGAAGCCAGTGGGTTCTTCAGGCCCATACAACACCGTCGAACTCAGCGTCGGCGCCGACGTCGAGCAGCAAACCCTCCGCTGCCAAATCCTCGACCGCTCATCCAACCCCATCACCGTCCTCCGCGGCGAGAACGTCGACATCACCTTCTCCGACGCCGGCAAAGGCCTATGGACCTTCCAGGACGGCAACACCGAAGTCTCTCAAATCATCTGCGATCCGGATTTCGTCGCCGCATCTGCTCCTCCCGCCGAGGATGAGGATGAGGAAGACGAAGATCTCAGCATCCGCGTAACTCTGACTGACGGCAATCTCGCTACTCAAACCCCTTTCGACGAAGCCGGTCTTGTCCGTGAACAGAAATCCCCAGTTGGTTCCGAGGGTCCTTACAACAGCGTCGAACTCGCTCTCGGTGCTGATGTCAACCCAGACCTTCGCTGCCAGATTCTTGACTCTCGTAATCACGCTATCACTGTTCAGCGCGGTCAGAATATCGATACTACTTTCGCTGATGGTGGGAATGGTCCGTGGATGTTTCTTTACCCGGAAGAGGCTGAGGTTTCTAAGATTGTTTGTGATCCGGCTTTCGTTAAGGCTTCGGCTTAAATCGGACTGTGGATGCAGGCAATGAATTGACAGATGCATATGAGCGATGGAGTGACAATGGAAATCATGATAGAGCATGGGCATACAATATCCGGCTGCGTTGTTTTTGGGGCATGGAAAAATTTTGAGGATGTTCTTTGATTTTGACTTCGCTTGTACAGTGCTGCTTGTTGCATTTTTGATTTTTTTCAGCTGCTTCGTTATTAGCAGCGCCTATACCAAGAAAATCTGAGATCGCTTTTATCTCAAATGCTTCTACAAAAGGAGGTTGTGGCAAAGTGGCAGGGGCAGGGATATCCAAACCGGAACCGTGGCCCGAGCCGAGCTTAGTCACTGGTCGCGTTTCACCGTTCACCGTTCACGATCCTCTTCCTCCTCCTTCTCCTTGCAAATCAAATCAAGGCTTTATTGCCAGAACAACAATACTGCACTTGAAATGCGACAAATGCGAGTCGGCGTTATTGTCTTCGAAGATGCCATCAAGTAACTCAGAGCTTGCATGGCATGCCACCGCATCAGCAAACATCCTCCAAGCGCGTAAAAGGAGAGGTCTGGTTGGAAGCAAGAAGTCGAGAAATGGTTGCATTCACTGCAAAACCCGGCGCATAAAATGTGACGAACTCCCAGAGTGTAGGAATTGCACCTCTACTGGCCGCACTTGTGCCTACGAGAGCGTTCCGAAGACAACTAGCAACACTCTTGGCCGGCATTTATCGTCAGCTCTGGGACTGAGCGACACGGAGAGACGCACATTCGATTACTTCTTGTCATGGACTGCGCCGCGGCTCGGCGGCGTGTTCGACAAGGCGTTTTGGTGTGGCAGCGTTCTCCAATTTGCCCAAACTGAGCCGATTGTGCTTCACGCACTATTGGCAGTGTCAACCCTCTATGAACATCCTCAGTGAGTTGACCTTGGCCCTCTATCGTGTCGAATCGCCCTTGGCTGTCACGTCGCATACGATGGCTCGGTCTCCATCATTAACTTTCGAGCGCCTTGCGATTGACAGGTTCCTAGATACATGAAAACGTTTCTAGGCCAGCCGAACTTTGCGGTTCTACGAGGAGAGGATCGCCCTCCTATTAATGAGCATCATGCTAGCGCATTGCGGCATTATAACAAAGCTATCCAAGGCGTCACAAGCAAAGTATCTCAGGGCTCGGCATCGCCGGCACTTCTCTTGCTCACCTGCATTCTGTTTGTGTGCATTGAGGTCATTCGAGACGACATCTTCGCAGCTATCGCACTTCTACAGAAAGGTGATGCGCTACTCGGCCAGTTCTCGACTTGTCCGAAATGTATGGCTCCAGATCTGTTTCTTACACTCAAAACCATATTTGGGCGCCTTAGCGTTCTATCAGCTCAATGCGCTGTGCCCATCGGGCTTGAGAAATACGCGCTCATGGAAGAGATTCCTTGTCGATTCAGTGATCTAGAGCAGGCTAGGACTTGCCTTTTCAACATTATGGCGGACGGCCATGCATTCTTGCTCAAAGCTGCTGAAATTTCTTCTCAGCGCCACGAGGAAGGGTCTTTGGGAGCGTCTCAGCAGCCATACTACACCAGATTCAAGACCGAATCCCCTGAGATGGATGAGAAATCGATTAAGTCTTTTTCTGCGGAGCCACTACTGGCGGCGCATGCGCCTGAAGATACCGCCTTTCCACTGCGGATGCGTGACATCGAATTGACTGGAGCACTGTCTGATGGCTGGATGACAAGCGAACTTCAAGAGCTTCAGGAACTCTGCGAGGACCGTTTCGAACAATGGCTAGCCGCTTTTAGCTACTTCTACAACCATGGCGAAGAAGGTGAGGGAGAAGCGTGTCTTCTTATGCACTACCACATCTCCAAAATGTTTCTCAAGGCCAGGCTCTCGCTCTACCAGACCGTGTTCGATCAGTATACGGAGACTTTTCAAGAAGTCGTCCGACTTGCTGGAATCTACGTCAACATCAAGTCGCCTGAGCGACCATCTTTTACGTTCGAGGTACGTGCGCCGTTCTTGGAGCGTTGCAAGTATGTATTTGACTGATGTATATGATAGCTCGGCGCCGTGCCTGCTCTGTTTGTTGTTGCTCTCAAATGCCGAGTACCCTCCCTCCGACGCAAAGCCATTGATCTCATCCATAGATCTCCCGGCAAGGAATGCACTTTTGGTGCAGGGAGCAGCGGAGAGCTAGCTGCTCGCATTGTAACCATCGAAGAAGAAGACCTCGGACTCACTCCTCCGCCTATCTCTCCGGCCTCGACTCCAACTTCTCGCCATAGCTCTGCTCAACCGCCGATCAACGACACAATACTGCCCTCGGAGGATCGAAGGGTGCACAATTTTGAGCTGCTGGCGAATAGGTCTGCTATATGCTTCGAAGTTCGGGTCACTCGATATTTGGATGGCGCGGATGGAAGTCGGATCAAGACCATCTCGGATTATGCGCTGTGATGCTTGCTTATGGAAACTCTGGTAACCCTGCAACGCTGTCAGACGTGGCGAATGAGATATGGAGTGGATCTGCTTGCCTTGCGGCTTCTTAAGCCATTGAGGTGTGATCAGAGTAAGCGTCCGCCCGAGCCCGTGCCTGGAAAGAAGAGTCAGTCTTGCCTTGCATCAACAGCATCTGCGCATACCATATGTCGGTGACCATAGCCGTTTATAGCGCCTATTTGCTCGACATTGCGAAGTCTGACTTCACGCATATATGCTGCCTGGTTGAACTCATCCGTGGGCCCGTCATTGTTGGAGGTGTTGCCGAAGAAGTAGCGTGTTGTGGCATATCCGATCAGCACGGCGGCGCCTGCGCCCACGATCACGCAGACGACTACGACTTGGGCGTTCATCTGAAGCAGCTGCCGTGACCGAAGGAGAATTTTGAAGCGATTCTGTCGAGGTGATGTGCTCTAATGAGTGCGTGCTTGTATTGCAAAACTGCGGTGCGAGGACGAACACCATTGTGAGAAGGGAAGAGCATTTATCTAGACATGATGCAAACACAGTACACAGCCTACCACATCGCCTGGGAGCGGCTGTTCTTCGGCTTTCAATGCGAGCGGGAGCGGTACGACGTGCAGGTGCACACGCGGCAACCCTGGTTCTGGTCCATGCAGGAGCGAAGTGCACATGCGTGCTTGCTTCCTCCCTCCTTGCCATTCACCTTGGCTTGGCATCTCAACTCTATTTCTGGTATGGCAGGAATGCTTGCTACCAGCTATTTCCGAATCAGCAGCTGTCTCTCCACCAAGTCCAACATCATTCGTCGACGCGACCGGCAACTTGATAGGCTCAACTGCTTATTGATCCTTCGGTTCTCGGAACACGGACTGCAGTCTTGCTCGCCCAACGATTCGGCTCCAAGACTGCCTCTCCGCATTCCATTCGCTGCCGGTTGTTCACTCCGGGGCATTGTTCTCTGGAATATCATTTGAGCCGAACGGCGACGGGCACGCAGAACATAATCCTCATCAACGAGAATCGATATGATGGGGCATAGACAAACAAGAATGTGCGGCTTCCTCAGAGTCGATCAGCGCGGACCAAGAAGCTGGAGGGAGGGATTGTAAACGCGGAACGCCAAGCTTTTCATATGCATCACCGTTGCCAAGCAACAAAATTTTAGGGTATATAAGCGCGAAGAAATTCCACTGCATTGTCGCAACCTATCAGGCGTATTCACCTATATCAGGCTTGTTTCAGGTCGAATAGGATTCTAAACGATAGATTATCGGAAAGGTGGTATGAAACGCGGATGGCAAGGTCATCGTCGTCTTCATTCGAGGGGTCCTGGCTAGGTGATCTACTGCCACGCTTCACAGGCGCGCCCGCCGTCACATGCTAAGCTCGTCTTCTTCGCCTGTATCTCAATCTCGTGACGCTGAGTCGCTACCGCGTCGCATAATAGTTCTGTTTCCCACGAAAACTCATCTCGTAGCCTTTGCCCTCTCCATTCTCGTCCATCAGCGCAACCGCCTTAGCTGTCTCCTCCAGGCGCTTTTTCTGATCCTCGCTAACGAATCCTGGTGCATTGTAGTCCGAAATTTTACCCGGGCATTTACCGCCTCCAACGCGCATCTTGTCTTGGATATAGCGAGTGGCATTAGCCACAGCGCGGCCTTCTTGATGGCACTTGTTCAAGATATAGCGGATCTCCGGGCCTGAGCGCTCGTAACCACGAGTCGAGGCGGCAGTCGAGGCGGCGTCCCAGAAGTCTGGAAGACATTAGCATGTGATTTACATACAAATCTTTTGACTTACTTCGGGCGGAAGTGATCGCGACTTCTTGGGCCACGAGGTTGCTGACAATATCGCAGAGTGCGACCTTCTCGAGCTCGCTCGCCAGGTCGAGGGGGTGTTGATGTTGACGTGGATATAGATGTTGATATCTGGAGTCACAGGTTCTATTTAAAGGGTTAGCAGCGCGATGATGCAAGATTTGCATGTGACAGAATTCGCATGTGAGATGGCTCGTGCGGCAGCAAACGGTGCAGATTCCGTGTTCCTAAGGCAGACAATTCTCGCCGATAATGCCATTTACTCGCAGGAGAGGCCGTGGCGCTCGCTTCCGTGTGAAGCTGAGCAAGTGGACAACGGGAGGTAGTGCCCCAATGTCTTATGATCGAACACTTATCAGAGCTCTGCGGGTCGCGTGCGAAGTTAGGTGATCGCCCTAGCCGGACAAAGAAGTCTTATTTCCGCTCAAAAGTCAATAGCTAGCGGGTAGGACCAGGACCGCATCAGTAGGATGACAGTAGCTGGAAGAAGATTTCTGGACTGGGTGGTGTTCCTCATGCGCCCACTCACATAGCGCCGCTCAAGCGACGCGCATCTGTTAAAAAGCCATTCAATGCGACACAGTATGACCTCCAAGCTAAGCAGAACGCTCCGTGAGCATCTGTTTGCCCACTTCCAAACCACTCTCAGCTTAACAATGTTCCTCGACGAGGCGATCTGGATGCCGCGCGCAACGAGACCTGCATTCAATGTGGGGGCAAGAGCGGCTTACTCGTGGCACTGCTTCTGCTCATGGTCCTAAAGGATGGTCGCTACATCAGAAGCCAGCGGGGATTCAGGGCGTCGAGGTTCGTCTTGAAACCCTGGATCAGGACGTTCGGGATTTCCCCAGTGGATGCGTTCCTCGCGTTGTTGAGTTCCGCTTGGATGTAGGGCAGGGCGTCCGTCCAGTTGGCGTCCGGGTAGTTAGAGGTGAAGAAACGAAGTGCGATACTGTGTATTCGATAGGATCTTGGAGCCGCAAGTGCTCTTTTGCGGCGATGTGCCCTTCAAAGCATCCTGCGTGTGTCGAATGGATCGGCTTCTCGTCTAATTGGATGATATTGCAGCGTGTGGCTCTTACGGCACCCGCAATATGGACGAAGTCTTGTGAAATTACCTATGGCCTTGTATTCGCATGCGATCGTCTCGATCCTAAGAAGAGCTCGTGAAGAGATCATCAGCCATGCTATTCGCGTCTCAAGAGGTCAGTCGCCAGTCGTTCATTTGCGGAAAGCTGCGAATATTTCTGTGCTTGATGTCCAGCACTGAATTTGGGGACGTGCTTACAGATTTTCGGGTTACCCTAGCAACCAAACCTCTCACCCATCATCTTGTCTTTCTCTTGCCCCGTAATTCTTTCTATCCAGCCCACAAGTCAGAAATGGCGCGCCGCAGTGCGCGCCTGTCGGCGGGCAACGGGGGAACACGGCCCCAAGAAGAGGCAACTCCAACATGCAAAACCTTTCGATTCCTCGACCTGCCAGCAGAGCTTCGCAACAGAATCTACTCCTACGCCTTTTCGGGAGACCCAACACCCAAATACAGCCTCGCCAAATTCCAGTACCCACCGATCGCTCTAGTATGCAAACAGATGCGCTCCGAGTCGCTGCCGATCCTCTTCTCGGAGTGTCACTTTATTCTCACCATCGGCAGCAACTGTCTCAACGCGCACACCTGGCGCAATGCTGGTAATCTCGGACTTCAACGCGGTACAAAGCGGTGCCTGCGAATTCTAGGCAGCGCTGCGGTCTTCCGACACGTCACGTTCAGGATTTTTGCCGAGACTCAAGCTCAGGGTGCTCGTGAATATCTCGATCTGAGTAGCCGGTGAGCAAATTGAAGCGCCTTTGACCCTGAACTTGCCCTCCGAGGAGTGACTAACATTGAGTCGCCGATGCAGGCTCCAGAAAGAGATTTGGGCAACACTGGACATCCAGACCCATCCCAAGCCAAATGTCACTACCTTGAACCAGCTCGGAGGGCATCCAAACTACTTCTGGTGGATCCGGCAATCTGCCATTCTGCCACAGATCAATCTGACGCTCCAAACGGCAGAAAGCCTAGTGAAGCAAATGTGTGAACGCGAGGAGTTCAAAGGTCTGAGACTCGGCGACCTGGACAAGATCGCGAAGTGCTTTCGCCTCAAGCTTGATGCAGCGACGAACGAGATGGTGTGTGGCTAGGCATGGTTCGCATCAACAGTCCAGCCAGAAATTGTGCAGGGTACGGCGTACACACGAATGGAGATTACTGGATGGCACTGGATGGGATGATTCGGGCAACGTTAAGCTAAGGACATCAGTGTAAAGGAAAAGATGGGCTCGAGGATGGAAGGTTGGAGCTTATTAAGCATGAGTGAAGTCGCGGAGAAGTCGCTTGGCATTGCCGACGCCACTTGACAGGGATGCGCGAAGGGCTAACTTAGCCGGAAAAAAGTTCGATAGGAGACACGACCATCTTCCTCCACTCCCACAACCATCACTTCTCGCGTTTTTTTCATCGCCGTTGTATTAGTATTTGCTGGAGTGTCGCACAGTCAACTCCACCTGATTGACATTGCTCCGGGAGACACGTTGTACAGCAAAACAAGATGCGCAGGGCTTTCCAGAGGTGCTCAGCACTTCAGAAGTTATCATCAACTCTTCCAAGCAGCGCAGCGCAGCAATGCTTCCGACGAATTGACGCCACGCGCTTCGCCGTCTCGAGATCAGCGCCAGCGATACGCAGCTTGCACCAATCCGCCATCCGCCGCCAAGAATACACCGACACCGACTCCGACTCCACCACGCCGCTCACCAAGTTCGCCGACCTAGGATCGAGCGGCGTTCTTCACGACAATGTCGTGCGCACACTCACCAGAGACATGGGTCTGGATACCATGACTGAAGTTCAGGCTAAGACTATCAACGAGGCCTTGAAGGGTCAGGACGTGATCGCGCAGGCGAAGACGGGAACTGGCAAGACGTTGGCTTTCCTGCTTCCCATCCTTCAGCGCATCATTGAAGTCGACCCACAGCTTGCCAATGGCTCAGGCTACGGACGCCGCGGACCACGAACGACCGCTGACGACATTCGCGCACTCGTCATTTCGCCAACGAGAGAACTGGCCGAGCAGATCGCAGCTGAGGCAAAGAAGCTGACCAGGAACACGGGAGTCATCGTTCAGACAGCTGTCGGAGGAACACAGAAGAGCGCTGGTCTGCGCGCGATTCAGCGCGATGGCTGCCACGTCTTGATCGCCACTCCAGGACGTCTGAAGGATCTGTTGACCGACCCATACTCTAGGGTCGAGGCGCCAGATCTCTCAGCGCTCGTGTTCGACGAGGCCGATAGACTGCTCGATCAAGGTTTCTGGCCAGACATCCAGGAGATCATGCGTCTTCTACCCACTCGTGCAGAAAAGGATCGCCAAACACTCATGTTCTCCGCCACCGTACCGCGGGAAGTTGTCAGCATTGTGCGCCAGACGTTGAAGCCTGGTTTCAACTTCGTCAAGTGCGTAAGAGATGACGAAGAGCCAACACATGCACGAATCCCACAAAGGTCTGTCCTGTTGCAAGGTCTCGAGAATTGCGTGCCATCGCTCGTTGAGCTTTGCCAGCGCGCCATCGATGATTCCAAGACAACCGGCAAGCCATTCAAGGCGATTGTGTACTTCAACAGCACTGCTGAAGTTACCCTGGCCGCTTCTGCTCTTTTGTCTCTGCAAGGAGCACAGCAGCAAGACTCGTTCGGTGGTTACGGTGCTCACCCATGGCATCCCACTAAAATCTTGGAGATTCATGCCAAGCTTAGTCAGAGTGGCAGAACGAGAGCGTCAGATGAGTTCCGCAGGGCTACTTCCGCAATTCTCCTCTCCTCCGATGTCACAGCACGTGGCATGGACTTCCCGAATGTCACCCACGTCATTCAAGTCGGTCTTCCGACAAGTCGTGAGCAGTACATTCACCGCATCGGACGTACTGGCCGTGCTGGCAAGGAGGGTGAGGGCTGGATCTTCCTTAACCCCATCGAGGCCGGCGAGGCCCGCGACCGTCTGCGAGACCTTCCACTCACGAAGGACGACACCCTCCTCATACCGAAGATGGACCTGACTCAAGCCTCTGACGTCCCTGCCAGCGCGGGCAGAGTTCTCGCTATGTATCAGAAGGCAATCAAGAATGTGCCGACAGGAGAGAAGGCAAAGGTCTACCTGGCTCAGCTGGGCGTCTATAACTGGTTCTCGCGCAAGCAGCAAGTCGTAGACTTGATGAACCGTTTGTCCCGATACGGCTGGGGGCTTTCGGAACCACCACGAGTACCATTCCAGCTTGCTCAGAAACTTCGTCTGACATCAATTCAAGGACTCAATATTGGAGATACGGAATATAACCGACCACGTACAGGTGGCCAGTCGGATCGGTCATTCGGAGGTAGATCCCAAGGGGACAGAGAGCAAGGAGGCAGATATGGAGGACGAGATCGATTCGGTGAATATGGAGCTGGCAGAAGATCTGGCTACGATCGCCAGCAGCGGGAGCCTCGCGAACAGCGTCGGTACAACGATGCACACTCGTACTAAGCCCAGAGAGGAAGACGAGCTAGGAGTGCGTTCTCAACGAGCTTGTACCTTTGATGCATGGCAGCGGCGTTTGGCGAAAATTGAATGAGGCATGCTGCTCCATCATGGCTAGAGCAAGCTCTCGGTTGCAGGATACAGTGTAAAAGTAAATGTGCCATTGTAGAATGATACCAATAGCAAAGAACTCTCCCATCTGCTGGTTTTCCTTCTCAACACATCCAATTCACTTGGATCGTCGAAGATGTTTCTGCCTCTGCCTCTCCCTCAGTATCTAAAACTCGACTTCGGCTTGGAGCTTGAAGCCCTTGTCGACGTCGATGATCAATGTCCTCACAAGTCTGGACATCACCCATACAGCTTGGGAGGACTGTGCAATTCCGATTAAGTCGCAGTCTTGCTTTTTCTCGATGCTCACTGACTCAGCCACTCTGTTCCTCTGCCTAATCGCTGAGTCCTATCGGGCAGTTCGAACAGAAACCTCGTTTCCCCAAGCCGCGAACTGGAAGAGGCCATTTCTATCAGAAAGCAAAAGGTCTGCTATGGCTTTCAGTCTGAGCGATACGTACGTAGGAAGCTCTTCGTACAAGGGCGGGATGGACGCGGATTGGAGTTTCAGGATCGTTGATTAGTAGCTTCTTATCTGCGAAAATATCGATGGCGAGGACGAGACGAGACCGGCAAGGAAGGATGTCATGGTCCTACCGAAGAAGATTCGAAAAGTTTTGCTAGCACAGTAGTTATCAATACCTGGGCTATTCTAGGATTAGAATAAGCGTTGAACACTTTGAAAGTGCGGGTTGATACACATATAACAGCAATCATTTACATATATCAAAAGAAGTATACTCAAACGGCGGCACCAAGCCTTTTTACCAAAAACCTTTATCCTCATCCTCATCCTCACTCAACAACCATATCCAACCAAAAGGGGGTATCCGCCATACATCACACACCATACCACATATCTCATTCATCGCTATCCCGAATTGAAAAACCTCGTCTTCCAAGTACTCAACTTCGCCGTAGCCGAACTCCTCCTCCTCTCCATCGTCGCAGTAAAACTCGACTCGGTCCTAGAAACCACACTAATCCCATCACTCCCATCCTTCTCCTTCTCCTTCTCCTTCTCCCCATCAAACCGACTCACACACCTCTCACTCTCATCTTTCCTCCGACTCCTCACCCCAAAAACTCCACTCCCACTCCCACTCCCACCCCCAAACCCCTCCTGCGGACTATCCCTCCTCCTCCTCCTCGTCCTCCCCCCACTCCCACTCCCACAACTCTCATCATCAAAACCCGGCCACTCCCTCCCCCCACAACACAAAACCTCCACACCCCCCTCCCCCACCAAAATCTCCAAAATCCGATCCCTGACCTCAAGAGCCGTCGGCCGTAGCGTAGAATTCTGCGACATCATCACCCTCACCAATCTCAAAAGATCGGGGACGCAGCGATAGATTTGTTCGCCGGGATGCTTGAGACTTTCGTCTTCGAGCATGAGGATCCAGGCCGAGAGTTTTTCCGGGTCGGAGGAGTGGAAGGATGTATCGGTGCGGGAGCGATGGGATTTTTTGGTTGTGGAGTCGCTGCTGGTGGCGGTGGTGCTGGAGCGTGAGGAGCGGAATTTTATGAAGTCGGTGATTTTGCCTTTGAGCATGAAGGTTAAAATGTCGAGGTATAGGCAGGCGAGGGACCAGATGTCGCTCATTTCGGGGCTGGAGGTGGGGAGGTCGCGGAGGGTGTCCGGGTCGAGGATTGTGGGGCGGGAGGAGGGCATGAGTAGGGGTTGGGAGGTTGGGGATGGGATGTGGCGGGAGAAGTTTCGCGTTGAGCGGGGAGAGTGAGGGACGTCGATGGAGGGGGAGGAGGGTGTCTGGAGGGTGGTGAGGCTGTTTGATCGGCCTGATTCGTTTGATGAAGCGGTGGGTATTATCGGACTTCCGATCGTTTGACCGCATATACTGTTGCTGCGAGTGCTGCCGCCACTTGAGGAGCCGCTCGTGGAGTTGCTGTTGATGGTCGAGACGGAAATGGCGCTCATTTTTCGGAGCTTGCTGAAGGCGTTCATGCTGCTGATGGGCGGTGGTGATGATTTCAGCGTGACCGGTCGCTTGGAAATATGCGATTCTGGTGCGGCGTAGTCGTAGGCTTCGGTCTTGGGAGACTTTTTGCCTCGTTGGAGAGTGCTGATCGATCCCACGTCTGCGAACGCAATCTTGTTCTCCTTGGTGATCCATACATTCGATGGTCGTATCTGTGTATGTGCTACGCCTCGATGATGTAGTGATGCTACTGCATCGGCCAGACAATGCATCCATTCGCACAGTAGTATCGGCCTCTCTCTCGCCGACACTCTAAGAAATTGTGTGGGTGTGCGATGTTCGATGAATGTGCCCAAGGTGTGTTCGGCAACAAAATCAGAGACGACGAATCCAGCTTGGTCGCTGGTATATGATGCCCAACAATTCGCCACGTGCTCATGTGATAATGCTCGGGCTTTTCGAATGTCACGCAAGTACTTGTCGTAATGCGACTCGCCAGTTTCGGCGTCCTTCAAGATGAACTTCCTGCGCATGAAGACCTCTTCCGGCCGATTAGGGAAATGCACGCGATCGTAAGGCTGCAAACAGACAGCCGGTGGCAGGGTATTGACATGCTCCATGGGTATGTGTTCCTTCTGTCCATAGTCTATGTGCGAACCTTCCTTGAGTTCTCGCAGTAAGTATACAAATTGCATGTCGTAAAACTTCTTGTTCAGTGCTTCGTCGTTCTCATAAGACAATTCCAGGCTGCGGACGTTCTCGAGCGGGATAGGCAAATCGTCGTCGTCCCAAGAGTCGTCAATGCATCCGAAAATCTGGTCAGGCACGCCAATTTCGGTCAAGATGAGGAAGAATCGCTTCGCTCGGTCCAGAATCCATTCCATATAAGTATCATCTGTGAGACCTTCCCCAAACGCTAAAGGCTTGTCAAGAAACTCTCGCTCCTCGCCTCGCAGCTTGGAGACGACGAAAGCTCGTGTCACCTTGGCTTCAATCCTGGCATCTGTCCACCAGAGCTGTTTCAGAGCCGCGTGAGGCGTTACGAGTGAGTGGCCTCCGTAGCCATAGATGTAGGCATTCAAAGCAATCGTAGCCGCAGTCGGCGCGACTTGCGCAAAGTTTCGCGAGGCCATGGCAGTGAGTCGAAGTCGCAGAAAGCCAAGGATCCACTGTCGTCGTTACAGAATTATGTTTATGCTTATGCTAATGCTCGTGCTCGTGCTCTTTGTCTTAGCGAAAGAGTGATGTGATGCTCAAAGGCTGCATGGTGATCATCTGGCCAAGGAGAGATTACATGGTGTGGGTGTCTTTGTTCTGCTTTGTGTGCTCGATTGCCATGTCAGCGGATCAAAGGGCAGGTCGAAAGGTGAAACACAGGATTACGCAGATGATAAAGCAATGCAAGAGATAGACGCAAGAGGACGCAAGAAGGGAGGGGAGAGGAGCGAGCAGGAGAATGAGAGAGGTAACAGATCCTATCACGACCGAGTTACGGTGTACAGTGTACACGCGAGCGCATCGCACCTGAGCGCAGCCATGCAACGCCCAGGATTGCCGATACAGCACCAGTGCGCTTCTCAGGACACGGGTGCAGAAATAAATGTATTGGTGCAGCGTCACACCTCGGAATCCAGTGTCGAGCCCACAATTCTCAGGCGCTGCGCTCTGTGACACGCTCGGCACCCGCAGCAGCAGATCGACCCATGCCATGCCATGGCCCGGCACGGTCAAAGTACCGTACAGTACAGTAGTCCAGAGACTCGATCCAGGGTGTGGCGCGGTGTAACTCTGGGCGTTGATTTGGCAGGAGGCGGCGGCTTGAAGATGCATATGGAGGCCCACTAGCCGGCCGCGTCCGCGCATAGCATGTGAAGAACGGGCTCAATGCCTGGCGAGCACGCGAGCTGAAGACGACGTCGATGCCCTGCCCTTTCATTCGGCAGCGGCCGTGGCATTAATATTTCGCGCCGTGAAAGACGAGGGCCATACTGGAGCCACTGCGCAAGTCTCGGGCAATGCGTGGACTGAGGTTGTGAATGGGGAAGATATAACTTAGGCGCCGACAACAGCACGTCCGAGATGCGCGAGAAGCGGTTGATTTGAATCATTGGATGCGACCGGAGACGCTTGCTTGCATGCCATACTATAGTACGTACAGTCTCCATCACGCAGCCTCCACAGTATGCTGGATTGACATGCGTCTCGACGGTCCGGGTGAACAATATTCCAATGTATCGCAATTTCCAGCCTCTTGACATGTTCCTGGCCTGGCCTGTAGACGCAACGCCGAAGCCATCGGGAGGAGATTTTCGCGCCATGCTTAGCTTAGCATCCGGTGTGCAGGAGGCGGAGGCGACATGATGCGCGTGTTGCTGGCCTGGTCGCACACGTGCAGGCGGTGTGTAGTGCAACGTAACCAACTTTTTCGACGAGGAGAAGCCGAAGCCAACACGCTGCTTCGAGAACGAGCGTACAGTTAGCATTGCAATACATCAGAAAATAAAAAGCACAGATGCACCGACAACGCAAAATGAAATGACCCTTCACCTCGTGCACGGTGCACCCGATCGATATTCGATAATAGCCCTACCCTGGACGGAAAAAGTCCAACGCAGTAGTGATGGGGTCCACCAACCTGTGGATGGTGTACACGCTCTGTAATACACTATGTATACGACCCTTTCAGGCGAGCTCGTTGTGTATACACAAGGCGGAGTTATCGGATACGCTGATATCCCGCCTACAACCGCTACAACCCGCCAAGCTGCTTAATATTGCTCGGATATCCTAGTATTCGGGCATACCCGATGTGTATCCATGGGTGTACACCAGTATAATATACGATGTACACAACCTCCATTTCTCAGGGGCTGTAAACCCACAACACTACAACGCAGAGCCTCATCACAGGCATCATCCCGGCACGAGATCTGACAACCGTTGAGATTGGATGCACTGCCTGCACACTGTGGAGATGGGCGAGAAGGAAAAGTCTGGTCCAGACGAAAGATGACACTACTACAAGTACCCACAGAAGCCGTCTGCCACGCGAAGATCGGCGACAGGAAGCAGTACATATATACCGAATGTTTCTTTTTCTATGCTGGAAGAAGGAAGAAAAGACCCCCAAAACAATCCCATTCCTTCCTCCCTTCCTTGCCCCTTCAATCGCCAGCATCCATGCAACGTACATATTCAAAAATTCAGTCAGCCTACTCCATTATTCTAGCCCAGACGTTCAGAATCTCGTCAGACCCAAAACACAAGGAGAAGCACGACGCCCGCTTGCTAAGATAAAACCGCCACAAACAAAGCACCACACGGTGCGGAGTAGCTATGCAAGACCTTTCGTGAAAGGCGACAGAAAGAAGAGAATGAGAAATCGTAAGCTGTCGCTGCTGCAATAGGATCGTAACGTCGTGACGTGGATGGAGTAATGGATGGAGGAGTGAAAAAAAGAAGGTGACAAGAAGGAGGTAGTGTGGTGTAGTGTGGTGTATGTGCCAAGCTTTGAAAGCAGCTAACACGGCGTTCGTGAGTATTCGTGTTGGCGTTGCGGAGGTGGAAGTGAGGGACGCCGTTGTAGCTCACACGTGCGCAACTCCACACGGCGTTCGCGTTCGCGTTCGGCGCTGTGCTGTTCTCACTCAACGCCACGCCCACGTAGCAGTGGCTTCTCTCTCGTGGAGCGAACTACTAGAACACTGCCGCAAGCCCACTTTTGCTGTGTCGTTTACTGAACCTCTTTCTGCCCTTTAAACTTTCCTCGTCGGTGTTTTTGCGCAACGTGTGCCGCAACGCGTATCTCTCGTTCACACTTGGTCCACTCAGAGGCATGGCTGCGTCGCCACCCAGAGAATCTGCCGGGCTTGATAGAGTAGACGCATTGAAGTCGTTGAGCATACTTTCGCCAGAATATGAGTTGGTCATGGATGTTGCAATCGCCACTTCTCGTGCTTGCTCCACAGCATCCATCCACTCCTGCGTTGAGAATTTGCTGCCCGCCGGATCTGCTGTGGTTGCGCGTGGATCTTCAAAGGTGTAGTGTTTGTCTCGCTGTGGAACGGAGTGCAATTAGCATGAGACACGTCAGCGTGTTGGTGGTGGCAGTGTAGACTTACAGTATCGATCGTCCAGTATGTAAGTCCTTTGGAATCGACGCAGCTCTTGCATGTCGATCCGTGCGCAGCGAGATTGATCTCCATTTTCGACTTCTTCTCATTTCCACCTGCCGCGGCAACCACTAGTCTTGCACTCGACGTTATCAACACCAGCCTTTCTCGCTTCTTCGTCGTGTTGCTGCTGAAGAAGCGTGAGAATTTCGGCTTCTCTGGCGTCTGCGCATCTCCATTCTTGGAATTTGGACTACTCGATTGTGGTGCTGCCGTGACTATCAAGTTTCCGAGCTTGAGGATTCTTTCGTTGTTATGTGTCAGTACAGGTGACCATTCGATGTCCAACTGGCTTGGTGGTGGCAGCTCCGTCACGTTTTGGAGCTGCGGTCTTCGCGCTGGCGCTTGCTGTTGCACTGCTTGCTGCCCTTGCAACGCAGCGGCGGCGGCCATGTTCGCCATATTGCTGCCGTTGCCATGATTCTTGCTGACCCCATTCAGCTTTATCGGCTCCGCAGGGGGAGGCACATAAGGTTTTAGTCTTGGCGCCTTTTGCCGCCAAAGACTCTTTCCCCATTGCACCCCATCAAAGAATTGGTGGTTCTTGATGTGCTCGATGGGTAATCGACTCGCTGGATCCAGTACCAGCAGTCTCTCTACGAGGTCCCTGGCGACTTCTGGAAAGCCATCTGGAAAGGTGTAGTCCAGTGCCAGGATTTTTTGAAAGGTGAGGTACTCATTGGCTGCCTTGAATGGAGGTCGCCCAGCCAGCAACTGGTATAGAATACAGCCAAAGGCCCAAAGATCAGAAGCTTTGCATGCGTTCTTGTCGCGAAGTAGCTCCGGACTGACATATTCTGCAGTACCAACAAAGGACACTGCGCGATCTGTCTCGGCTCCATCTGTCGGATTGCCGGAAGAATGGCCGGGTTCGTTGGAGCCATTAGCCTTGGGGTCCGGTAATATTTTCGCAGTGCCGAAGTCGGTAATCTTGACGTGCATGTCGCGGTCGAGCAGGACATTCTCGGGTTTCAAGTCGCGATGGATGACGCCTCGGCTGTGCATGTATGCTATACTATCCAAAATCTCGGCACCGTAGAACCTTGTGCACTCCACATCAAACGAACCCATCTTTTTCAACGCCCCCAAGAGCTCACCTCCTGATGCCAGATCCAAGACAAAGTATAGAGATCGTTCATCCTGGAATGTATAGTATAGTCGAACAATGCCAGGATGCTCAGTAAGTCTGTTCAGAGTGTCCCGCTCGATGTTGACATATTTAACCTTCTTCTCTTTGATAATGTGTCTCTTATCCAGAACTTTGATGGCGTGCTCCTTCAGAGTCTGCCTGTCGGTAGCGGCCAGCACAGTTGAATAAGAGCCTTCTCCTAGCGTTCGGCCAAAGTTGAAATCTTTGACGCCCTTCTTGATGACTCGCGTCCTCTCCTTGCCTGAACCATCCGTTTCTCTTCGTGTACTCACTGCAGCTCCTCGCTCGTCCCATTCTTCTCGTGATCGCGGGACTGATGCTGGGCTTGCATATGACTGTTCTGCGCCATCACGTCCTCCCGTCGACGTCGACCCTCCGGTCGGTGCGCGTCCCCGCTTCGAGTTCCCCCGTGGCGGTAGCGGGCCATTGCCTCCATTGAGAGGTGTGCCAGGCTGCCTGTATGATCTACTAGCTTCTCTTTGCGGAACTCCTCCTGCCATGATCTGTCTGGCAGAGCGCGATCCACTCCGCGCCAGTCCTGAGCTACTGCCGTCGGAAGAAGCCAGATCGTCCCGATAGCGATAGCCGCTCTGGGCCGACATGCCGGAGCTCTGACTAGAATTCTGCTGGGTGTACATGGCGCTCGTCGGCCGGCCTGCTAAGCTCTGCACTGTTGGATTGTGGTATTGCGGATTGTACTGCTGTGGATATTGCTGCGGGAATTGAGCGACTTGCTGGGCCTGATAAGTCAACTGCATACTTGCACGATGGCTCGGCCGCGAATCGTTCCACTCGTGCTGATCCTGCGTAGGCGACCGTCTGGGTGGGTATTGTGGTGGTGCGGGCGACAGGTCTTGTGAGTGGGTGGTGTACTCATCCGGGTTGAAGCCGAGCCCAGCTTCGCTCTGCTCGGCCTCATGAGAAAGCGGGGGCAGCAGATTGGCAGGCTGTATAGAGGGCGTGACTGTGCTCTCGGATGAATGTGAGGACGGCGGTGGAGGTCTGCTGTTCGGGGGAGGGGATGGAGCGGTGGATGAGGTGGGCGAGGTGACGGTGACGGTGTCGTCGGGGTTGGCTATGCGCAGTCCGCCCAGCGACTGGGACAGACTCAAGTCGCCGGCGCTCATGATGGAGGCAGTGGCTGAGGCAGCGCCTGCCGAGTATGCGTACAGTGTCGGTAGTAGCGAGCGACGGGCATTACATTAGTGGTATTGGGGCAGGAGGAGTCCTCGCTCCGGTGTGTACGGAGAGAGCTATTCGGAGCTGCGGTGGTGTGTGCTGGCCGTGCTGGATTTGGCTCTCAATCAGGGCTGTCTGTGTCTGCTATGCGTGTGCCTGCGCGGCCAGTGGTGGTAGTGGTAGCGTCGCTAAGCGTAGCGGATGGTAGCGTGAGGTCGACGTCTGTCAATGTCGCGGCCGGGAGAGCGTGGCCCTCGGCGTGTCTAGCGTTGGCCCAAGTCTGCTGTATGGTGTCACAGATGCAACGTCTTCCATTGACCAGAGACCAAAGCTCCCAAGTGCCTCTGCGCACGCTCACTCGCATACAAAAGTCGTCGCTCACACTGCTGATGAGGTTGCGTATGATGCGCTCCGTACCTTGGACCGAAAGCAAGCCTCAGGCCTTGGCAACGTCCTCCCGCCGCCCTTTTCGTCATCACCGGCGGGCAGGGCAGGGCAGCGAGCTATTTTTGCGAGAGTTCCTGGTCGATCTAACATGAAACGCCTCCTTACTGTTTACACTACACTTCACATCCACTTCTCTCCAACTCAATCCCTCTCATTATTCGCCGTCGGTTTCAGGCCGCCTGCTGGTAACCTCACACCAACATGGGAACTTCTACCAGTGCACGCCTGCCAGATGCGAACAGGACAGAGCCCATCGCCCACACGCCGAGGCTGTCAAATCCGCTCACGCCATAGCCTATACCATTCTTGTATCGTGTCAAAGAGCATGCGGCGAAGAACTGAGGAAGCCTGTGAGAGTGCTGAGTTCCGCTCTCTCAAGCAGATTGCCGACAGCGCACAATCGCTTAGGCGTCCTCGATGCCTACCTACGCCGATGCCTACGCCGACGCCTACGCCTACGCCTACTCCTCACTCAACCCAGCCAGCCAGACTGGCGTGCACTGGACTTGCACATTGTATAGCGCCACGCAGGTGTTCTTGCCATAGTTCACCATAGCAAATGGCAGGGGCAATTGGAGCTCGCTGACTGCCACTGGATCCAATGCATATCCATCTTCCTTCAACTGCCTCCTTGGCTTCCCGTTGCACGCCTTGTCCGTACTGTACATTGCCTCTGTTTCTGCACAAGCCATGCTTCACTGCCCTCCCTCTCGTGTACACCTCACTTCATCAGACATTACTGACTTCGACCGACGCTTCATTGCGAAACACGCTGGTCATTATGTACCGCTTAGGACAGCGGGCATGCGCCTGGGATCGGCTGTGGGACACTTGACGAAAGCCAGCGTCGTTCCAGCTCACCGCAATATTGGTCGAGCAAGAGCGGATTCTTGTTCATCGGAGGCTAAACTTTGCACCGACGAATTGAGCCCTACTTACTCCCCTCCGATCCCGACAATCGTAACTTCGGCAGCAAGTCCATTCGGCAACGCAACACACCAAAGAACGACCAGCTCTCCCCGTCACCTTTCTGCCCTTCACCCGGGAGGCTATAGAGATACCCAAGATTCATCGCCACGCGGACACCATCCGGACACTGCATCTCAATCCTCAAGAAGTCCAGTTTCGAGACCAGGACCGTCGCCCAGCTTACCACATCTTCCCCAGAGGATCACAAGTCTTCCAAGCGAGCATGAGGTCTCAATTGAGCCAAGCCTCCGACAGAAACCTGTTCGTCCGTCTTCTATCCCTCGACCCCGTCGCCATCCTTCGCAGCAAGCACCCATTACAGTATATGAGCAGACATCGGGATTGAACGAACTCGCGGAACGCCTACAGACTGCAAGAGCAGGCCCGCGTACCTGGGATGGTCGACGACTGCGCTCAATGAATAGCGATGAGCGTGAATGGGCTGCATCGGCCGGAACATCCAGTGCATCTTCTTTCGATCCTGGTGCTGCAGTCTTTGTGCCGCGAACACGATTTGGCTCGACGACGAGTGCGTCGGTTGAAGGACCTACTCGAATTGTTCCCGACAACAACCCCAATGAAAGCCATGATAGCCTGGATGCAGGGATCAATCTTCGGCTGAGGTCGCCTTTCGAACGGAACTCGCAGTATCACCGTCACCCGGATTCTCGTACATCTGTGGCAGGCCGGAACCCTTCTGTGTACGTGCCTCGGTCGGCCGCTACTCAAGCCCGTCGAAGAAGTCGTAACTATGAACAGAACAACACTGGACCTCCCTCCATGTCAATTTCAGACCGCCATATCAACACAAGAGCTCCGCCTACATCCTTCGCTGCTAGACGTGGCAGTGGATCACAACGTCCAGTAATTTTTCAACGTCGTGACAGCTCGAGACGATATCTGACTACCTTCGAGCGATCTCGTCGTGCTTCCGGTGCCACTTCTGGCGTTTCTGCTGCATCCAGTCTCAGTGCCTCGCTCCTAAACATCCCGAGAGATATCGACAGTGGCCGCCAGATGCCACGCTCCATATCACCCGCTTTGTCAACCAGTAGTCGCTCAACACCAAATTTACTCCGCTCGCCACCGCACCCAACGCCAGAAGTGCGTACTCGCAGCAACTCTCTGACATGGTCGCAAGCAGCGAATGGGGCAGAGACGATAACGAGATCCCCAAGAAATATTAGCCTGAATCATCATGATCCAATGCCACAGCCTGATCCTGATCTTCTTGACATCGCACCTGGATCAGCACTAGATCGCCTTCTGAATAATCAGCTTTCGCCACTTGATGAGCTCAGTCAGCAGCTCACACAACAGCTCAGTCGCATGAACAATGGTCGGCCGAGATCCGTTGGTCGATCATTTGAGCGCCCTCCAGGAACTCGCGCAAGGATCTCTTTGCTGAACGGGGATCCATTCCGGCAAGATTCCTCACCGGAGCGGCCTTCTTCATCCGATATACAAGATGGCTACCAGACCCATTACCCTCCACCACCAGCCAGCAAGCAACGAGACTCCATCTTGAGCACGCTGTCTACTGACGAAGATGCGGTAGCTCTGAGCCTCGCGCTCCCATCCCCAGCAATACCAACCCCCCATCAAACCGCAAGCTCACCAATCCCTCTCCCAAGCACACCAGCAACAGCTTTACGCGAGAGCGCCATATCACCAAGATCGCCACTCAGCATGTCCTCGCCCGTCCGAGGCTCAGAATGGATCTCAAGCGGCACTCCCCCAACACGACCAACAGCCACCCCTCGCATGACAGTCTACAACGATTCTCGCCCCGCAGAACTTCAGCCCCAGACACCAGCCGACATCGCAAGATCCGCGGCGCGTCATCGTGCTCGTGCTTCTCAGTATCCTGCAAGTTCGTCGTCGTCGTCGTCGTCGAGTCATCGGCACACTTATCCTTCTGCTACGCCTGATGTCACGCCTGCTCCGAGCACGGGTAGGAGGAGAGTTAGTATGGTTGCGAGGATTCAGGAGGGTGCGGATGAGAATGATGTTGAGGAAGAGGTTTTGGATATGCTTGAAGAGGATCGGAGGGTTTGGATGGGAAGGAGGGAAGGAGGGGCTTTGGATACGACGCCTCCTGCTGAGGGGCGGTTTGAGAGGTATTTGGAGTAGTTGGGCGTGGTACCGTAATGAGAAGGACTTGGATCGTGGTATTAATGTTCGCGAATCTGTAGGTCTTAATAGCAAAGTATGTCCAACTCCAAATTCTATCACCACAGTAACATTACTGTATCAGATCTATTTACTCAAACTTCATCACATTAACAACCTTCCCAATCCCCTCAATCTCAACCACAACCTCATCTCCATCCTTCAAATACTTCGGCTCAGGCTTCATCCCGATCCCCACACCCCCGGGCGTTCCCGTCATAATTATCGTCCCCGCAGCCAACGTCTGCCCCGTACTCAAAAAACTCACCAACTTCCTCACCCCAAAACACAAATCCCCCGTATCACTATCCTGTCTCAACTCCCCATTCACAAAAGTCTTCAACTTCAACCCACTCGCATCCCCGAGTACCTTGGTACTCACAATCGCCGGTCCCAGTGGCGCATAATGATCAAAAGATTTCGAAAACCCCCATTGCTGCATCATCCCCGCTTTATCTTTTTCCATCTGCCAGTCGCGGCATGAGACGTCGTTTCCTGATATGTACCCGGCGACGTAATCGAGGGCTTCGGATTCTGAGATGTTTTTCGCGGGTTTTCCGATGACGATGGTGAGTTCGCCTTCGTAGTCCAGGTGGGTTTGACCGAGTTTGGGGATTGGGATGGGGGAGCGGGTGTCGGTGACTGTTTGGGGGGATTTGAAGAAGAGGGTTGGGTTTTTGGGGAGGTCGAAGCCGGTTTCTAGGACTGGGAGGTTGGGGGTGTTAGCCTAAGTGTGGGTGGCGAAGTTTTTTGCTTTTTTTTTTCTCTCTCTCGGAATATGTATACGTACTGTGAGTTTTGTAGTTGAGGCCGATGCAACGCACGCTTGGGACGTCTTTTGGTGTGAGAGGGCCGAGAAGTTGTTTGACTTCGTCTTCTTGGCCTGTTGGCTTTGCTTCGATTGGAGTTGGGCCTTCGAGGATTTTGACCTTGAGGCCTCCTTTTTGAGCCAAGTCGTCGATGTCTGGCTTGTCTCCGCTGACTATGGGCTCGCCGTATCTGATCTGATTGTCTTTTGCAGAGACATATCTGATGAGTCTGTCCCAAGCTGTGATGGCCATGGCGCTATTTGTGATACTGAAAGGTCGGAGCTGGTGGTTTACTGCTTGCGTTCTTTGCACGGCTCTAAATACTGATGGCCTTGCGAAAGCGGTGGTCAACATATGCAGAGCTTACAAAGATTCCACAAGATAAGGTAGGGTCCAGGGCCCTAATGTATGTGTTCTTCGGACTTTGTGGACCGTGTGAAGTGTGTGGAGGCATTTCCGCGTCAGGAAACTGCCGCAGGTACACAGCAAACTTTACGGCGCGCATCTTTGTCAAGGGTTTGCCCCATTTTTCAACCAACTAGCCTCTTTTTCGGAAACAGCTCTCTCGAACTAGCTTCACCTTTTCATGTCCTCCCCTTGAACAACAATGGCTGATTATGGCTCTCGAGATGGACGACGGCTTGCCTACATTTGAGCCTATTGGCCCCGCTCCAGTCATCAGTGACGCCGAAAGACTTCATGCGCGGCAAATCCAACCTGACAACCCTGAGATGGCAAAAGCTGAAGCACTCTGCCTTGCTGGAGACGTAGCCTGGCTACTAAACCGAGCCCCAGCTAGCCGCCCGAGCCCCAGCATATCCCGATGCTAGCACCATTGTAGAATCGCCTTGTATAGAATTACGTACTCTTTCCACCTAATACAGGCTATTTCTATTCTTAGTTAGTATTGTTAACGGGCGCGCAGCGCGTATTAACGGGCGCGTAGCGTGTTACCTAGGAAAGAATTCTACCGTAGACCTAAAATTCGCATATCTTCCTCCTTTTATAGTAGATTGCCTAGTAACTATCGAAAATAGCTAAATCTCTATTATACGACGAGTTTCTCGATAATCTTATCGCCGGCGGCGATAACACAATAGTAGAAGACGCGGTAGTAGAAGACGCGGTAGTAGAAGACGCGGTAGACGCGGTAGTAGAAAGCGCTTAGTCGATAGAGATAGTAGTAGAAAGCGCGGAAGACGCGCAATCGACGGTAGTAGATATTAAGTCGTAGGAGGAGGTTTAATTAGTCTTAGAGACTCGTATTCGAGGTCGCTATCGCTATCGCTTACTATCGCTACCTCGCGAGCGTATATCGCTTCTAGACTATCGATCGGTGTCGCTACGCCCTTAGAAGCACCTATTCTTACTAAAGGAGCGTTCTCGTAGTCTAATACCGCGAGAGTCGTAGTTTCCGTCCTATCGAGCCCTTAAGTCCTATATCTACGCTTTCGGAAAAGCGACTAGGTACGAGTTTAAGTAGTATAAGCCGTAGAAGAACAAGAACGGTATCAAATACCGCTACCGCTTCGTATATAGTTGCTTCGGCGTACTAGATAAGCGTACGTAGAAATAGGACGAGGCAGCGATATAGCGAAAGTCGACCTCGAAGAAGATAGGGTATAGGTTCTATTTCTACGCTACTGCTATCGATCTAGCGCAACCTAAAGGCTAGTAGGTTATTCGCTATTCTATAGAAGAAGACTACTATTTCTATAACTACGAGAAAGACGATATTGTCGCCCTTGCTATATATAGAAGGCAATTAAGATCGGTCTAGTTCCTTAAGCAACTAGAGCGGCTTTAGCAAGCGCGAATACTAACCTCGAAGATTATAGCATACTTTCGAGGGCGTAGTGTGCTACTAAAGCCGAAGGACATTAATAATATTGCCTAGTCTCGCAATATTAAGGCACGTCGACAACTAAACTAGGCTAAACATATAATTAAGTTGCTAGATAAACACGCTATATTCTACGATATTATTAACAACCCGGAAAATAGAGCTATTCGGTATATAGTTGCCCTCTATCCTTGCTTAATAGAAGCCTTTAAGAAGACGCTATATACGCTTATATTAGATACGACATACTCTACTAATATCTATAACCTCGAGCTAATAGACATTGTTAGTGCTAGTCCTTTAAACGATACGATTAAATTAGGCGTTAGTCTTATCCGTCCGAAGCTAGACAAACTAGACTTCGTTACGCTCTTAAAGGCCGTCCGGAAGAGCCTTAAACAAGCCGATTGCGCTATACTATCGGTTATTAGTACTAATCGTAAAGAGGCCCTTATAGGTGCTATTAAGGAGGTGTTTCTAGAGTCTACTAATATTGTATATAACTAGCATCTATAACAAGACATACTAACTCGAGTCCGGAAGGAACGAGGCGAGTTTAGTTAAGTTAAGAGCGATAGTAGCTAGATAGACTTACCTTAAACTAACAAGTTTCTACAGCTCTTTACGTATACTATCTATAGTTAAACTGAACAGGAGTTTAATAAGAACGTAAAGAAGTTAGATAACGTGTATCCTATATTCAAGACCTACCTTTATAACAACTAGTAGCGTTATAAGGCTTATATTGTCGACTGCTAGACTAACGAGGTTCTTTACTTTAGTTGTAAGACAACCTCTCGAGTTGAATCTATATATAGACGTATTAAACAGTAGCTTAACTATAGCAGCCGCTACGACATCTTTACGCTCTTTAAGAGCCTATTACAATAGTAGCAAGAAGGTTACGACCGCCGTCGTATTGCTCTTACTAAGAACCTAAAGAGGTGCAATAAGGCACTAGCTAGACTATTCTAGGCTAGTGTTTCTCGTACAACAAGCGACTACTGCTTGCTCGAGGTAAAGGTACTATATTTACGAGCTAAGAACCTTCTACTTACTATAACCGACGACGACGGCAACGAGGTAAAGCACTTAGCGTTCTCGTATAGCTGTTTACGGTGCCGCTACAACGACTACCTTCGTAAGACCTATAGTTATCTATGTATCTACGACTTAATAAAGCTTATTAAGACAGGCGGCAATCGCGCTGTTCTATTACTAAGTTACTTCTATAAGCACTAGTTTATCGACTTCCGTAGAACGGTCCGTCTACGAGAGCTAGAGGTTATCTTTAGTAACCGCAAACCTCTTACTAGCGGAGCTACATTGTATATAACAAAGCGCGCTGCTATAGCACGTAAATTAGACGACCTAAATAAGACAGTAGTCGCTAAGCGACAGAAGACAGCAATAGCTAGAACGACTAAGTTTACACTCGAGCCTAGCGTCTTACTTACTTAGCTAAGAACGACCGTTAAGTACTATAAGTACGTTAAGAGCCAATACCGTACTTAATAATGCCCTTACTAGAAGGCTAATCGTACGTATAGCGCTGCTTGCTATCTAAGCGGCTTCGAGTGCTATAATCTACGAGTCTAGTCTTTACTTCTAATAGCACTAGAACCTCCTTCTAAGCTAGATTCACTCCGCCGAGAGATTAAAGACCTCCGAGCACGTAAGAACACTCGATTATAGGTAGAAGAACAACGTGCGAGATAGTAAGCAGACTATAGCCGCTAGTAGGCGGCATTGTATAAGCAACAATAACGATAGGCTACTTAGCAATAGCACTAGTAGTCGCTTATATAGCTAGTAGGAAGGCCGCTTTATTAACAGGTGCTATAGTAACAGCACTATTAGTTTACTTAGTAATAGCACTATTAGTTCACTTAGTAATAGCAGTATGCTAGTTAGCAACTAAGAGACTAGTATAAGCTAGCATATATAGCCTCGCGTAGTTACAAGGCCGTAGGTCGCAATCCGATTGGACCTAAGTAGATAGCAACTAATAACACCTTCAATTTTGCTATACTACTAATTTACTAACAAACTTTAGCTTTATAGCTAGCAGTAGTATTGCAGTAGCTAGCAGCAGTATTGTAGTAGTTGCCCGGCTAGCGGGGCCTATATCGACGCGATTATCCGCTTCTATACGCGATTATATATAGAACAGCCGATCTCGTAATCTCGGGATATACTAGGGCTCGGGCGGCTAGCTAGGGCTCGGTTTAGTAGCTAGGGAGACGTAGACGCCGCAATAGCCGGCGTTACTAATCTACTACAAACTAGCGCACAAAGTAGAAGTCCGAACGCGAAGATCTAGTACTACTATAAGCGTAGGAAAGCCTATTAGTCGGCCGGCGGGGAAGCCCTGCACCTCCGAAGAGGCTTAGCGAGCGCCTATACCGCTATTTTGCTAGTAATACTGCTATTCTAAGCTCTTGCTATATCGTAGAATCCTAATATAATCGTATCGACGATTTTCAGCGGTATAGACGACTTCTAAGTGTTGTTAGCGTAGTATAAAGTCCGCTCTAATTAACTATTCGCTATAGAAGCTTATTAAGTCCTACCTCGCTAATAGCTATACTCCTAAGCAGATAATTAATAAGACAAAGGTGCTAATAACCGTTAGATCGATATATCGTTATTAGCAGAAGTAGCGACTGTTTAGCGAGCTATATATAAAGAACTATAGCGTTATTAAAGGGCATCTATAGAAGCTTCTATACTAAAAGGAAGAATAGCTATATAACTATCTCTACGAGCGTCTAGATATATACTTTGTAGAGATAATCGCTACTCTTATAGACGAGTTTTATCGATTAAGACCTATAAAGGATAGAGGTAAGGGCATTAAGCTTATAGCGGGTATATTGCGGTCGGTGTTAAAGCGTTAGGGTTAGACTCGTACGAAGCTTTAGATTAAGGCAAAGGAACGTAACCTATTGCTAAGGGCTCTATAGGTAATTAGGTGCGCGAATTAGCCGGTAGATAGGCTTATCTTTATCGACGAGACGGCCTATAATTAGAAGACTAGTTAGCGGAAGTATAGATAGTCGCCTCGAGGCGTTACTTGTATAGATTATTAGTATACGAAGAGAGAAGTTAGATAGTTAGTCCTACCCGCCTTTACAATCTATAGATACCTGCCCTATACGTATATATACTAAGGATCGATTAATGCTAAGCGTTTCTACGCCTAGCTAGACGAAGAGGTGTTGCCGTACCTTCGAAATAGTCCGTCGATAATATTTGTAATAGATAATGCTAGTATCTACTATAGTAGGAGGGTTAAAGAAGCTATACTAGAAGCGGGTTACTATCTCGAGTTTCTTCCGCTATACTTACCGGATCTAAACCCTATCGAATAGACCTTTAATCTGCTTAAGAAAACTATAAAGAAGTATCGCTACTAGCTACCGCTATTTGTAGGCTTTTAGGATTACTTAGTATAGTGTTTATATAAGTATAGAGGTCGCAGGGCGCGTAGGTTGTTTAAACATGCTAGATATAACGTCGAGGGTCGAGATTTGCCGTACGATCCTAAAGCCTTCGAAATAACCGCTAGATCTGTATAAAACATGCTTAATATAGATACTAAAGAGTCCGTATAGTATACGTAGTATAAGGGCACGCCGCCGGCGTCGTTAGATAACCTAGATAATTATATATTAAGTAAGAAAGAGTTTAAAGAAGAACTCGAAGAATCGGATATAGATTTCGAGGACTTCGAGTAATATTACTAGTGCCGGCAAGCGCCGTAGGTAGAGATTTAGATAAATAGTTCGAACGCTAGTCTTGCCTAACGCTCTATTTGTTCTACAACTAACGTATTTAATTTAATATACTAAATTAGGGCTAAATAAGTATAATTATAGCAAGAATCTCCCGCTTATTACAAGTTTGTATATATTATAGTAATAAAAAGAATGTTGCCTAAAGAAAGCCTAAATTCGATCAGATCTCGCCCTCCTTAGCAGCGGCTCTATCCGCGGCGATAAGATTATCGTCCCTCTCTCTTAACTATTCTCGTATAGCTTCCTTCAATCTTAGTCGTATACTATATACTTCTTTAAGCTCGTAAGGCTAGTTAGATTAGTCTATATTCGCAATAGTATCGAGGCGCTATACTAATCCTACGAAAACCCTAATATAGGAGCGTAGAGAGTCCTAATCCGCGAAATCCGGCTAGAGGGTATACTAGTTAAAGAACTTAGTCGTAGCGGCTTTAGAGATTACTATACGCGGCACTTTAATAGGCGCCTTGTAACCTAAGCGATATCTAGTAAGAGCGCGAGTAGGAGTCTTCGACGGCGTACTAGGAATACGGCTAGATCTACTATGCTAAGTGTGTAGCATTCTACCTATAAATTCACCTATTATCTTTATTATACTACTGTTCTTGCCTAGCGAGTCCGACTTGCTAAGGCGGCGGCGTAGCTTCGCCTAATACTTCTTCTCGATCTTGCGAGTTATTAATATTATCTCTACCGAGACTAGAAGCCTATCTAGCTAAGAACCGTCCTTATTCTATATATAATCGCCCTTCGCAATAGCCTAGCTAAGTTTGATTATAGCAGCGTTATAGAACAGAAAGTAACCCTTAGCAACCTCCTTTATAGTCCGATCGCGCTAGTAAGCACCCTTACCGGCCTTATAGCTATTTAGATAGTCCTTCCGAGTATAGAGCTACTTATTAATTATCTTAAAGTCGTACCTACTAGACGACTTAAGTTTAGCAACAATTAGACTAACATTCCTTATTTAAACCGCATTAGGGTTCTTCTTTAACTTATTAACCTCCTTGCCCTTACCCTTACCGCTAGCTGCTACTAACTGCTCGGGCTTTATATAGAACTCTAGGTTAATAAAAGGACGCTTCTTTCTAGCCTTAACGAGATCAATCGCGTAGTTAAGAGCTTATCGATAAACGAAGTCGCTATCGATATCGTTACCTACTTAGTACTAGTCGCTAACAAACGCAGTCTTCGCTCCGTTAGCGCTAGCGCGAATAATAACTCGATAAGGTCGATTATAGCCGTTAAGCTAAGCAAACTTCGCCGCCTACGAGTGTCCGTCCTATAGCTCTTTATCTCTTATAGTAAGGAACTTTACTAGCTTCGTAGTAAGCGATCGATTAGTACCCTTCTTAGCTAGATTAAACACAGTCTACTGTCCTTCGTAATAGAAGACTTTAAGCTTATTAGTTAAGTTGAAAGAGCTAGGTTAAGTTATAGGTACGTTATCTACCGCTAGAGCGGACATACTACTAGTAGTAGCGTTACCCTCTAGTACTATATCGAAAGAGGAGGATATAGAGGGCTAAGCGGAGGAAGAAACAGCCGTTTTGTTAGAGACAACGTTACTATTATCCTCTACTAGCGGTGCTACGGTCTCCTTACTTAGTGCTACTACCGATAGAGCGATTAGTACGGTATTCTTCTTACCCTTCTTGCCGGCTCTAGTAGACCCACTCTTTAACTACTAACCCGTGTTAGCAATACGTCTTATTAACGGCGGACTAATAGCCTTCTTAAGAGTATAGATTACCTTCTTCTTTAGCGTAGAGTTATTTACCTTGTCGTCTAATCTCGCTAGAGGTACGCCGGCGGTCGATCGAGTTAACTTTAGACCTATCTTAGCGCTAGAATACTAGAAATCGATAAGAATACGCGTACGAGGCTCGAATACACGATTATCCTCTATTTAACAATAGTAGAGAGGAAGAAACACTCGATTCTACTAGTAAAACTATCCCTATAGTCCTCCGGCTACTCGATCGAGAGAGGAGGCGGCTCTACGGACCGTACTAACAGGCTTTCCTACGCTTATAGTAATGCTCTTAGATGCAGGGGTACTAGTGAACTTCGTAAACATTAAACCGGCTATAGAAAACAGATCGCAGCCAATCCTATCGCTCTTTCTATAGCATAGCTAGGACATTAACGAGCTAGAGTAGTAGTGTCTCCCTCCGTTGCTCTCGTAGGTTTAATCGTTAGCTATATCGATAATTATATGGTTAACCGAGCTTACAGGCACGCTGTAGCAACCGGGGCTGATGAAGCTCTCGTATCCTAGTTTTTAAGCCATAGTGCTAATCCGAACGCAAGATGTCAGATGGATATAACTCCTCTCTCTACTGCGGCAGGATGCGCACCTTTCCTAATAGTTAAACAGCTTCTCGCGCACTGCCCTCTACGCACTTCCTTCCAGGGAGAGCTGCTTCACTGGGCAGCTCGACGACAATCTGACGACGCCGATCAAGTCGTTAGGCTTATTCTCGAGCGCTGCCAGCCTGACATCAATGGTATAATGTACAAGGGCGATCCCTTCTCGTACGAACTACAGAAGGTTACTGGCTTCGGGACCGCCCTCCACGAGGTTGCAAAGATGGGACAACTGCGCGTTGCCGAGCTACTACTTCAGACAGGTACCGATATCTCTATCCGCGACCCTTGCGGAAAAACGGCGCTAGAGACGGCCAGACAGCATGGAGATCATGCAGTAATTGAGCTTCTTTGGCGGGCTGAAAAGAAGCTGGCATCAAATATGTAGTAACGTTATTTTCATTGGCCACCGACACACGCATTCTACGTATGAAGTGGATCGCGGGGAGGTGAAGTGGGGTGGGGTGTTGTCAGAACGGCAGTTGCGAAGGCACGCAGACAACAATGATATCCCGGGATGAAACGACGGATCGATCAATTAAAAAATTGGGCGGTACCTGCGTCAAATTATGTAAGAATTGATGTACAGCAATGATGAGAGCCGAGGAGGTCTGGCATGCCGGCACCGGAACGCAGCTGAATCAAACTTTCTACAGCGAATATAGATATCACCGAGCCGTCGCCCGAGAGTCGGCAAGGAGAATGCACGGCAGTTACGCGGTCAACATATCAAGATGCTGCTTCACATCAACAGCGTAAGACGTCCAATGACATGACCGTTGCCTACCTGGCATATACATTGACCAGATCTCCATTCACTCTCGACTCTGTCCATCCATATAATCCTTATATCTGCACCCCATGACAGGATTTCCTAACAAGGCTGCAGTGTGACGGCCAAATCCGCTGTGAGCTTGGTCAAGGATGCATCAGCGGCCTTTAGCTCAATCTGAGATGTAATCGCATAGCTGGGCTGCGTACCCGTGACGCGTCCAAAGTGCTTCATGGGGGCCGGGGCTTGATGTGACCTGTCAGCATGTCGAAAACGGTTTGGAATACCAAGCCGTGGTATGGGACGTCTCCCGGCTCAAGGACTCCCCCTCTCGTGCGTCTTCATACGCAGCCTTCGAAAGAGATACGCTTAGTAGTAGCCAGGGGCTCAAGTTCTGCCAATGTCCGACCACTTGTCGTGTCCGTTGCAATCTCCATTCAGACGAATTCACCATCATGACCCAGCCCCCGGATGCCCAGGTAGTGTATCCACATCCATTTTCCATCGCACCTTTGTTTCCACTAAGCTTCACCCAATCCTCCTGAGGTGATGTTACCGACACCAGAAGTAGTGATCTCAAGTTACACCATAGCTTCACCCTCCTCATAAAGATCAACATGAGTCTGCGCGCTGTGCATATTGTATAGTATTTCCAGCGCCTGTTCCTGCCAATCACGGAATGCATCTGCGAGGCCTTGCCAGCCCAGTTATCTGGGTATGTTGTCGAAAGACAGCCTTGAATGTGGTGGAGATATATGTGTTCAGCTCTTGCCCTCCTCAGGCATCTCGTTTTGCCAGTCATGCTTGTTGAACACGTCGATCGCGAGCTGAAATCGGCGTTCGAGTTCTGCGTATCCCTACGGAGTTCCCACTCTACCATCGCTGGCGCGTTTCTGGCAAGATTGCTGCTTTTAGATCAGTTCCGTTCCCTTACCATGCAGTAAGAGATGAAGGACTCCTACGATGCAGCAACGCAGATGTGGCGCGATACTTATCGCGACGCTTGTCGCAGTAGCATGATGGTGGTGATGCGAGCGAACGCGAGAGATCACGAGTCTTGGCGCAAGGTATATTACTTATATCGAGCCTCCCACTGTTCTACAGAATTCTCACTACAACTCTTCAACCCGGACTTTTGGAGCATGATACCTCTCGGAACGGTAGAGATACATGGAAGGTCCACGAATACACGAAACTCAGAATTTCCAAGTGGTAATGGTGAACCGAAAAGAGCACCATTTTGTTGAGGCCGATGCACCGTCCTCCATATGCTGCCAGAGGCCATTTCCACGTGATAGCCGATGGACGATAGCTATATTTCATCTCATCATGGTTGGTTGGCTGGCTTTGACTACTTGGACACGCTCGCGAGCCACTCTGGATCACGAGCGACGAAGTGGCAGTCAAAGAACTTTGGGTGTGCTTCCTGCGTGCGATCTGGTTAGCTCTTCATCCAGACTTGAGTTGCGACGAGACTCTGACTGACGATTTGCTCATATACATCTGAGAAATTGATGGGATGAAGGTCCGGCGTCCTGCCCATACCATCCACCGGCTCGCGAAAGCGGAAAGCGAGGATGAGACGCGTCAAAATGGCATAAGTCAGCCTGTTGGAGATGCCAACCGCCGGGCATATCCTTGATCCTGCTCCGAACGCGGAATGAGGCAGTGGACTATCGTCGTCAAGATATCTCTCCGGATTGAAATGCCAAGCATCGTCCCCGAATTGATCTGTATCGTGGCTGACGGCTTGCGAGTTCAGGATTACCGCCATCCCCTTTGGTATCTTGATACCTCTGTGTTCGATATCCTGGGAAGCTTGTCTAGGAATTGCGAAGGGTGCGATGATGAAGAAGCGCATTGTCTCCTTGTACAGGCTTACGAGCAGCGGCACCTTTTCTTCGCGGAAAGCACCATTCCAGGCCGCCGAACGATCACCAGAGTACGCAGTCAGAATTGCTTCGTACACTGCTTCTTGAGCACTCTGTCCTTCAGGCGAACTCAGCCATGCGACACCTTGGTAGACGCTTGAAGCTACTGTATCTGGAGCGGCTTAAAGAAGCGACAAACACGTACTATGGATCTCGTCGTCCGAGAGCTTGTCCTCGCCGAGGGAATTGACGATACAGTCAACGGTTTCTCCCGCCTCAACTCTCTTTTGAAAAGAGCCGTACGAGACCTCCGTGTGCTAAGCCCGCACCTTCTCGGCCATGATCGTCTCTGTAGTAGATTGCCGTATCCAGCGCAGTATCGGTACAAAGTGCCTGAAAGTCTTCGTCGAGTTACGAACAGCAGAGATTGCATTGATTGACCACAGAAACCTCGTCATAAAAGCATCGTTGACCTCACCAAATCTCGCGCCAGAGGTAAGAGACAGTGCCAGGTCGAATACCACATGGCGTAAGTGATAGTACACATCCGTTGGGATCTTTCCGGTTTGGCCCTTGTCGTACATATCTCGAATCAGAGCTACGCTGGTCGGTTCCACTAGATGGTAGTACTTTGGCCAATTCGGGATTCCCAAGGCTCGCATACCTGCCATGCGACACTTCCGAATCTGAGGAGTCAGAGAAGTGCCAGTGATGTCTACTCCCAGCTTTTCCACGAATTCCGGCTGATTAGGTCGATCACTAAGACTATCAGATTGGCCGACCCACATATCCTTCATAGCTGCCCAGGCTGTACACTCATCAGCGGGGCAACAGATTACCAGCGATGAGCTCACAATTCACCACAACCGTCCTCTGATACCCGAGCCGGCACTGGAAGATATCGGTATTAAGCTGTCTGGCCCATTCAGCATATACTGTTGAATCGTTCTTCTTGCGCCTCCCTCCCAATGCTGCCAAGTGACCGATAAATGGTAGTCCATTTGGCACTTCTGGGAGACCTTCGATTTTCGGGAAATTGGTGGCAAATGCCTCATACTTTTAGCAGAGTCAGCAAGATCGATGAGCAGCACAGAAAGAAACCCCATATTTGCTGACCAGCAGATAGATCAGAAGGAGCACCCCAGATACATATGCTCCTATTGCATATGCTGGATGCTCAAAACCGCTCAAAATGCTGGACATGTTGAGCTTCTGCTCTGCTCTGCTCGATGTGCAACGATCGCGGTATGTAGTCTCGGCTGGACGAGCTCAGGAGCACTGCTTATATACGTATGGATAGCTACTTGCGGTCTTGGTGCGGAGCTGTCTGTCTACCAGAGATCGACATGGACGTAGAGTTGTGTTCAAACGGACACCAGATCGCTTTGACCTCATCTCTAAATACCCGATCACCAAGCCATCGTGAGTGGTCGAATTTTGTCAGGATCTCGAAAAATCTTGGGGTCTCTGTGTCGCTACTGTGGTGCCTCCTGCAATGAAGTACTTCCCGAAAGTTACACCTTCTAGTGGAGTCACTCTGGGCAATGCAGCTGGTGCAGCACAGTAAAATCGCAAGGTCTCTTTGAAAACGGCGTTTCGAATAGGTAGATGCTCGAGTTGTTCCTCTGTGAAGGGTTCGTCTAGCGCAGCCACCTTCGGCTTCTTCAAGATCCTTTTGTACTGTGAATCCGGATTTCCCGCAAAAAAAAAACAAAAAAAAAGAAAGCTGCCGGCCTCCACTACCTATGGTCTCCCGATCCGTAAGTACCGGATCATGTTTCTCCGCTTCATCCAAAATTTTGGAGAAGATGTCTTTGCTTCGGAAGCGCCTTTGCTGTTCAGCACGGCAGTCTTGCCTCGCTCCAGGAGGTCTGGATTTCCTTTGAACATATCTTGGATGGCTGGAAGAGGGATCAGCCGTAGTATCTGATAGGGTATCGGGAAGTCGTATGTGGAGGGAGCAGAGCGTCTTCCATCATTTAAGACTCCGAATCTCGGTCTATGGATTCTGCGTGTGTTGCTTCGATTGTTGCGCCGATGACTGCTTGAACCGATGCAAAGCTTAGACGACGCGTTTTAACACGCGAAGTTGGAGATGGAGAAAGCAACAGCTGCCGTATTGAAGTGCATTTTATGTTTTTGAGTAAAGAAAAGCAGGTAATGTGGTACTTGGTAGCGCATTTCTTTTGCGGACTGAGCTCCGTGTGCTCAAGCCTGATTGGCGGGAGAAACGCATGTTCGGATGTGATCACTTGTGAATCATTTGCATTAGCATTGCTTATAGCTATTTCGATCCCTGATCTGTACATCGAAGTATTCCAACTCGCGCGTCTTGAGAACCGTTCCCTACTGCGAACAGCAAAAACTCCGAGGTGGTCTCAGCATATGTTCTTCGATGCTTTAAAAGAAACGCTTCACATGGAATGGAAACCACAGCAAGGGTATCCGTGAACTGGACATGTTGCGCCTTTATTTTCCTTCAAGGGATCATTAGCAAATTCCTGCAAATACCAAAGTGCCGATGACAATGACCTACAGAATCGCAAGTCCCGTCCCGTTTCCGTGGTATTATGGGGGCCAGTGATTGGATGCCCGCAGAAATGTCATCCAGACGTGTCGGCAGTGGAATGGCATTTGCGATCGCGGCCTTTACACCCGTTTGAGTCAGTCCGCGCATACGCAAAGGCAGTATGTAGTGCAAGCTGACTGACCAGAGCCAAAAGCAATAAGCTAGCGAGATTCTTCATCTTAGCTGAGAAAGGTAGACCAGTAGGCTCCTATGCTCTCAATATTCAACTGTGCTAAGGTGCGGAGGAGCGTAGTAGCGGCGTTTTAAGACTTGCTCAACTTTGAGTAGAACGTTGGACGAGGCTTAGAGTGAACGAGATGCTGCTATATGTATGGCACGTAAGTCCTTGCAGCAGGCTTAGTACGGGTGACACTCCTTGTTTGCTTGTCTCGGATGCATACGATGCCGTCGAGAGGCTGGAGTGGAGAACTTTATCGTCACTCATAACGGGAGGTAAGTGGTGTGACTCTTGTTGTACGGTAGCTGGGCTACCCGCATTCTTCTTCTCTGGAGATCGACGCCAACACAGCTGGGTCACGAAGCGATCCAAGCCCTTGCATCAATCCGAAGCTTGCCTTCGAACAAGCAAGCTCGCTCTCACAAACCCCATCTGCTGCATACGCGAGTCTGGCCACGCAGCTGCATACGCGAGTCTGGCCACGCATACGGTCCCGTCTTGAGGTAGTTTTGTTCTACGATGGCCCGCAAGCTCGAAGATTCAGATGCCTGGCGTACTGCGTCAAGATAGCAGGCATGTCAGCAACTCAAGCATATGCTTTAAGCTTAATACAGCCTGCACTTTCCTGGCTTTTTCTGTGTGCGCATCTCGTAGCCCAAGAGATTTATTTCGTTCGAAGAATTGCGGCCTGAACGTATTCACAAAAGCAAACACATGTTGTGCAATGCTTTCGAGGGACCAGTTTCGACACTCCATTTAAGGGCTGCAGAGTAGGGAGAAGGCTGTTTCGTTTACTAGCTCCGTTCGGAGTCCTTGGCGGGGTTGAACATTCAGGCTTTTCCCCAGGTCGAGGGTCAAGCAAGAGATGGCATCATGGCGATTGGTCGTGTAAGGCGGTGTTCGATAGCAGTGTGAAGCCTCGTATCCCGGACCAAATCACGACCTTATATTGACCAGTAGATGTTCAGAGTGCGCAGTCTTGACTCGGGCAAAGGCCTATACGGTGTAGTCTCGGAAGGTGTTGGAGTGCAGTTGGGTGTGCATATTCTGGAAGGGAGACAGTAGGACACATCAGCGGGATGCAGGACACTTTGGCTGTATATATGCTGCGATACTGAGCAGGTTTGCGCTGATTGTTCGCGCGTGATTGGCAGTCCGCGAGCTTAAGGGCGGTCCTATCGTGAATCGACTAGGTAGCCTGGTTAGGGAAGCTCTCCGCCTAAGCTCTAGCAGCAGTTGCATAGGGAAGAAGACGTGCTTGCTAGTCGGATGACGGTCTTCTTCGAAGGCTGTTGAGCATCTCGGGACTCATTATTGTGCTTCGTCGTGGCACAGTTCAGAACGTAACTAGAGGTGAGATTCTAGTCTAGAAAGGAGGTGGAGTTCTCCGCCAAGCCGGCGGAATTGCAATCCCGCTCCGACCTTTGCGCAGGCATTGTTCGTACTGTAGTCCTTCAGCCCACGGCATTAGCATACCATACCGTATGAACGCCCTCATATAGAGGACCGACAGCGTTAATGTTCGCTTTATATTACCATCGGAGGAACATGCGAATGAGCGGCCATCAATTCGAGCCCAGAAAGAGTAAGCAGAGAGGCGTGAATGAAGCAGTGAACACGTCGGAGGATCGCTGCATATGAAGCAATTCATTTGCTAAAGTCGTTGCTGATCGTCTTCGCTCGGCAATACCCAAGATCTTGGTCCATAATCCGTCGGACTCTTCCACGAAATGGCCGGCGTGCTCTATACCCAAGGCGGTCTTCTCAGGGCTGGTTGGAGACTGTTATGTCTGTGAGACACGGCCGAGACATAAATATGGTCTGGAGCAGTCTTCCACTTATCTTCGACGGCACTGTCAAGAGCAAGAAGTACGATCGATCCTGCTGCAATGACAGAGCACTTCTTGCGATAGGTGTTGACCGGTCTCTGCCTCAATCAGGGCTTCCTCTAAGAAAATCCACAACCTCCGCTGCTGCGAGAATTCACTCACAACCCGACGCGCCATGATTACTTGACAGGCTGGAAGAGCTTTCTAGAGCCTTTCATCTTGTTTGCTGGTTGTTTTACACCATCTAAGAATATGGTTCATTGTCCTGAGCACTGCCGATATCTTGAGATAAGTACATGACAACCCTTCCGTTCACAGCACCTTACTCCCTCCAAGTACTTCATGCAGTACCATCTAATCCCAGTCGGAAGAGGCTGTGTCATTAAGCTCGCCGACTTCCGCTGCCACGTTTTCGCCGCCACAGATTGCATAGACGATGTCGCGATTTTCATCCCGCTTGGCCACACCCACGTCTTCATCGGCAACGTTCGAGCCTCAATCAGAGCGGACAAAGCACACGAAATCATTCATCTGAAAAATCCACAGAACATGGGCGAGGAATTGGCGAAAGGGATGGCGAAGTTCAGAGATGATCCAGCTAACAGCATACCTGACCACGCAAAGTTCATATGCACAAAGGCGCAGGGCGCGGAGCTTAAAGAAGTTGTAAAGAAGAGGGTCACGCAAATCGTGGAAAGGGCGTATCCAGAAGGTCTCGGATGGCTGGAACGTCCTGAATCGCAGGAAGTCAAGCAGTATGCTGCCTGGGCCTGCTTTCACACCAATCGACTCTTCGACGAAAGTGAACGCATCACAACGGGCGGCTACATTGTGCAAGCATTATATGAACTCATGTACTGCGACTTACGAGATGCATCCCCAGCTTATGGATTCGTGGCCCAGCCGGGAAAAGAACCTTACTGGTTGGACAGGATCACCGAAGAGGGTGTTCCAACCCAATCTCTCGACGGCTTCGGCTTCAACGAGCCATATGCTGCACCAATGCTGCCGTCTGAGACCGAGCTTCACTTCATTTGGCATGAGGCTAAATCAGAATGGGTCACGCGATCGGAATACAGGCAAGAGCCGCAAGAGCCGCACCCTCCAGCAAGCAAGAAAGCCGTAAGGTTCTCAATACCCTCATCCTATTGTTAACCATGCTCATCTACTACGCATTCAATTGATCCCACTTCATAGCCAAAAGCACCTCCGCCTGCACCTCTTGCCCCTCAACCATCGCCGAGCGATCAAAAGACCTAATCTTCCCCCTCTCAAACCCAGCATAATACAAAACATCCCGTAAATTCTCAATCTTCCCTTCCGACTGATACTTCAATTTATCCTCCAACGCAACCTGAAACTTCCCCGCTCCCGCCTCCTTCGTCTCCTGCTTAATCGAAATCACAATCGCATAACCTTTCGGTTGCAGCGCATAAACAGTATGTTTCAGTCCTCCATACAGATACTTGGGATCTTCCGACGCAACTCCAAAGACGGCGTGTGTGTAGTGATCCATATCCAGATTTTCGGCGGCTCTGACCGAAGTATTGGGGATGTCTTGCACAGCTGCGGCATCGGGTTCGATTGGGGATGCTACGGTGATTTGGGGGCCGAAAGGGGTTCGGACGCTTTCTGTTGCGGTGTAGAGGGCTTGGGCGATTGAGGCGTCGGAGACGAGGATGTTGGAAGCTCCGTGGATGCTGAGGCGGTCGCCGAATTCTGAGAGGATTTGCGTGAGGATGTTTAGGGTTGCTGTTTGGGCCGACATGGTTTTTTCTTTTTTTTTTCGTCTTTTCGTCTTTGATTCAAGTTCTTAAGGTATGTGTAATTTTGATTCTCGGATTCTTTCTAGATTTCTTGGAGAACTTCGGTTAGTGGCGTTCGGATTCCTTGTGGCCGGCAATCTGGTGGGGATCAGGGCCAGGAATCTTGTGTGTAGTTCGCAGGGTAGTGTATAAGCCTGCGCAGTTTCGAGGGTTAGAAAGTTGCAATGCGTAGTTGTGAAGGACAGAAGTATGACGGTCGGTTCGACATCGACATAGAGACGGGTCCCGTTCGCCCGACCTTCGGATGACGTCTGAAGGTACCCTTCCAGAACCAGACTAGTGCACACTATATACCTCCCAGGCAAATTGGAACAGTGCAGAGAGACAAGATCATCTAGCCATCGAGCAGGTAGCAATGCACGCAAGAATAGAGCGGATGCATCTCGTAAGGTGTCCTGGGACGGTATTGAGAGTGAGAACGGCGGGCGTGCGTGGCATAGCCATATCTACAGGAAACACAATGCATGTGGGTATCGTATGCTATGAACGCTCACTTGCTCAACTCCTTTCTTGCTCCCGAGACTGCTTTGCTCGGCTGAGCCTTCCAGTCGTGGGACTTCTTATGCTATGAACGCTTACTTGCTCAACTCTTTCCTTGCTCCCGAGACTGCCTTACTCGGCTGAGCCTTCCACTCGTCGGACTTGACACGACGGTGGTCTTTTCCCACCGCCTCCTGCGCGGCAGCGGCTGTCTTCTCTTGCCGCCAAGGGCCATCCACGCAGTCGCATAGACAGCCTACAGTCGGACAGCCATCGCCTCCGCACGAGACGAACCACTCACGCAAGCAGGCTGCGTGGCCGCTATGACCACACAGAAGGCACGAAGTGAAGAGCTTCGAGGCCTCGTTCTCGTATGGACTACTGCCCATCCAGCATACTGGGCAGTTGTCCTGCTTCGATCGGCAACTCTGGCAGCGCAGTGGGCTCGATCCGCCGCTCATCGGCTTGCTGCATTGGCCACACATGAGATGGACGCCATTGTCCAGGAGGAAGTCTTCGTACACGGCGGGGTATGCTGGGTATGCGAGCTTACGCAGTAGAGCGGCCTCTTCGAAGAGCTGATGTCGTAGCAGTTGTTCGTGGTACGTTGAGAGAATGCTTTCCACTTGCAAAGGCTGTAGGCCTGCCTTCATTGGTTGCTCAAACGACTGCTGGATGAGGTTTGGTACTTCCTCGGGGTCCCAGCCTAAGCTGTTGACAAAGTAGTCGACGTAGGAAGACACTGTCTTGTGAATCTCCGGGACAGGCAGAGGATGAGTACGAGGCAGCAGTGGTCCTAAGAGCAATAGGAGAAGCGCGGCCATTTGTGGATAGACTTGATCGGTAGTGTAGAATTCAATCAGCTTTTTCAGCATTTCGATGAGTGTCCATGGTTTCGTGTCCTCAAGGTCAACCTCAGCAGCATCGATGACACTATCGGTCGGTGAAGCGGGTTCTTGAGAGAGCATGTTATCGATTACGCGTGTCGAGATATCGTGATCTAGCGCCTTTGGTGCAAAGCGAGGGCGTGTCGCCAGATCGATCCCTTCACTACCAGCAGGGTTGCTTGGTGGCAAAACGGGATCGTGGCCAGTAACATCATATGCGTCGTGCCGATATGGAAAATCTGTCTCCTCGGTGCTGCCGTTTCGAAGCTTTTGAAGATCTTCGTGGGAGGGCTCCATGCTCGTATTACCAGAGTTTTGCCTCGTGTTCACTGCACTGAGTATGCCAGAGCCGTTGAAGAACATGGTGTGTGGGGCAGCTCCTATCTCTTCACTCTCGTTGACCATTAACGCTGCATCTTCGACCGGAGGACGTGGGCTTCTCTGGCGTGTTGGATGTGCAGCGACCATTGGCAGCCCGCTGGCGCCTGCGCTTTCGAGTGAGCTTGGAAAAGAAGGGCCTCGAGAACCGGCAGAATCTTCTAGGAAGCGAAAGCTCTCGCCACTGCCATGATTCTCGAGCTTCGCCGGTGGGATCTTGACGCCTTTAACGTCCACTGGATCGAGATCGAGAAAGTTTTTGGACTGGTTGCTCCAGCGCTTCACCATCTCATTGCGTTCTGTTTCTTCTGCATAGGACTGGTTGCCTTGCATATCAGCGAGGGTGCTGATGGTAGGTCTGCGTGTCTGCTCTGATGGTTCAGATGAGTCTGGTCGAGGTGGTGATGCATGGGCCGATGCCAACGAGGGCGGAAGTGCCATGTGGTCGTCTTTGTCCAGCTCTGGCAGAAGCGGTTGGTGACGCAAAGTGTGGTTCTTGCCGTTTTCTGAGGGCCGAGCCAATGGCGTTGGTACATTCGAAGTACTCTCGGGCATTGCCAGCTGCTGTGTGATGGTGGACATTGGCCGCATGCTTGCTGGAGACTCTACGGGTGATTTCAAGTGTTGTGCTGCCAGCTTGGTCGCTAGATTCTCTATCGAAGCTGATGTCTTGCCGTCGACCACTGGTGACGAAGTCTCGGGCTTGCGCCGACGCGCCGTTCTCTCCTTCAGATGCTTCGTCAGACAAAAGCTGACGATCTTCCACGTCTGCGAGGCCTGCAAGAAGCCAATGGCTTCCAGATACCCAGCATTCTCCGAACAAGTCTCCTCGATTGCCTTGATGAAGTCTTCGCCGCTGTGGCCAACTGGAAGCTCTGGGTTGATTCGCTTGGCCACATAGGCTACATAGTTGCGGTTGTTGTGACTTGGCAGTTGCCCACGACAAGCCGTTTGCTGTGGTATGAACGACATCCGATTCACCAAGATGTCGTCGAGTTTGATGGTGGCAGAGTGGTTCTGGCTGCGAGCGGGAGTGCTGAGGATTGAGAATCTGCCGCTGCCGCTGCCGCTGCCGCTGGTTCTTGTCGGGCGCGGGATGGGCAGGGCGCTGAGAAAGGCCTCGTCGAGCGAGTCGTCGCCAAGACTTCGACTGAGGAAGGTTGTGTCTGGGCTTGTGCTGAGAGGAGAGCTGCGTTGTGGGTGGAGAGAAGAAAGGGGCTGTGGTTGTGGCTTCGGAACGCGGCGTTGCTTTCGCGTCTGAGCGACGAAAGTGAGCTCGCCCAGCGGAGATACGGCGAGTGCCTGCAAGTTGCATCTATCGATGACTTTGGAAGTGTGGTGGATATCGGTCTGGAGGAAGGTGCCTTCGCGCCCCACTGTCCACAGCAAATCTTGCGAGTGCCAGAGCAGGTCAGTGGGTGCGGAAGGGTAGGGCGACATCTCACGAAACGGAAGGAGCGGCCGGCGAAGATCCCATATGTGCAGCACGGGGTGCTCTCGATCATACGCAGCAACGACCTGCGTACACAGACCGGCGCCGTTGTCCTGAGGCATCAACGACTGGCACGAAGGCCTCCATCGGGCATTCATCACGGCATGCGGCGTCTTGATCTCCCACGCCGCCTTCCGAGGGCGGCTGGCTGAGACGTCGAATACGCGCATGGTCTTGTCACTGCCGGCACTGACGATGTGCTTGCCGTCTGGATGCCAGTCGACCGTGTTGCAGGCGCCCATGTGTGCTGGGATGCGGACTTTGGCCGCGGTCAGATTCCTCATGTCCCAGCGCTGGATCTCGCCGCCGTCGGTGGCGAACGCAAAGTCGAGTCCTTCCGTCGGCGACCACTTGACGTCCCGCACGCCCTCGCTCTGGCCCGAGTATTTGCGTTTGCTGGCGATCATGCTGGCTCGGCTCTGGACATGGCGCACATCGCGGATGTCCCAGAGACGGACAGTGCCATCCTGACTGCCGGACAGCAGCAGACTGCCTTGGTGAGGATTGAAGGTCACGTTGTGCACGTGGCGGAAATGCTCGTGCAGTTGAGCGGCCTGCAGTCCGGCATGCCCCAGATCGTACACGATGATTTTGCCACTCGACGTGGCGGCCGCGACAAAGTTGCCCGTGTCGCCTTTGGCCCATGCGACGTCGGCAATGTCGATGGAATAGATGTGTCGAGGCTGTCCGGCCGCGGTCGTCGGTGTACTTCGGATTGCCGTCCTCAGGTTGAAGTCCTCCGCGCACCGCCCGTCTTCGATTCGGATGGTCTTGAAGATCTCCTTCCCCGCAATGATCGCATGGCTTCCGCTCTCGTTGATGCTGATTGTGCGCAGCTCCAGCCCCGTCTTGTGACTTGTCGTCGCGTTCTGCGTCTGGCTCAACGATGCCGCACGCATGAACTGGCGGCCGCCGTGCGAGAAGCGGTCATTGTCTCGGGCCCCGTGAGGACTCGGCGCTCTCGAGGAATATCCCAGAAAGCGCGACGCCGCGTCCCTCGCGCGCTGCAGAGGCCTAGGCTGCGGAGCTGGTAACGGTGGAGCCTGCGGAGCTGCGAGAGGAGGCTGCCCTGTGTTGCGCCTGTGGTTTGCCGAACGATCCTGGCTCATGGTGGCAGCTTTGCACGAGACGAGACCACACCCGCTTCATGCCAGGTGCAGTCGAGGCAGGCCATCAAGTGCTTGCTTTCCTTGGCACTCGGCCGCCAGCGGCCCTGACCGATGAGCCCATACGCCCGACGGTGGAGGAAGCAGACGGCTCTCTCACGCCTTACTAGTAATCAGCAGTGGATTGCGCGAGGTTGAGGGATGCAAGAGAGAGGAATACCAAGGAGGGATCAGGTGATGGAGTTCCGATGGAATAAGGAATGTTGGAGGAGAAAAATATCTCACGCGTAGAGCAAGAAGCTGCAAACAAGCAAACATTACATATAAAATTTACTACCCTTCCGCACCATTTCATTCTATCGGAAATGATTTCGGGCTGTTGCTATCTCATGAGTAAGCAAGCAAAGCAAAGCAAGCGCTACTGTCTCTCGCGCTTCGCTTCGCACATCGCAAAAAGGGTATCTCTATGATCAAAGCAACTCAAGGGAATCTCAAAAACGCCTCGCCTCCCAAAAGAATCCGGAAGACCGATAAGCACGCTTCCATAGATTCGTGTCGACTTTCCTCCGTTTCGTTCCATTCACATACACACGATGATGTCGTCGAGCAGGTCTCTAATCCAGCTCAATGATTTCCATCGGTCTCGGCGGAGGCGCCATGCCAGCCGTAGCAGGTGGCACGCTGCGACTCGCACTTCCACGCATCTCTCGCTCCAGACTAGGAGATCGTACACCAGTTCTCTCTTCTGCCCTGGGTTTCCAGCTCCCATCCGCTTCTAGCACGATTGCTCTCGTGTCGGTGAGGTTGCGACTCTTGAGATCGGCGACGACCTTTGCCAAGAATTCGTCAAGGATGAGTGTTTGCGGACGCACATCGCCTCGACACAGTGGACATCGCCAGCAGTCCACCACGCTTGGCCAGCCTGGCTGCTCGCGTTTGCACATGCTAAGGAATATTTCCAGATCGAAAACATCTTTGTGCAAGCATTTCTGGCCACGAACAGGTGTGTCGACCAGTTTCGAGCTGGAGTATGGGTCAAAGACTTTGATGATCATCGAGCTGGATGTGACTGCGAAATCGTCATCTTCTCCATTGTCATACCCAGCGAGCGTCTTCTTCATTGCAGATATTGAATCCTCAGCGGATACGTGAATCAGGTTGTTCACGATGCTATCGTGGCTCGTGACAGCGATCGTTTCCACAGCTAGCGAGTAACGGGTTTTCCGCTTATCGTGCTTCACTCGGTCTACAAACACTTTGAGCTTGTTCTTGCCCTGTTTGAGGTACATTGTCAGATCTATAGGCAGGTAGCGGCCATGATGCAGCTTCCTTCTTGTGCCAAGAGGGACGTCGTTGAGCTCGAACGCGAACTCCTCGGGCCAGATGTTGTCAGCTATGGCCCAGGCGCTCTCGGAAGAATAGCCCGTAGATGGCAAAACTGCGCAGCGCAGGCGATAGAGGAGCATGCCTTCTTCAAGAATCCTGATTTTGGGTTCTCCGGGATTCTGTGGTGAAACTGTCTTTGCAAGGTTGGCAAAAGTGTCTGCTGAAATGTTGAAGTTGATGGTCTGCACAGGGACTTTCCGCTTAATCCTAGTTGGCCGCAATGCATAGCCGATCACATGGCGATACAGCCGTGGTGCGTCTTTAGGCAATTGGGCAGGACCCAACGTCGGACTGCGCAATGGAGCCTGATGCATGCCGGAGGCATTTGGGTTTGGATGTGTCGGCTGTGGTCGTGGGGTCTCCTGGATGCTGGGAAACAAACGCCTCGTGCCATTCTGAGAATGAGGTGCGCCCGGCGTGGCATGAAGGGGGCGCATACTTGGAGTCGAAAGCACTCTTCCATCTGATGATGCAAGATTCGACATGACCGCTTGATGTTGTTGCAGGAGCGGAGCTTGCGTTTGAGGCTGCATCGGAAAGGCTGACTGCACCTGCACTTGGGAAGGACTGCCAGGACTACCACGTCCATTTTGCTGCGCTTGCTGGTACCGCTGCTGAAGCATCTCATAGCTACAGTGCTGTCTTGGCTGAACAGGGCTTTGCGGTGGGAGATGCGCAGAAGACTGAAGCTGGCGGGCTGATTGCTGCATCTGCTGAATTTGTTGGATGTGCGCGAACCCGATCTTTGTAGGTGCCATGAAGAACTCTTCAACCTCTTTGGGAATTGGAAACGCGCGAACGGTTTGGCCGCGAGCTTTCGATTCCGCTAGAAGGGAATGCCAGATTTTGAACACACGGCTAAGCATCTCGTACGCTTCAAGCTTCTCCCCTGCATCGCGATAGTTACGTTTGTGGTAGTAGTAGTTTTGGTCCATGAGGTGAATTGACTCGAGAGTCTTACTACCGAGCGATTCCTCGACTCCCCAGAACTGCCGCGCAATGGCTCGGAAGCACGTGGTTTGCAGAACAACGCTTTTCAACTTCAAAATCTCGTCCATGTCTTGCACAAGAGGTGGCGCAGACCGTTGCACGGAGAGATCAACCAGTCCTTCCCAATGTTGAGGTAGCGTTATTAGGAACTCACTGACGGTCTTTGCTCTGCTCTCGAATACTTCTCTCGCACCATGTGGATCAGAGTATATATCCATAATCGGCTCAGGAAATTCAGAAAAGAATTTCACCAGTGTTTCGTTCACCCGCGTATTCTCGCATATCAGATTTCCGAGGCAGTCCCAGCTGGACTTATTTAGGGCCCTGATGGATTTTGGTAGTATGCTTGGCGATGCTGTTCGCAAACAGTAAATCTGGCTCAGAAGTTGATAGAACCAGTCATTTCTTTGGACTGCATCGCGTAGGAGAGTAAGTCGACCAAGGTCAGTCTGAGTCATCGCAGCGCGCAACTCAGTCTCTATGGCGCTTATTCGATCAAGAAGAACAGGTATCGGTATCCTCGATGCTTTTGATTCTCGTGGCTGAGGTGGTGTGGGCGCCTGCTGTTGCATGGCATGGTGAGAAGGAACAAATGAAGGAGTGCGAAGAGGCTGGCCATTGGCGTGCACATTGAATCCTGTGTATGGCGGGATTTGAATATTGTTCGGTAGGCTTCGCCTCTGTTGGTGAACATGAGCATGAGCAGGCAGTTGTTGTGGCGGTGGAGGCTGAACGGGCTGTTGCTGGCGAACACTTGGCGGACGTGGCAAGTGTTGTTGGTGATTTGGCAAAGAGTTCTGTCTGAGCGGTTGAAAAAAGACTGGCTGTTGCATCAGACCGGGCGATACAGCGGTCGATAGGACAGCTCCGCGACTAGATGCTGTGTCTATAGATGCTCTAGACGTCGCCACTGGTCTATTGCGCATCGCAGCAAGCGAATTCTCCGGGATTGTCGGCGAGTTGTTCTCATCACTAGGAGCAGGAGACGGCAATCCAGGCTGAGCACTGGACCGCGCTGATGCCTCTCCTGACTTGCCGCCAGCGCTGTTCGCAACGGCAAAGGGCATTGCCGTCATCGTGGTCGGCTGTGCAATCGCGGGCGACTCATATTGTACCAGGTCCAGTGTGGAATGGGACTGAGGGACCACGCGAGGTGTAGAAGCGCTCGACAACGGTCGTTCTTGCCCTGACGTCACTCTTGCTGTGTGTGAGGCGGTTGCGGTTGCAGCAGTGACGGTCTCTGTGCCTTCCTCTTCATCTATAGTAACGACATTGGAGAGCGGTGAAGGTGAAGCTCGCGAAATCGAGAGACCGGCTGGAGTGCGCGTATGTGATGGATCGTTTGTGGAGCCGTTTGAGTTCAAGACACTATTGACCGCATGGCTAGCGGCAGGTGGAGTGTGCAGCAGCTCAGAGATATCTGACGCGTATTGTTCATAGCCCTGCATCCAGCGATTCTGCCGATGTGCACTGTTCTGCGTGCCGTTGGTCAAAGGCAAAGCGGCTTCAGTTCTCTGTCGTTTCTGAGGAGGCTGCCCGTCGCCGTCGCCAACGCCAACCATTTCGAGCGGTCGATGCTATGCCCTGCATTTGGATGGCTAGGCCGAGCAGGCAGAGGAAGCAGGATTCCCATAGAAGACACGAATTCTGAGCAGTCGACTCCTCTCGTGCCTTCTCTATTCGTTCGTGTGAAATTCGGCGTTCCACGGCAATCGCGAGGTTACACGGCGTTTACAGCGCGCCCGCGCCCGCGCCCGCGCCCACCACCTTGGGTTCGACACGCCGCACGCGTTGGAAGGGTGAGATGGAAGCGTGCAGCTTTTCCGCGATGTTGACGGCTTTTCGTGGGGCTGGATATCCTCGAAGCCTGTGAGGTAGGCGCGAGGACCGAAAGGGCAGGCGCTCTCCGTCGTCTCGACGAGAGAGGACGCCAAGTCACGCTTGGACACATCCGGCAAGTTCCTCGAAGTGTGATCGAAACGACGAGACGGTGCGAACGTGTCATATTTTGCAGGGGATCGGGGCAAGCTCAGAAATAGAAATCGATGCACAATGGAGAATTATCTGATGGTGGTGGTGGGAAAGTAGTGCAATCATCATGGACACAGGTCTTCCCTACCACGTATCATCACCATCGCCCTTGCCGGCGTGGTATCACGACAACAACAACAAGACGTTTTGCATGCGACCACCGCGCCGCGCACTTTAGGTTCAACGGGCTTGAGCTCCGACCGGCGATCCGATCTCGACTGCTCCCTGATATCCGTGAGTCGTGCCTTCCTCGCGCTCATTACCACCACCCTACTATCAAATCTCTAGCTGCCCAGTGATGCTCTATATTTCTTTGCGCATCCCAGCCAATAGCCACTTTGCACGTATTATTGTCCGCTGTCCATGATTCAGCGCTGCGACAAGCCGTCTGCACGCACGACGCCTCGCAATCTGTGCCTGGAACTACAACTGCCGCTGCCGATCTATCCAATAGCACACGGTCACGTTGTCCGTGGCCATCGCCGCACCACAGCAGCCCAATAGTCGCTGCCATAACACGTCCATCGCACGCGCAAACGACTTCACCACCGACTCCTCCTGCCCGCACTGCGCCGAACATCTGCGGCGAACGACGATGAGGCTCTGAGATCGCGAATGTGGGAGCAGAGCACCGGAGACACCCGCGCCCGCGCTAGCACATGCAGCACCACTTCCGACATCACGTTTCTGTCTCTCGCACTGCGAGACGAAGGCAAGGGCACAGAGTGGAGCGGCGTCTCAAACCCGTCCAGGCAGGCGCATGATGGCGAGCAGGAGCGGAGCGGGCAATGCCCTGCCGGGGTCCATACTGTTGGTGGTGCATGATTTCGTTGCGCGCAGTCCCGACGAGCTCAGCTTGGCCAAAGGCGATCGCATTGAGCTGATCGAGAGGTATGTGTACTCCCAGCGCATGTCCACCAACACGAGAGCTAACACACGCGCCAGGGACGATGACTTCGGGGACGGCTGGTACGTCTTAACTTTCCACATACATCCGGGCAGTATACAACGAGCCTCAGCGCCTGACGACATCTGATGAGTAGGTTTCTTGGCAAGCATATGACGAACGGCAACAGTGGCCTGTTTCCGGAAGGTAGGCATATGAATGAGAGCCGCAGCGCAGCGCAGCGCTGTTGCCCGCGGCTCCCGAATATCCCTAGGCTTTGGTCAGGCGGCATGACGCTGACGACTGCACAGTATATACAACGCCAGCACCCAAAGGTACTCTGACCGGCGGCATCGGCAGGTCTCGTCACCTGGCCAGTAATACCAATGATGCCGCGCCCATACTGGCTGCTCAAACTGCAGCCGCCAATCTCGCAGGAGGCTCTGGCAGCAACGGAGTTTCGCAACGTTGTGCTTCGGCCACTCAGTCGATGCCACCGACTGCATCAGGTGCACAAACTTCTCTTGCACTCGCGAATCTACGCACAAGCTTGCCTGCGAATGCGGCGACTGCTGGTCGTAACTTTACCGCCACCTCGGACTCGCCTGTAATGAACGAGACTCTTTCTGTTATTAACGAGCATATCACCGACATGAAGTCGCCCCGCACCTCCTACGTCAATGGTAACACCAAGCGGGACACCATGAGCAGTGTCTACTCCACCCAGCCACTTGTGCGACGGTCTTATATTGCTGGGCATGAGACAGATGAGGAAGAGCATCAGCTGCATACTGAAGAAGAGGTAATGGGATGGGGCCCCTTGCAGGTCGCAGAATACCTCGAGGATCACGGCGTGGAGACAGTCCATTGCGAAGTGTTCAAGGAGCAGGAGATCAGCGGCGAAGTACTTCTGGCCATGGATCAGAACAGTTTATTCATCAAGGAATTCGACCTCGGCGCGATTGGTCGCCGGCTGAAAACTTGGCACAAGATCAAAGCGCTGCAAGATGAAGTAAGGCGAAGTGCCAGTCCTGGCGTACATCGAGATGGCAGTGTGTCGGAGTATTCTCTGGGCCTTGAGGCGGAAGAGAGCTCAACTGGAGATTCGGGTAGGAACCGAAGCTCGACTGTTGCAGTACCCAGCCTGCCGAGAGCACTTACGACTAAGCGACGGAGCGGCGATGTCATGCCTGCTAGGAGCAGCACGGTAGACTCAACCGTGGCCGGCGCTTCGGATCGAGCAAGCACCGGCATGTCCCCCTTGCAAGCGATGACTTCGGTGCGGCGATCAGAAAACACCTACCGACCATCTGCGCAAGGTATTCGCCAGTTGAATTATTCCCGACGACATTCTAGTATCGATTCGACCTCGACTGACGGTGCAAATCGTGCTTCACACAGGAAGAAACCTTCGATTGATCAGAAATGGGAGCCAGTACAGCCTATCAATGGGAGACATGCCTATACCATCTCCACCGACGACAACATTCTTCCGCAACGCATACCTGGTGTTGCATCTCCTATCTCGCCTGAGGACCTCGATCGTGGCTATTTCTCTTCGAACGAGGTCGATTCTAGGCGAAAGAGCGTCTTGACGAAGAGGAACTCGGCGGTCGTCAGTCCTATACAGTCACAGACGGGTAGCTTTTTGTTGAGTCCGAATTCTGATATCGGCCGAGATCCTGTCAGCCCAATTCTTCCGTCTATTCATCACCAAAATGCATATGCCGCGGTTAATAGCAAATTCGGCAACTATCGATCCGCGACTACTGGCTCAGTGAACAGCAGACTGCCTAACGCAATCAGTCCGGTGGTCACAAAGCTCGATCCATCTAGCAATCAGTCCCTCAACGCGATTGCTGCCAGCCCTACTGCCATTCAAGACAGCACTAGTGACGCTTCGAGCGAGAGGGTGATTCCGAGCCCTGCACGACTCAATATGGGCATGTTGCAGACTGCGCGAGCCAAGGTGACCGGGTTGAGGACTACGAGCGATGCTGTCACCAAAGCTGAAAAGGCGAGCAAAGGCGATCATGCAGTGAAGTCTCCTGCTCGGACTGGCTCTTCAACCCCAAGCACTGGCGAGAAGAGCCTGGATCTTAGCAAATCAGATCTGAACTCGCGCACCTCGACTGGGTCTGGCGGACTTGTACCCCTACCTCCTGCGAAACGACCACGGGCCAGGACAAAGACTAAGAAGTCAACTTCAGCTTACACTCGAGGTCTGGTGAAGAAGGCACCTCAAGAGCAAATGATCAATTGCGACTATTCTGGCTGGATGAAGAAAAAGAGTGGTTCATTAATGACCACCTGGAAACCACGTCTATTTATCCTCAAAGGTTGTCGATTATCATATTACTACGCGGACGACGATACTGAGGAGAAGGGCTTGATCGATATAGCATTCCATCGGGTCCTGCCCGCGCACAACGAGACAATGACCAGTATTCACGCAGCCATGACAGGAGCATCCGGAAACCCTGCAAGTCCGTTACACGGTAGCATACCTACGATGGCCGAGCAGGACCTTCGAAATCACCCACCCAAGAAAGGTGAAGAAGGCGACGGTTTATTCATCTTCAAGCTCGTTCCACCGAAAGCCGGTCTAGCCAAGGGCGTCAGCTTCACCAAGCCTACAGTGCATTACTTTGCAGTGAATTCGAGACAAGAAGGACGCTTGTGGATGGCGGCGCTTATGAAAGCCACGATTGATCGGGACGACAATGGCGTCGTCACAACAACGTACAATCAAAAGACGATCAGTCTTGCCAAGGCGCGCGAGCGTCGAGAGCGGCCGCCAGCTTTGAGAGACGACGATGATCTTGATGGCCGTGCCGAGCTGGCTGGCGACGAAGACAGCGAACGAGGTCTCGGCATTGGCGGCATCGAGGAGAAAGATGCTGCCATGGCAGGCGCGGAAGAACGCACTAATGGCGAGCACGTTGACGAGACATCTTTAGCACCAAGCACAAACGCCGCTGGGACAGGAGACGAGCTCAACGAGAAAGAGCGGCTAGCTGTTGCTATGAACGCCAGCTAGGAGAATTCGCAGCATTCGCAAGCCGAAGGATCGGTATCATCGCAACCACCGTGCGCATTTTTTCCAGCGTACAGCGACGGCGTTTTGATATTTTTTTCGTAACGCCCACGACATGTCTTCGCATACTACCCCTTTGTTTATTCGAATTGACGAGGCATATCACGACGGGTGAAAGATGGCTTATTGCAGGGCTATAGGAAAGGCTGGACAAATGATGATGATGATCCGCCAGAGACTGCAATTACTAGTTAATAGTAGACCACCGGACAAGGAACGTCTCTTTTTGAGCATGAATTTGGAAGGGAAGGGAGGCCCTTGATACCACATATCGTGTTTCATGCACACAATACCCCAAATATTGTTTTGTTGGAACTTGGAAGGGGGAATCGAAAAGAAAAATTAAAGAAGTTGGCTTGAGTCATTAACTTCATTGTTGGAAAAAAACTATTTTTGATTCCTTCATCCCAACAAATTCATCATCTCACCAACCACATATCCCATCCATCCAACTAACTCTTGCGCCGCCGAAATCTTTCCCTCTTATCTTTCTTTAGTTCTATCCTTCACGAACGACTTTCGTAGTAGTCGCCACATTCACGATTTTCCTCCCTTCGCCCTCAGAATACGGCGGTGGGGGTGGTGCTGCTTCATCATTACCGCCTATCACCTTTTCTTTCCCCTGATGAACCCCACTCCGATTACTTTCATTCCTCAAACCACTGCAATCCTTGCAATTGCTACAATTGTCGCAGTCCGTGCAATCGATGCCTCCCAGAGCGTGATTAGTTAGCGAGGGTGGTTTCAAACATCGCAGGCGCGAAAAAAAACAATATCCGAGGAAGAGGAATGCCAGGGAAGTTTGATGGTAGAAATCTCTACTCGCAGGTTTTTTCTTTCGGCTTGGGTGGTGTTTCTTTACATACAGTTACTGCAGTTGGAGAGGTTGTTGCTGTCGATGCAGTTGCTGCTGTGGTTGCAGTTGGTGCAGCGTGTACCTGGTGGTAGGTTGGTAAGCGGTGGATGTATGGCATTCGGAAAGAGGATGGAGAGGAGGTATCGATTGTAGAAGAAGAGGAGGGTTTTCGTGGGTTGTTTGAGGAGGAGGATTTTTGGGTGTGGGTGGTAGACTTGCAGTTTGAACAATTTTCGCAATTCTTGCAGTCGGTCATGTTACTGCAATTTTTGTTTCCGTCCGCGTCGGTTCCCATTGTTGATGGTGAGCAGCCCATGGATTGAGATGTGAATTTAGGGAGTGGAGGTGGATGTGGAAATTATGTAGTTGGAGGTGTTTGATGGGTTGAGAAGGAATGGCCTCCCTTTGCCTCCCATTGCCGCCTTTAAGTAGTAAATACGGACCTCCCATATCGCCATGCTGACGCACGAAGCTCTCGAACCGAGCTGAACCATTTCGTACCGCAACTACGTATCCCGCAGGGGGCTCACGCCATCTATCGGCTTTACAGAGCTTCCTGATCTGATCACTTGGTCGGTCGGAGTTCGTTTTTAGTGCCTGATTGGAGCTTTGTCAGGTAGCAATAAGCTTCGATATTGCAGGGCCTGCGTAAATCTCGCTGCCTGGAACCTCAGGCCGCGTTGACCGCTGGTTCGAATGCATGTCGTCGTAAGGCATTCATGCTCGTTCCTCGATGTTCTAGGCGCCAGTGATGTGTTGACCTGCGTTGTGAAGGTTGTAGGTTACATTGAGAGGAGGGAAATCGTTCTTGCTGTGATGGCAGCTCCTTGCTAGCGCGGGCTTGGCATGGAAAATGCCACAATCATGGTTGTGAGAATACTGACGTGGACTCAGACAAGATCGACTCACAGCTCGAGCGGTCCAGCGCCCATGCAATGGGAGTCCTCCCGCCAAACGACGCCCATGCGCGCGGAGATGGTCTCAAACATCCGCAGACGCTCAGCGTCCATATTCAGCCTCATTCATGCTTTTCAGCGACTGTTCGAACGATGAAGGCCAACTCACAGACCATCTGCTGTCTCCAGCATAAGCCAGATGAAGATCGAAGTAGTACTCTGGTCTGCTGGTGGTCGTCCGTGCGCTGCTACATTTGTGTAGGCGCCGAGTACGTATCGCTAGCCGCCGACTTCTATTGGCCACGAGCACTCTCTTGGACGAGCAGTATGAAACCCTCGCAACCTCAATCTAGAATTCTCAACGACAGAAATAAGTCAAAGGGTGTTTCGGTGGTCTCAACGAGGACGTGCGAAATGGTGGACTTTGTGGTATAAGTAATGCCTTGAGTAGCTGCGTTGACATTCGATCAGAATCCTACTACTCAAGCACTTTCACGAATTTCTTTTGTGTTTCATATCTCCGTTCCTTCTAGTCATTTATCGATTTCAAGACCTCTTTTTCTCTCATTTCGACGAATATCGCGACCAGAACAGATCTCCCGCTGGCAGGGATCAAACGACGCACAAGACCCACGAGGCTCAATCTTCACCTTTGCACGGAAACCGAGTCATTGGAATCCAACGACGATATGCCTATCCCAGATTATGGCGCCGCTCCTCTCGCCAAGACTTTCGTTCTGGTGCGCGGTCTTTCACTTGTGTCAATGATTGCCATCGTAGGCATGACAGCAAATTTCGTGTCCCAGATCGTCAGCACGAAAGTCGAGCCTCCTCGAGAGATCGTTGGAACACTTACGATTGTAAGTAAAAATCTTTGATCCGGTCAATGCCGATAGACCTGACATCAGATTAGACCTGCATGGCAGCCCTCTACTGCCTCATCTCCATCCCGTTCTTCTACGCTCAAGCCAACCTCGGTCTCCTCATCATGACGGGAATAGACTTCTTGCTCCTCCTGGCCTTCATCATAGTCTCCGTCGTTCTCGGCAAGCCACTCTCATTCTTGAACTGCATGATCATCGAGAACAAGAACGCAGCAGCAAATGCTCAGTCAGCAGCGGCTTTCACGCAAGCGCTTGCAAGCAACCTTGGCAAAGCTGGTTCGACTCTGGGACTTGGCAATTGGGCTGGAAGTACCAGGACGAATTGCTTGGAGACAAAGGCGATATGGGGGTTGTGCATCTCTTTGGCAATTTTGTTCTCGTGCTCCACGATCATTTTGCCTACGCTTTGGATGAAGATGAGGAAGATGGGTGGTGGAGGAAAGTCTGATGTATGAATATGACTTCGGATGGAATCGATCGCAGGGCTCTAGAGCTCATCACGTTGTGTAGAGGACGAGAATAATGCATCGCGAGTTGGCGTTGGGGTTTTGGATGCCTGGCAGTGCCGGCGAAGTAATGTCTTTTTCGGGAATTAGAGCATACTATTAGACAGAGTGGACAATGGGCATGAAGCATTGTCACCACAAGAAGTCCATCATCCGCTTGAACCGGCAGTGAAGTCCGCTGAAGTCGAAGTTGCATAATATCCATATACAAAAATGTTGAGCCACATCATCGACAATCATTCTTGGTCAAGCGTATCAGTCGCTGCAATGTGTGGTGCATCGCTTGGCTGAATGGCAGTTTCGATCTGCTCGACTGCTCTTGGCTGGCAGTTTGTGTAACGCGTTGCTCTCTTTCGTACCATTGAGCCGTGGGCAATGATTTTGTTCCAATCTCGGTCAAGTCAAATTGTAGAACCATTGGGTTCGGTTGGTAAAATGGGTCTGCATCAAAATGAATACATTCGAGTAAGACTTTCTGAGGGACAATGATGTATGTTCGTTGAGTTCTGAAAGCTGACCGGCAATGAATCAAAGAATCAGACTCGGAAATGGAAGGATTGTCCCACCCGTATCTGTACCACAGCCAATGACCTCAACGACTGCAGCTTTTTGAAGGCGGAAGATCTTTTTGCTCTGGGCTGGTTAGAAATCGTAAGCGGTTCCCGAAGGCATCCAGCAAAGCGATCTCTATGCCTTTCCTTCTGCTTTCATGGAGCCCGCGAAGAGGGGAAAGAGAAGGCCTTTAATTAGCCCTATCGTATCAGTACAAGAGGTAAGAAGGGAAACGGAAACATGAAAGAAGCAGGAAAGTTATCGAGCTTGGAATCGGAAGTGGGTTGGTGTGCATTTCGGCATTTCGGCTCGTATCAATTGCTGCGCTTTATTCTCGTCCGGAGAAGCAAAAGAAGGCGCTCAAAGTCCTTTTCTGAACAGTGTCTGAGACCCGTAGCATCCGTACGCCAAGTGAGTCGTGAAGAGACCTGTTATCCGTAATCAGCGCTTGACCACGCAGACATTGCTCATATATATCTGCACCCACCCATGCCTTCCCATCTCATATCCTCATTGCATGCAACAGAAAGAATCCTCTACCGGCTGGCGCTCCAGACACCCTTCAGGTATCCATCCCGCTGTGCCAGTCTGTTGATGCAGTCATCGCTCTCGCCCATTGCGCGCACGAAGCCGCAAAGTGCGTAGACCTTGTTCTCGCCGGTGTAGCGGCCGTTCTCGTCAACGTTTCCGACGGAGATCTGAACGGAGGCGTGATCCTTGGCCTTGATGATGCGGCTGGTGGCAGAGCACTTGCGTGGGACGTAGCTGGAATTTATGTTAGTATCATGTGCGGTGTGGTTGGAAGATATTCGATGTGCGCGTACAGGTCGACGAGCTCTCCGCGTTCGTTCTCCATGGATGCGGTATTGTTTGGGGTGTTGAGGAGTCGATAGTTGTCTGCGGTGTGCTACTGTCGCTGCGATTCAAGATTGAAGTTGTCGAATTACAGAGTGTGCTTGGCATCCGCGGAATTTCTGATGGAAGGTACGCCGATCAAAGTCACGTGAGAGCGTTGCCGCCTCGTTCCTCCTCCTCCTCTCCATGTATTTGACAAGTCTCTTCATTTTAATGCATTCATTCGACATTAACTTGCGCGCTATTAACTAGCAAACATGCTTTCTCGTATGTTGTACTCAATCATAAACAGAGAATGAGAGGTTATCCTGATCCGCTTTCATAAACATCCAAGGGCCGGTTCTGTACACATTTTCCCAAAAGCCCGCAGTATTCTGTCCCGAAGGGAGTGGAAGCCATGTAAGGCATTACCTTGGACCTCGCTACGCTTTTGCGCCGAAACAAATTCATAAAGTATTGCTTATAACATCAATGCTGCAACAAAGAAACCAATCAGAGCGACGGCGCTGCCTGCAAAGATCTTGGGTGCTTGTGATGTGTCAGAGGAGGAGCCGCCTTGAGAGAAGCCCCCGCTGGTGGATGATCCGCTGCTCTGACTGCTTGAGCCAGAGTCAGTGCCGGAAGCAGAGCCACTGTCGGATTCAGTGGGTGCTTTACCGGAAGAGGCGACATTTCCGCCACCGCTCATACCCGGCACCGTTTCAGGTGTGTTGCTCATTGTGGGAGCCGATGAGGCCGAGCTGCTGGTACCACTTGCCTGGGCGCCGTAGGTTGGGTTATTGCCGCTGGCCATAAACGAGCTCAGGATTGTGTTGTTGTTGCCAATGGCGACTGTGTTGTTGTTCCCTTCGATGCTCGTGTAGTAGTATGACTTATCACCGAAGTCGTTGGAGAATCCACTCGGCGGGTCGTAGCACTCCACGGAGACATCGTTGACCATAGCATAGTAGTATCCATTCTGCATGTATGGGCTGTTCCAGTCGACAAGACCACCGGCCCACTCGATCGTTCCCTCGCCGTTGGTCGACAAACCAGCTGGCCAAAGAGAGAGCTGAATGCGAGCGGGAGTCTGCGGGTAGTGGTAGCTGCTGGTAGTGCTGTTCCATGTGTCAGACTTCTTCAAGGTGCGCATGTCATTGCCATCAATGGACCAGGTAACGGTATCTGGCTTCCAATCGATGCAGTACTGGTGGACATTCTTGCGGGTGTCTGACGCGGAAAGCGAATCCATGTTGTGGTCTGCGCGGCATTAGCATACGTAAGCTGTCACAAGGCACAAAGTACTTACAGTCAGTGATTCCCTGGTAGTAGTAATTGCTCTGAGCATGCTGGAGATCAACACCAACAAACTCGAAATCGATTTCGTCCTTCATGTCGCTCATCAAGATGAAAGCAGTAACAACACCCTTGCCCTGACTGGTTGTCATGCTCGCGCAGACCTTTCCATACCAGACGTAGTGCGTGCTTGAAAGCAAAGTGCCGACTGTGCCTTGTGCCATGGTGAGCAGTAGAGAGTCGCCGTTGTATGCCACCGGTGTTCCAGAGCTGACCCAATTTGCCTTGCTAGCATCGCCAAGGTATACGGTATTCTTCGCTACATCATTGAGAGATGTGAGCTTGTAGTCCTGGCTCTTGCAAGTGTTCGACGGCATGCAGGACTGGAGGTTGAAGGACGATTTCGGGTCGCATCCGCCCAGACAGTAGGCTCCTACACCACATTGGCCGTACTGGGAGCAGCAAGGTGCATCAGATGGGCATTGCTTGCTGGGACTGCAAGTCGGCGCACTGCTTGCCGCGCTAGCAGCCGAAAGAAAGGCCAGGATAGCGGCGGCGGCGGAGGTGAAGGTGGACTTCATGGTCGCGCGTTCACGCTGTCGGGGTCGTCGCAAATGCGATGGCTATGAAGCAGATTATATTGGAGGTCAAGAGGAGTGCCGAGCACAGCGAGCGAATGTGGCGCTACAAGCAGGTCCTGTATATCGATGGACAGCGACGCGCCGGGTCGATGATGCCGTGGCCAGACGTTCAGGCCGGGGTGTTTCCTTCCACAGTTTTTCCTGGTCGCCACCGAATCAAAGCGAAGGTGGTAAAAATAGGGGTGTAGAACAAAGCGACCGGATGTGCTTCCTCCCTTCTCCAACGAGTGGACCGAACAAACGCACAAGTGCAAAGGTAGTGATAAGGCTGTGGTCGACGATGACCTGGAGGAGATCGCGGAAGGGGAGGTGGAGGTGTGAAATGGATTGTGGATGCTGGCACAGGCACATTAGACTTCCAACCTCATTGGCTGACATTGCGCGGCACGCATTCCTAAAGCGAATCAAGGCAAGCGTCGATCAGGATAATTGTGAAACTAGCCTGTCTGGGAAAAGCCAGCCACAGTCTCACCCACGAGTCGACCTTCTTTGCAGCTTGGCGCTCTCAACCGTTCCTCGACTCGTGGCGAATCAGTTCCCCTTCGGCCCTGGTTCAGGAACGCTCACTCCGCTTCAGCTCTTCGTGATGAGTGTTGGCAGCGTTGGAGCTAGCATACGCGTGCCGTACACTCGACCGAGCGGCTTCCCAGTAGGATTGTAAGAGTATGGTGAGAGGCGCATGCGTCGTATCACCAGACAGTCAACTGTCAATGTCGAAGCCGCATATCATCGTTGTACATGGCGCGAGTCACCGCGCACGCCATCTGCAGCCCTTGAAAGCAGGGCTTGGGTGAAATGGTAAGTGAGGGTGATACGTGTCAATGGATCAGATGATGCTCGAGTATGGTGTCGGCAAAGAACACCGAGGAGATCGGGAGACATGTATACAGAAAACTGGACACAGTCTCTCCTTGTCTGAAACCACAGAACAATGTGTCAGACGCGTCGGAAGGATTGCTGGTGGAAACATGTGAGCACAGCACTCCTTGAACAGACTCACAAATATTGCATGCTGACTTCTTCCGCCAGACTTGACCTTACCCCTGCCGTTATCGCTGGTCGAAAAGGCATGTTGATGAAGTTGATGACGTTGATGCACCCGCAGACAACATTAGAGGTGGTGTGCAGCCAGTTTCCAACGCAGAGTGGGTACCTTAACGCAACCCGATTAAGAGTGCTAAGTAGACCAATATAGCCTAGTATGTGAAGCCTTAGGTGTCTTAATCGTGCACGTCCAATATCTCTTGGCTCCTAGCTCTTTTACGTACGTGTTAGTAAATGCTAGTCGCGCCTATCGCTATAAGCGACTCTAAGGACGATTTCGTACCGATTTTAATACTAGCGGGTACGCTAATTAAGAAGCAACGTATCGACGACTATCGGCCCCTAAATAAGTATAAAAAGTACGACTAGAGCTTCGAAGATGTCGGCGATCGATAGTATAAGAAGCATATACGGTAGGTCGATAGCGGGTCGCTAGCGGAAGGTTGTTATTAATAGTTAGGTTAGAAATTAAACTTCTAACTGCCTTACTATCGCCCTCGGACTCGGATTAGGTGTCGGTTTAGCTAATACTCGAGAGACAGGTTTACTCGAAAAGAGATCCTACGTCTTATAACACTCCTTTAAATCGATACTATAGTATTTAATAAGCGCTATAAACCCTTACCGGTATTAGCACTATATATTACATTACGGCGGCTCTTATTTCCGTATACCTAGCCTATATTAGCGGATATATTCGGCCTATAAGATAAGACGCTATCCTCTATCTTTTCCGATATAATCGAATACCTTATAAAGCGCTTCGCCTATCTCCTCGAATAGTACCTACGGCTACGTAAATATAGCAATCTTCGAGCCTTTGCGAAGTTATTAAAAGCAGAAGGATAGTATAGAGGTTTCTAGGGTTTCGTAGATAGTACGTTTCGAGGAACCTGTCGACTAACTCGCAACTAAAGATTAATATATACTAGCTATAAGAAGAAGCATAGTTACAAGTTCTAGGGGATAATAACGCCTAACGGCATTTTATCTAGTTTAATCGGTCTATACTAAGGCAAGGATAACGACTAGAAGATTTTTACGAGATTAGGCGTTTAGCGTCGGATTAAGCGAATAATAGGTCCTAGCAGTAATAGGAGGCTTCTGTTCTTATATAGCGATCTAGCATATAAGTGTATCTACGGCGTTATAAGGCTATATAAGAACGACGATAAATCGCGTTAATTAAGTAAAGATAAGAGGTCTTAGAACAAGCATATATCTAGGGCAAGATTAGCCGTAGAATACGGCTTTAGACGGTCCTTTTAACTCTAGACCTATAGTGCCTTAGAACAATAATAATATATAGAAAGACAACCTGTTGCGGCATATTATATAGTCGCTATACTGCTTACAAACTATATAACTTGCGTACGGAGGCGCAATTTAACTACTAATCGCTTTAAAACTATACCTCCGAGTATCGAAGAGTACCTCTACCCCTACGGCGGTATGCCCGAGAACCCGATATAGGTCTTCTATATACAATTCCTTACTAAATATCCCCTATATCTGTTCCGGCCGTTACTCTCTAGCGGGCTCTATATCTCCTATCGTCCTCCTTCTATATTAAATCTAGGTACTAAGACCTAACCCTATAACCCCGCGTTCTCTGCTAAAATAAGCGACGCTTAATTCTTATTACCCTTACCCCCTACCTATACTACTATATATATACGGCATCTATATATAATTATTTATTCGCTTGTTTACTATTAGTAGGTCTATAACATATTAAAATTTAGAGCAAATCGGTTAAGAAATAAGTATGCGATAACTATAGAAAGGAAAGTCTACCCTAGCTCCGCATATTAGTATAAAGACCCCTACTTATAGCTTAAATCCCTTAAACTCGAAGCCCTCCGGAGCTAACTCTCTCGCGAATTCAGCTATTTCTGCGTTACTAAATATAGCATTTACTTGCTAAGGCATATGCTAAGGTACGGAGACACCCTATAGCCTTGCCTGCGCGAATATATGCCCTAGATTAGTAATAGCAGCTAGTATAGCGGCATTCTATGCCTTGACTTTAGCTAACTCGGACCTTAAGCCGGAGACTTCCTTACTGCTACGCTTAGCACGCTTCTGCCTCTTAGTATAACCCCTAGCTATTAACGCTATAGACTCCTTAACCGTTATCTTCTTCTTCTTCTTCTCCTTTATCGCCTTCTTCTTCTATTTAGAAGCTATCTCCGCGGCAGTAGGAGCCGGAGTTGCTAACAGTATTCTAGTATACTTAATAGCAATACTATTACGGGTAAGCAACGCGTACGCAGATGCTAGATATAAGACTTAATAGGTTCGATAAAGAGCTAAGTCTATCTACGTAAATCCGAATAGTTTTGTGCGGTACGCTAAGCGCTAAGTAGTAGGTTAGAGTCGCGTAGGCCGAATGCCTAAGGCTAGCGCTTTCTACTTAGGGCGTAGCCCTTTATATTACCCCCGTCCTCCTCCCCTTCCTTAGTAGGGATAGAAAGCCCTCCGTAGTTTCTATCGCTATTACTTTAACCGTTAGATCTGTACTTATCTAAGCTTCTCTAGAGTAACGCGCTCGTAGTTTCCTTCTTTGCGATCGGGGTTTCCGCTGCTTTCCGGTCGGGGTTGCCGTATCCTAGGCTTTAAGAGCTATAACTTTCTTCGCGACTGCTAAACCGCGCTCTTTTACCTGTTTACCCCTTCCTAAAACGCGCCTTACTTATACTCGCGCCTTCCGTTGCTTTCGCGACCTTTACTTCCGTATCGCTTTCTATAAGTATTAATATTTCCCTCTTCTTCTTCTTCTTCTTCTTTTCTATATATACCTCTACTACTACTACTACTACTAATATTGTAAGTCCCTCCCCTTCCTCCTCGGTTCCTTTCGTAAAATTAACTTATCCTAGATAGCTCGTCGAATCTACTATATTAGTTGCTATAACTTCGGCGAAGACTGCGCCGACTAATCTATAAGGTTCCCGTCTAATTCGTCGTAGGATCCGCTAACTTTCTTAAGCCCGCTAGCTCGAGGGCTTGCGCTAATTACGCTCGTAAGAGAATTGCCTACGCCCTACTATAAGTTATCGCGATTCCCGTATTAAATCTCTCGCTAACTATTTAGTCCTTAAATAGCCTACGTAGCCTACGCTAGCTATACCTACGCGACCCGCGCTAATATCGCCGAGAAGCACTCCGAGCTTCTTAAGGTTCTTAAGGCCTAGAAAGCCCTTAAGTCTCTCTAGCTATAGGGGTTGTTGTCTAGGTAAGATTCTCCGTTCCCTACGATAAAACCCTCGCTAACCGTTTGTTTTAGCGCTATCGCCTCGGAGGTAATAAACACCGTCGCTAATATTGTAGCTTAACAGACTTAGACGTAAGTTCCTCGCTATCCTTCGACTTTCTCTCGCTAACCTCTCTTTTTTAGCGGCGTTCCGACCGCCCTCCGTCTCGGCAATAATCGTCTAGGTCCGCTAGAGGAGTAAAGGTTTCCGGGGGTTTTCTAGGGGTTTCTAGGTAGCTTCGGATATATTATTATTATTTTTTTTTTATAGTCCTAAGGTAACCTTCTAATTTCGGGCGGAGACTCGATACTTACTTATAAATACCTAAATAAAATTCTTCCTAGCTCTAAATTATGTTTCCCTTCTCTAGTGTTCTAGTAATTCCAAGTCTAATAAGTTAGTAAGAAAATCCAAACTCTAGAAGTTAGCAAAAGTCCCTAGAATCTATAAACCCGTTATTCCGCGGAAAAACTCTAGGTTGCCGCGTTATTTCTTCCGTTTTCCTCTCTTCTCCTAATCTCCTAGAGGCCCGTCGTTCTCCTCGATTTGTCTATATTTCGCTTCAAAGTCGTCTAGCGCGGAGGTATCCGCGATATAGTCTAGGGGTTCCTACGTAGGTTTATAGTACCCGCTCTATTTTACGAGTGCTTCTCGCCCTCGGCTCTGCTTCTTTTTTTAGATATATAGGATTTCTTCGACCTGCTACTCTTTATACGTCTCGATTAAGATAGAGTCCGGCTATTCGTTGTCGGTTACCTGCCCTAGAAGGGGGTCCCGGCTCGCAAGTCTTAGAAGGTCGGTATAGAATACCGGGTAAATATTGCTAGGTATCCCCGAGAGTTGTACTAAGATAGGCGATAATACCTCTTCTATCGTATACTTAGCGTGCTTCGAGTCGAGGCTCTTCTTTAGTCTGCCGGTCTAGTAATTCCTTAGGTCGAGCTAGACCTTGTCTCCGATACGATATACCGGCGCTAGAGTTCTAGTCTTGTTCGCGCTATCCTCTTATTTCTATACGGCTTCCGCTATCTGCACTTAGTATAGATCTACTTAATCTTGTTTACGAACTCCTCCGCCCGTTTTGCCGTAGTTAGCCGTCTATCGATAGCTAGGTCCTCCTCTAACGTAATAGGGGAGGTAGATTCGTAACCGTAAGTCGCAAAGAAAGAGCTTATTCCTAACCCCGCTTAGTATCTCCCGTTAAACGCTAGTTCTACCGTAGGAAGCTATTAGTTCTAATTAGACTGTATCTAGTTAATATAGTTCCGTAGGTAAGCTTATACGTCTTAGTTTGCGCGCTCCGGACCTCCGTCGGTTTGTAAGTAGTAGGCGGAGCTTAACCTCTGCTTTACGCTAAGTAGTCGATACATCTCCCTCTAGAAAGTGCTCGTCTAATTCGTACCTCTATCGCTAGTAATAGTACGAGGAAGTCCGTAATACCTAACCTAGTATTTTAGGAACAAAACCGCGTATTCCTCTGCTTTTATAGAGAGAGTACTAATAAGGGCGATCTATTTGCTTAGGCGGTCTTTAATTACCTATAGATACCGGTTCCTATCTAACTCCGGTAGGTTAGTTATAAAGTCTATCGAGATTTCCTAGAAGAAACGGTCGGGTACCGGTAGGGGTTTTAGGAGGCTGTATTTGTGTTCCCTCTATACCTTATTGCGTCTATAATAGTTGCAGTTCCGTAGGAATTGCCGCACCTGCTTCGACTATAGCGGCTAGTAAAAGTCGCGACCTAGTATAGAAGTAGTAGAATCCCGGCTAGGGTAGCCGTAGAGCAGCGAGTCGTAGATCGACTAGATAATCTTCGTACGTAGTATATCCTACTATAGTTCCTCGGCCCCTATATCT